CTCTCTCTCTCCTACCAGTCTGCAGCCTGTTCTGCTTCACTTTCCAATGTGTCGTAGAAGTGTCTTTTGTCTTTGCACACACTCTTCTTCACTTCTTTGTCCAGTGTGCTGATTTATACATTGTACTCAGTTCCTCTTCTCGTCGTTGTGCATCCTTGTACTGCACTGGTTTATCTTCCAATTCACCATCTTCCTGTCCCTGTTCTATCAGCTTCCATGTGTCCATCGAGATCCACTCCTTGTCTTGTCTTATCTTGTCTTATTTCTTCTTCCTTCCAACCATGGTTATGCAGGTCTCCCTCCACATAACTTTGAAACACTTCCAGTGTTCTTCAACACAGGTTCTCTCAAGGATGCTGCTCAATATCTCACATTTCTTCCTCATGACTGACCAATGTGAAGATGTCCCGTGCAGCTTCGTCCTTCAGTTCACCTTCTGTTCTGGGTGTTCAACTTCAACTGTCGTCTATCATCAGCTTCCTTGAATTGAAGGATTTCAACTTGATGTTACAGGTAGGTTCCTTGTACTAGACAGTGAGTGGTGTGAACCTACATCTACTCCTCCTCTTGATCTGTCTGATCTTGTGTCCAGTAGGTTGGTTGTGTCTCCACTCTCTTCACATTGAGATGAAGTCGATTTGATTTTCAGTGTACTGTGTCTATCTGGTGTCTGGTGAAATCAACTCTATGTCACTTTGTGAATATCCTTGTGTTTGTACACACTGCCTGACTCCAATCACCAAATCGTTGAATGTGCAGAAGTCTGCAAACAGTTCTCCATTCTGATTCAATTCACCGAATGCTTCTCAACCCATGGTTAGTTCTCTTCCTGTGTTGTCCACTCCCAGTTTGGCATTCATGTCAGCTCACCCAATTTAATTTTCACGTTATCAAGTGGGGTGGGTGGAGTTTGTCTACCACTGATTGGAGTTGTGTGTAGAATTCCTCCTTCTTGTCTTCATCCGCATTATTTGTAGATGTGTAGCGTAGAGTAGTATTGTAGTATTGTGACTTTGCTTCATTTTGAGTTGAATCCATCTTGCTGTGATGATGCTGATCCTGATGCTGGAGGAGATTGGTTCCCACTGCATGGGAGAGAGAGAGAGAGAGAGCCTTCTATGTTGTTTGGGTAAATCCTGATAGCCACTGGAAAACTCAGTGTGCTGGTTTGTGGTTGTCGTCTGGTTGACAATGTAGGAGTAGATTATTGACTCCTCTCCAGTTGACAGAGAGTTTTGAGAGTCCACTTCCATTCCATCTGCTTTCTCAGATTCCTAGCCTAGCACTTGAATGCCATACCTTCTCATCTGTTTTGCAATGTTGGCATCCTTGCCAACCAGCCAGCCAGTCAGCCAGCCAGCTTCAAACATTGTTCGGACATTCCATGTCCCGTTCTTACTTTCATTTTCATCGATAGACAGAGTGCACGTTGGACGACTGGCTTCCCGAAGACTTTCACCAAACGGCGTCTTTTCGTCTACTCGATTCCAATGAGGAATAATTTTGTTTTCTTGTTTTATAATTTGTTTATTATTCGAAGTTTGTTAAGCGATTAAATTGGTTCTTCAGTGATGGATTTCTAGCCCTGCACCCAACCTTCCGTCCTTATTCTGGCTTAGGACCGACTAGTAACTAGTGAATCAGTTAACCAGGCGAGGTTAATGGTACAGTATATAGTTGTACAATGTTGTCAGATGTTGGATGGCAATTGGTAGAAAACGTTGGACGTACTGATACGCCTTGGTGTTGAATACGAACAAGCAAGAAATCTAAATCCAGGGATTCCTGCAGACTGACTTCCAACTTCTAGCTACTAAACGCAGTGCACAACAGTTTTACATCACTTAACTTAGTGACCACATTGCAAACTTGATCGAGAGACTTAAATTAGAGTTGAGCACTAAGAAGTGGATGGCTGCGTCAGTTACCCACTGGTAACCAACCGGTATAGTTGCATGAAAGTAGAATAGTCATCTGTTTAAAATTCTCTACCCATTCTCATATATTGGACTGCAATTCTTAAGAATCGGTTATAAATATTTGGGATTTTTGTGGGGATTTATTGATTTCAAATTGGTATTTCCATGTTTCTTCAACTGATGTCAATCTATCATGAATACCAACTTGAAATCTGAAGGTTCTGGGATTGATCCCTAACGGGTTCATGAGTGCACACTACTGAGGAATCCCATAATATGAAGAAACAGTTACCTAGTGCTCCCAGGCTTCCAATGTTTCTCCAACTATTGTCAGTCCGTGATGGATACCAACTTGAAACGAAGAAATGTTTGTCTTACTTAATAACATATGTCAGATTACTTGCTTAAGTGCCTTTCAGATTCTCTTGATACTATATACTGTGCTAGAAAATTCGATAATTTATAGTTAGGAGTGGTAAACAAACTTGGAGATACAGAATATTCTCTTGAGTGTTTCCAGTTTTTCTCACATAACCTAACAAAGAAATAAAAGAATAACCAAGACACACCAACAGTAAGGTCATTATATAAGGCATAAGGCCATTACAATAATGTGTGTTGTATTACTTTCATAAGAGACAAGCGATTATGTTATCATTGATTGTGGTTGTGATCAGACGATTTTTTGACCATTTAACCTTCTATCTAATAAAGCCATTCCTCAATGTCAGCTTCATAATTTCAACGTGGACTGGTTGTTTGAATTCGCTGTCCTCAATGGTGTCTAATACATATCTGAATAAATCATCTTAGTGTTAATTAGCCACCAGGTTTTCTTCACCATCACACGTATACTCATATAGATCTTCAGTAATGACTGATTATTTATTACGGTTTTCCAGACATTTTCCGAGAATTCGAAATCTTTCTTCAACAAGTTAACTGTAACGAATATTTATTAAAAACAAGTTACAAGGAAGATATTTCCCACAAAGTTGATGGATAACAAAAGACTAAGTCCACAAAATATCAGTTTTGAAATACTGCTGACGAAAATGCTCTGATCATATGTCTGAAGGTTTCCAAATTGTAAAAATAAACTGACTTGTTAAGACTCTTTCGTTTTCGTTATTTTAATTATCAGTTTTACAAGTCACCTCCTGATCAGGATGTAAGGTTGTTGAAATTAGTCTTGATTGGGAATTCTAGTTCTAAAGAAACGTTTTAAAGCTGATTCGTAACATTTTATTGTTGACATAGTTATTCACAACAAAATTCTGTTGTAAATCATAGAACAAAGACGTAACAGTGAAGAAAAAACTTTTTTCATGATTTCATTTACTAAAGTTTTACAATAGTATCTATAAATGTTCTTCCTTGTATTATACCGTCGTTTATCGGACTGAATTGATCGGTCTCTATCGGCATATGGGATCTTATGTGGATGCCTCGACATACCTCTGTTTTAGTTATAGTAAGGACAGATAGTGGCTAGCAGTGGAATCCAGGATGCTCCCGAGTCCGAGTCTCAGTGGGACAATATCACTCACTGGGAGGCAGGTACATCCAGCTGACGAGTCCCAAATAGGACGAAATGTGCATCCTGGATTCCACTACTAGCCACTATCCATCTTTAGTATCTGTAAATGTTAGAAATAAATAAGTCTATTTATAGTTAATGAATAGGGTCAAGTGAATACCATGGTTTTAAAAGGTGGAATAAAAGAGTTTGTAAGGGAAAAATAGAATGACTACTCTGGACATGATAAGACTGATGATTTCAAGCTATGTTTTGATCAAACAGATCAAGTCCTCTAGTATTGAAGGTAGATACTCAGTGGATTACTTTGATGAGTACGTACATACAAAGCACCCGATAAATGATCTTCAAAATCCTTAGTTAACACTATTGATCATATTCAGCCAATATTAGAAAGTGATTCTATAATTAAAACTTAAAAACCCTTTCTTGGTTGCGCTGCTGTGACTCGTCGGTTTAGGCAGCTGAATATTAGTTGATGGGTTACAGGTTCGAACAGCGCCCCAATTACTGAGTTTTGGGTAGCCAGGTAGTGTCACTAACCTTCATACAATAGATTCAGCTTATCACCTACTGCAAGAATGTGCTCAAGGTTGGTAAATGCACTTCGATTCGATTTCGTGGTTATCGTCTAAGTTGTACGTTCTCACGATTACAAAATCAGGTCGGTGGTTTATAAGTTAACACGATTTGTAAGGTAGAATACACATGATTTTAAGGGGTCTGGTTGTCTAAAACGTTATATTTTTAAGGTAGTATTCGTCGCAGACTGACATCAGTTGGAGAACCATCGAAAACCTGGGAGTACTGAACAGCTGCTTCATCTAGAATTGAACTCCTCAGCAGTAGGCGCCCACGACTACTGTCAGGGATCACACTCAGAACCTTCAGATTTCACGGCTTATGTGTCCACCTACCGGGGCTGATTTCAGTAGTCCACAAAACTTCTGTCAGTCCACGACATAGCGAGACTATCCACTAAAGTCTAGGGAGAAACCGTGGTATATGTGGTCAATAAGTTGGCAGTGAAGTGGGTCCCAAATAAAGACTTCGGTGAGTGTTTACACTATATCACGAATTGAGGGAAGAAGGAAACTGTGGACTGTTGACCTCCAACCCGGTGGCTGAGTAGTTAACGTGTTCACTACGAAACCTATAGGTCCTAAATTTGACCCCTGGAGGGGTGTTGGGTGTGTACTGCTGAGGAGTCCCATACTACGGTGAGACACTCAGTTCTTCAGTACTACTAAGTTTTCAATGGTTCTTTAGCTGATATTATCCTTTAATGAGCAGTACCTTAAAAATAAAATCCCCGTAAACCTCAAACTTCATTCAAATATTATATCACAAGATATTCATATTGTGATAAATATTTTATGGATAACGAATACGTTCACACAGAACGTAGCATTTCCGGCTGGTAGAAAAATAAGACACTAAGACACCCTATATAGTGTTGCATAGCCCAGTTTCCATATTCTAACATTTTTGTCTACAAGGAAATTGATTGGTTTCCGTCCACATTTTCCAAAATTTTACAGATGGATACAAGGATTGAGAAAATATCAATTCGGTTTTATCAATAATCACATATTATGCATGAAATGTGGTCCAGTGATAAAGTTTCATAATATTTTATCAAATGAAACTGAGATATTTGATTTACCGACAAAAAATCAAACTGATTTATCAATACATCCATTAGAATCTTATTATACTATAACAGAGATTAACAACGTGAACCCAAAAGTATATCTATACAACTATCCACAAAAGGATGCAAAGATTCTAAAAGGTAAATAATTATATCATCATTGTCTGTAACTTTTGTTTTATTAAAAGGTGGTGGGAAGTTAGAAATTCAACGGTCCATTTTCTCATATACCACATATTATGCTACAGTTTCTGGTGTGCCAGACTTTGTTTTATCAATATGGTAAGTTGATTGTAAAATTTAATACATTTTACTGTGAATCAAATAGTTGCTTGAAGCTTACTATTAATTTTATGTATTCTGATCAAACAACTGAGGGGTTCACCAGTTTAAATCGGTATACTAAATGGTGTACTATTGATATGAATCTTAAATTCTTATTTATAACTCCTATTGGTTCATAGCCCATTTACTTGTTACTGAACCGAGTGATTTGTTGCGCAACACTGGTCATAATATCAAGTAGTCCTGCTTTCAAATGTCATCCATGCAATCAATAACGGCAGTTGTTTTGATCTCAATATAATCTACTTGGAGGTTGAACTGGATAAGGTTTTGACGTACATATATGCTGATTTAGGTGTTATTGAAACAGTCATCTCGTTAAGTGATGGACAGAAGTACATTTCAAAGCATGGTTTCTTTCTTCTACTGAAACTAGTCAACAGGATTACACCATGTTTGCCTAGTTTAATTTTAATGTACACTGTGATTCAGTTGTCTAGACTACATTCATCACAGACGATTTTCTTGCAGAAATTATTGAGTGTCAGCAGGATTCAATACAAATTCTATTCTCTTGTGTCATTCAATACAGCGAAAATGTAAATAAAAGCATCATCAACAATTTGAGGCAAAGAAAGTTGTATTAAACTGGAAGTCAACCAACTTGGTCCCATAATTATACAAAACATAGATACAAAAGCCTTCCTGACGACATCAAATGTCTGTAAGGATTTCAGGTTTCCTGAACAATTCAAGATAGTAGTAAAATTCCCCTTAAGGTTAAAGAAATAAATTCGAGCCAGCAACCATCGGGCTCCCAGCCCAGTGCTCTAGCAACTAAGCTACGAGGTCTGACCAAGGTTTGGCCGGACTACCATATGAATTCGTAACGCGTTACTATCGTTTGATCGTAGTCACATTGGCTGCCTAGTCAGAACTTCTCATCCCAATCCGAATCTAACTGAATTAAAAATTTCAACGCTGAGTTTTTACGCGAGTTTAACAACTAAATAATTCCCACTATAGCAATAAGAACAAGATAGTCAGCGAAGCGACTATTTTCAAAGAATTTATTTTTAATCTATACATTAGCAAATATTTTTGATACTTGAAAAATTATATCCCGTTAGGGAAATTAAACACTATATGACGAAGAAAATAATGATAAAGTGGGTAAGGAACAACATCACTCACTGGGAGGCAGGTACATTCAGCTGACGAGTCCCAAATGGGACGAAATGTGCATCCTGGATTCCACTGCTAGCCACTATCTGTCCTTACTATAACTAGAACACAGGTATATCGAGGCATTCACACAGGTTTCCATATGCCAATAGAGATCGATCAATTCAGTCCAATCAATGACGGTATAATACAAGCAGTAACACTAATATACAGAATGGTTCATTGGATTTATATAACTCATAAGATGATGAAAAATTGATGGACGTGGTAAATCAATAAATTATTGTATAATAGGATTAAACAAAGTGGTTAAAATGAAACCAATGTTTTCTGAAAAGATTGAGACAACTGAGTGAAATAACACCGGGAACTATCTTAGTGAAGGTAATTATAATTACAATAATAGTGATGAAGGAATGATACTAACGTTAATTTAACAGAGGAGGAGGGGAATCTAGTGGGGTTGAGAAAATGTCATGACCATAGTAAAACAGTGACTGTACGTACTTCTTTCACACACAAAGATCAGGCTTTAGTTATTGAATAGCTAAAGTCTTCGCTATTTTCAGGATTCGAAAACGAAGCAGACGCAGGAAGTTAGTACGAATTTGATAAACAATTTTAAAGTCATTGTCTGAATCTGCTGAGTGACGGAAATCAATCAAATGTTCTAGAATGGGACTTTTAACTTCCTTTCACCTTTATAAAATCAAGCTGGAGCATGTTCTCGTATACATGTAGGAAGCATTGTCTGGCTACAGCCTGATGTACCTTGCTTCACCATAGTGGGTGAACTGATGGATTCACACAGAGGCTGTCAGACGAGGAAGTTTATCTTTAACACAAACAGAGAATAGTTTGCGACTGGTAAAAGTCAGTTGGAGCCTTGGTGCGAAGAACGTTCTGCTGGTTGATTTGAATGGATGGTTCTTAAGTACATCTCATGCTTGTTCACCTTTAAATTCTAGGTTCATGAACAACGTTTTCTATGAAACCGAGTGGATGACTGGTTCGTTGCATATTTTTACCAATGAAACGGCAATGTTAACTTTTTTCAATGAGTGTGCTTTCTAAAAGCAATAGCTCTGCATCATTATAGTCTTCACTACAGATATTTCTGACTTGATTGCAGAGAAAGTGAATAAGATTTGCTATTGACAGATACCCAACTATGAAAATGAGTTCGTTGTCTGTTCCACGTTGCTTTTCTGTAGATGAATTGTTTAAGGAATCCATTATTACTTCCGGTGAGGAGCACATCAGGAAAAGGAATAGTTAATTCTCATTCCTTCTCTATGGTAAACTTGAGGGGTGGATGGCAGTCATTGAACAAACGAAGAATATCGTTTAAATCAACATCTTTGTCACAGATTACTGAAGTATCACACATATATCTTCTATAAAAGTCATAGCGACTAATAGTTTGACAAAGCTGAAGATTCTCTAGTTTTGACATAAAAAAAAGTCTGCTAACAATGGTCCCAGTGGTGACTCCATAGCAATTCCATCTTTCTGTTTATAGATTTCATTATTGAAACTAAACTGGACACTAAATGTACACTTCAACAATAACTCCTTCAAGCAGCTGGTTAGTAATCCTACGTCTAGATTATGTGCATTTGCCTTATAACAAGTTCCGACATTTCATCTAACCACTGAGCGATTCGATGATAAGGAGAACCAGTCGTATCCGAGATCGGACGGAGAGGTAGTCCTGCTTCATGTATTTTTATTAGTCCATATAGACGTGGGATCATGGAACCAACCTGTGGGATACGTTCATACAAATTGGAGGCAATTATTGATTTATCGTTTACGTATCTACAGATACTTGTAATTTGTGTTTGAATAAGATGTGTCTTGTTGGTTTCACATTTAGGTTTAACAAAGTTGGTGTGGTCGGAGAGAATTACCAAGAGTTTATCATTATATTCCCTACGATTCATTAGAACAACACCTCCTCCATTTATCAGGACGAGTTATGATAATATCATTGTTATGTTTAAGTAACTTAACCCATTATATATGATCTTAAGTCAACAAGCAGCTAGAAACTATTTAGAAATTGGTAAATTGACAACAGCAGTTGAGAACAGAAGACTCGAAATGATCTAATTCCCTTGGCGATGCTGACATTGAATTGACAGTCTGACTGATTGAATTTTCAAATTGCATTTGAGTGTGTAGTTTGTTAACCTTAGATTTCCAGCTACAGAAACCTGGGCTCAGAGATAAAGCTTGGAGTTGAGTTGTCGACTGATTAACAGAGGAATGATTGAATACATAGTTATCAGGACAATTCAGAAATTTCCTTTCCATTTCAACTGGCTTCAAGCCATCGAGATTGGCCTATTGAGACTGATTTTCTACGACAGTAGAGACGTAATTCTTGAACTGTTTGCATTCATCAGTGAATAAATCATAAGGAGCATGACTGTCCATGGATATATTCCTCCACAACTCTACAGCACGAGAACCAAGGGCATCAATATGAATAAATGCCTGAAGCTTCAATGTTTCAGAACTGAGTTGGATATGGTTTCACCTGAACACTTTCCACAACAGTTTCCGATATTCGTTTCTGTCGATACAACTTTCGAGGAAGTTAATCACAGATTCCACCAAAGCAAGCTTGATAGAATAGCGTAAAAACTCACTAAGTTTTCATAAAGCTTTGTTGCATAGTCATTTTTGCTGTTTATTGACCTTAGCTTGTTTATTGTTCTCTGTTATGTCATCTCGAATATGAGTGCCCGATTTGCGTCAGTCATTGTGAAGTGTTGAGTTTATAGTTGTAACTGCAACAAAAATAGACAGTTTGCCGAATCCAAGCGACTTTCAGTTGAAACTAACACTTGTTAACTAACAGTATTCGCACCAACTCATCCATTTTTGCCAGATGTTATCACGCTACTCAAAATTTATAAGTAGCATAACGTGTGTACGAAAATTGTGTGATAAGTGTGGATAGTTGAGCTTATTGGCAAAAAATATGGTCGCCAACTTACATTCTCTGTAGCTTTGAAGCGTGGAACTTGTTTTCGGATTTTGTTGTTCACAGAAATGGGATTCTCATTCTATAGATAAAAATCACAATAGTGCATTCGGCAAAATCAGGACAGTATACAGTTTATTCACTCAGTCGGTACTCTAAAGCGTATTCTACCAAATGTAAATCATAGCGGACTGTATTATACAGATTATTAACTAAGCACAATATAGTATACCAAGGCCAGAATTGGATTTTTCTGCAAGCAGTAATCATACCAGCCGTTATTCCAAATCAATACAAGTGGCGTTGAGATTTAGTCATCAATCAAGTAATTAAAATCAAATATGCCGACCCCTGAATCACATATCCATAGACCTTAAGCCGATTCAAATCCTTAAGAAACTGAAACCTTCCATTGGTTTCGACAAAACCTTCCAACTAGCACTAAAATTAGTGGTTAGCTATCCCCGTTATTATACTTACCAGTATGATTGAGATTCACACAACACGATCCCTTGTTTGTTTTCATCAGAAGAAGAAGGACAAGATTTGAAGAGCAAACTGAGCTCTTAATTATTTTTCAGCTTTTCCTCAACTCCAAACAGTCTAGGATAAATACAGGATTAATAAAGGATAAAATGAGAAGCATAATTTTGTGTCAGAACTAACTGACTCTGTATATTTGTAAATATAGATACAGCAGGCAAAATCTAAGTTTAAAAATGTTAACTGTGATAGTAGTGGTGATAATGTTTGTTTATCTGTAGGCAACTGGAAAGAAAATCTTGGAGTTTCACCACGAAGCATAAGAAATAGTAACACCATTATCGAGGTAACGCCAGATCAGTCATTGTCTCTTTCTGAAAACAGTTCACATTTGAAGTATTTGCACACTGTTGATTCTGGGAAACGAAGTAAAATCGAAGTTATTTACCAATTTTTTATTGTTGATCACCTGAAACCTAGTGGTATGTGGAACTCAAACAAAAGCCAGAGTGCTTTAGTTTCACTTTGGTTCAGCTTAACACTTTACAAGTCATGGATGCATTATATTCTCGGGAAAACCTCACAGTTGTCCTATTAACAAGGTGTTTGATGGGTTTATGCTAGAGATTTTGAAGAAAGTTGGCGAATTTCACTTGGTAAACAATGCTTAAATCACTAGCTGATTTGCCATAAGCACTGGTCTCTTTTCACAGTTTAGTCACAAGTAATTTTGTTGTTTCATTATCACTTTTTGTAATATGGAGAAGGCTTTCGGTAGCATATGGAAGTTTACAAGAGTCTGGAGTGTAGGAGTAAAACTTGGACACTGTGGTAAATTGTAATTCCGCTTTAGTTTGTTGATTAGAACTGTCACATAGTGAAGCAGTATTTTTTTAGTGGATAACGTTTGAGCATAATTTATTATCCATATTCATGTCAGGCCAGGTAAGAGTTTAGAAACCTAATATAAATGGACGTAGAACGCAGCTTGATCGTCAAACTTCAGGAAGGTTACCTCTTCGAATATTCTGCAACATAATGTCACCAAGCAATTCACCGATTTGAACGACTGTGCAGGAAGGCACCTCTAAGGAAATTTCATTCGCATGCTGTCGTTTATGACCTCAAAAGAGGAAGGACAATAAAATAAACTCTGATCAAAACTCATTATAATCTGCTTTATATGAGATTATTTCACTCATCATGTAGTAAAATATTATAAGTTTCCGCGTTAACTTGGTGAAGAAGTAAAGACCATTGTCAGAAATAAACAGGTATTTGAGTATGAATTAGTAATTGGAGGGTTATAGTTTCTTTCTTCATAATATTTAACTGTTATACCGCTGTGTAATTAGCTTGAACTACTTTTTTGAGTCAAACTTCCAATCTATCCTGAATTTCACTGTATGAAGCTTCCAGTAAATAAGAGTGTAATTAAAGTTTGCTTTAGGAAATAAGTAATTCATAGATGCATGAAACCTAGGTCTATGGCTTCTTGTCGGTCTTCCCTAGCCAACTAACACCCACCAGAAGTGCACCACGATGGTGCTCCTCCTAGTTTGGTGGCAACATTAGAAAAGTGATTGGCGAAATTCGGTCAGCACTAAGGACTAGAAAACATGAAATTGTATACCCTCCTGTCCTGCAGGAGGCCAATCATGACCCAAATAGTTCACCGGTAAAGTTGCAGGCTGCAACACTGAGTGATGCAAGTTTGAATCTCACAAGGGTCATCAATTCCTTCGAAGTTCTAGATACGCCTTTCTAATGAGTACTGATAAGCACAAAATGTAGATTCAAGGCAGTCTGCTGATTGCCGAAAACATGAAGAGTGTAGAGTTGTTTATTTCACGATTAAAATAAAACACCAGATAAACAGATAACAAAATGAATTACATACTTTTAAAATACTAAATTCATAACCAGCACTCCAAAGGAGCACAGGGTACGTGACAATTCATTAAGGAAAATAAATATCGTGCAATTTGACTTAAAATCCTTATATCCCGAATATTCATAGTCAGTTGTTTTGAAAAACATGTTAGTTTGAATGGCAGATTAACTCATTCATGTTTGAAAGAATGAAAAAGAATAAATTAAAGTTTTCTCAATGACTTCACTGCAAACATTTGTACACTTTTTATTTAGAAGTCTTATAATCATTTACTTCAGTTATACTTCCTATTCAAGGTAGAATGTATAAAATTATTTCATAATTTTGATCTCATTTCATTGGAAAACTAATGAACGAAAAAGTTTGTAGACTAATGTTCAAGTATCTAATAAGACACCAGTGACATTATCATCACTTTATAATAAAGACCAGTACCTCTACCAATAACGAAGCAAATCATGCCTATGATTTCTGCATAACTTTACCTTTGTATAGGGATTTTTATACCGGTGAATTGATTTGCAAAACTAATTTAAATGGAACTCACTTAACAACATTCAGTTTTTGCCCTACTGATTGGCATTATTTAGTTGGTACAGATCGTCGTTGTATATATATTTGGCAGATTGAAGTATGCAGTCAGATGAATTTGATTTGGTGCAAGTAAGATTTAATTTTTGATATTATATTTCAATGTAATTGTTTCATTTTTTAAAATACTACTGTGTAAATTGACCATGATAATTTTATCATCCTAACACCTCATTACTGGAAATTAGTGACCTTTGTGGTTGATCACATTAGGAGTAATGAAAGATATCCACTGATGACATTGAATGACGGTTGTACTGTATAACGAATAGACAGAAGTTATAGAAAGTGGTTTAATCGATCCTATCCCTGTTATTGAATTATAAAGTGTTCATCAAGGGGCCCAACAGTTTTGGTCTCAGTCCTTCATGAGGTCTTAGTTAAACACTCTTGAGGAATTCCAAACAAGAGGAAAACTGCTGACCAGTGGTCCCAGTTTTGCCACTTTTCTCCTAGTAATATAAACTCGTGATGAAAGTTACTCTGAAAGCAATCAATCCCTATAGACCACCAATTAAGATGTAAATAACTGAAAAGTGAAATAATGGTCAAAATGAGGAGCTAGGAAATTTTTATTTGTATTCTAAATCAATAGTCATCTTTTGAAATCAAGCAGAAACAAAGAAGTGTTTGTCTCTATTCTAGAGCTTTTCTTTCATCAAGACGAATCGAAATCAACCACCTGAATTGCGATGGAAACAGTTTCAGTCCTTATAGGTTTTTAATTATTGGTGAATCGTATTGTTAACATTATTCTGTTCATGATGTGGTGACCGGAGAAAGAGAGAGCTTCATTGTAGATTTCTGTGTCAGTTTAAACAATTCACATGATTCTCAAAGCTGGTGTTCATCTTGTAATTGAGTAACTTCCTTATCAGCTGGATGAATCGATTATCAAGTAATAGATCAATTATATTTAATAAATACGCAAGAGATTTCCTGTAATGAATTATTATTCTTTTGCTTTATAAACTTAATTTTAGTTCTATACTGCTACCGGAATGCTCTGTAAGTCTTGGACTATATGATGGATTAACTGAAATCATAACCCATGAAGATGATACATGTATACAATATGAGACAAGATTTGATCCTAAACTTCCAGAATCATCAATAACAGGTGGTGTAATTGTAATTATTTTCATCATTAAGTCTATAACTAATAGTTTTTCATACCCCTTTTTCCTCTTATTATCACTATTATTATCATCATTTTATTTTTTGTATGCTTTTCCCCGCTTAGGATTAAATGAGAAGGCGAAAGAAGAATTTGATTATTATATGGATAAATCTGTTCGAGTAAATTGTATTTCACAAACTTGGACAAATTCAGAATTGGTTTTTATTGGTTGTGAATCAGGTCAGCTGTTATTGGTAAGTTTCAGTTGGAAAAGATGTATGCGGGTAAGGTCTCTGACTTCAGCATTGGCTTATGTCAGTTAGATTATTTGATGAGAAATCACTTCCTCATATTTTATAGGCACACTTTTCTGACGAGTACCAACAAACATGAAGTCTAGGCACAAGACTTCCTTTTGACTGCCATCGACCACTACGTGACAAATGTTGGCTACATTGTGTTCTACTTTTAGTTCTTGAGAGTTTTCAGTATTAGCTAACATCAAATGAGCAAAGTATTAAAACCAGGTAGTATAATAGAGTTGCTCCAGATCGTCCTGAAGTGAACACCTAACTGCCATCCTAACCCCGTTATTCAGAAATATCTGTCAATTCTAAACTTTTAGAGTAGACGAACGTATCTTTGTTGATTATTGTTATCAACTGTGTCAGCTCCTGATACAAATCAGTTGTTTACTTAATAAAAGGGATGTTTCAACGAAAATTTTGAAATGAAAATAATAAATTCCCCTCAAATAATGATCACACTTATATAAAGGTAAATCGCCAATATGAATTTGTCCACTGGCTAAAAACAAGAGTAATTTGAGTACAATCTTCTCTATCAAGCTGTCAATTTGTTATTTGGAATACTTGCTAAAGATGATTTTCATCCTAATTAGCATAAAAAGAAGTTTGTATCACGTGAGTTGTTATTTCCATATTTTCATCGTGGATACCTTTCAGGAAGTATTCTATACAAATCAACAAATTCCTAATATAATTTCATTCATTTCTCAAAATAAAGATATCAGAAAGTAATTAATATTGCACTTGGATTTCCAAACTACAAAACAATAGCTTACTAATTTACCTGATTTACTGATTTCAAGTTGGTATTCATCACCGATTGATATCAGTTGGAGAACCATTGAAAACCTGGAAGCACTAGACAGCTGTTTCGTCATAATATGGGACTTCTCACCGGTACGCATCCATAGCCCAATTATTGTGAGATGGAGCAACTGTCCACTGTCCTTGGATTTTCAATTTGTCTCTATCTGACATGGGTCAGTGCTGAATACCAAACTGAAGTCAATAAATAAATCCCTTTAGACCTCCAAATTGAATCACATGTTTTAAAATCTAATGGATCAGAATACTGAGTTATTCGACTGGGAGGATAGAGAAGTTGAGGAATAATCAACTGTATGAGAATGTAGGGATTTTCGAATTGTTCGGTTGGTAAAAAATGCATTGACGATATTGGATCAACTGTTACAAAACAACAACTTAAATAACATAATAACTCCTTGAAGTATTCTGAATTGCGTAGATTTTCACTGTTTTCCAGGTATTACTCCTTAAATAGGTGTCGCTTAGCAATAAAGCTTATACCTAAGAGTTTTAGTCACTCCATGCAATTCATTTAACCCAATGATGAAAAATAAGTGTAAGATATAATTTTAGTGGAAGAAATCTACAAAATTGAAGCCTAACAAAGAGTAATTTCATCTCGCAATACCACATGAATATTGTTATAATTTATAAATTAAACTTAACATTGAATTACCTGTTTTCATGGAAAATAAAACTTGATTTTGCTGTATTGTGTTCTCTGACCTGGGTGACTTTCATTGTCTTTCTAAACAATATTAACTGCGCATACTTTATTATGAAGTAGTTTTATATATACTTAGTTCAGGTGTCCAACCAAATAGGTGTGAATTTTTAACGGGGACAAAGCCTTTTACGTACAAAAACATAATAGTACTATATATGAAAGGCTTTAAATTTTCTAGGTGTCAATAATCCATTTCAAATGAATTTTATGCTGGATTAATGAGTTTCTTAGCAAAAAAATAATGTAAGACTATCAGTGTTGTAATCTTTCATTCATCTGAGATATTTAACTGTTTTATTTTATAAAACATGCATCTTATTGCTTCTTTGTACTTCTTAGCTTGATCCAATCAATATGAATCTGAAGATTTTACGAAATCCATTTGCTAACTCTCATCGTTGTAAAGGTAGGAAATATCAGTGTGAATTTTATGATAATAATTAAACCACCATCATTCAACTGAATTTAACTACTGACCAATGTGTGTAGTTCGTTATTACATGCATAGATCAGTAAATTTCTTAAGCTTTAGGTTTAATTGATACCAATTATCATATACATTATTGATAAATGCTTTTAAAATTGTTCATCTGATTCGTAACACTCTAGTTTTTTGGAGCTTTTTTATGAATAGGTACGTTAACTAGCTCCAATATTTGATATTCCTTCAAACTGAACTATACACAGTCTCAAAAAAGTATTAAAACCTAGTTTTTAGTAGATCTCATTTACAAGGAAATCTGTTAAATGGAATAAACACATTTTGGAAAAAAAATTTATTTGTTGATATCGTCGTTGATCTCATGTATTTTCGGCTACTTTCTTCAACTTTAGTGTCAAGCAGCATATCCATACATCTACTAAAATGTGGAAGGACATAATGAAGATAAGCCACCATATCGACATCCGTTGAGTAGACAATAAGCCAGTCCTGTTGTACGAAGGTTATTAATACTGCCTGGCTATTCAACCCTTAGTAGATTGAGTGGGATCTAAATTCATGACCACCAAATTGAATGTGGGGGTGGGGACTAGACCAATGATCCACAGCTATACTGGTTTTCAAATGTCAAACCCACTTCTATTCAAGGCAGGCTATCAAACCTCCAGAAATTAGATACTCGGTGAGTTGGCCTCGGTGACAACCATCTGCTTCAGTTTAGGAGTTCTAGAAGTGTTACAGTATACATACGATGAAGACTCCAACGCACATGTCTAGTTACTGTCTGTCTCATCGTGCTTTACTGCTTGAAGTGGGTTTACGCCAGAAGAATGTGAAAAGATGTTAGATTAAAACATGGCATCAGTCCATGAAGTCTGTGATTATTAGTCTGACCCACATGGGAAAATGTGAGCTTCCTGGTTGGGAACTACATAACAAACGAAGTTGATGGTCGGTGACTCGGGGTGATATGAGTGATAAATTTCCTTATAAGAGCGAATGTATCTATACAATATCTTCATTCTAATTGTCGCATCGCACTTCCTTATTCTTATTCCTCCCCTTCCTATCTTTTTATCACTTCCTAGGATTTTCGATTGCGCTTTTTCACTACTTCTCCACCTTTCATCTTCCTGCCATATATCTTGAGGTGGTGTTACAAGATATGACAAATTGGATTGTTGTGGACTACTTGCAGGTTCGATGTTAATATTAACCGACTTGAATAATTGCAAATCAAAAGTTCCTAAGAGCTTCCATGTGACATCAGTAGCTGGTCTAGCTGTTATTGTTAGCACACCAAGAAGCATAGCTGAAGCTACACTAGTCGACTAGATCCCCACTAACATTTGTCAGTATTTGCTGCTAGGAGAGAAAGTTTGATTAGAGTAAGCTGAAACTAATAGGTTACACGATACCTCTTCGTCATCTCTTTCCATACTCAAACTGACTTAAATGAAATCATCATCGTACTGATCAGTAAAAAAGAGTCTATGTAACGTGAATGATTTACCTTACTGATGAATCTGCTGCCAGTAGTGTCTAAAGTATTGGCATCTGTCTTATTCTGGAGGCTTTGTAAATCGTTAGAGTAACTAGCCTTTAAGAGGCATGGGGTGGTTTCTTTCATGCTGTAGATGCATTGGCCTTTTTTTCACTCTCTACTAGATGTTTAAGATTATCAATCGTACTCGAGTCCAAAGCGATCGTTATATTTCTCCATAATAAGGATGTTTTCAATCCGTTAGATAGGGCCACACTCTTAGACAGCTTTTCCCCTGAATGTTATTTAACAGCCTGAAAGCCCTAAATTTTAACAATTCCGGTGAAGTGAAAGCATATGATCATTTATTTCCATTGTTTCAAACCATTGATCAGGGTAGGCAGAGTTATTTCACTTTGCTATGAAAACTTCAATACAGTCACGAAACAGATGTATGGTGGTAATATAAACCTGTTACCAGATTAAAGACTTTCCGACCTTAAGTGTGTAGAGGAAATTGCTTTAATGTGCAAAAACATACAGATTACTCAAACCACACCCACTCAGTGATCAGTATCCCTAAGTGAAACACTTGCTTCATACCGTCCAATGACTCTCTGTTTCTGATCACGGTCGTCCCAGTAAATTTGCTCATATTCCATGAGAACAGCATATAAGTAATTCCATGGAGAGACAAAGTGTATTGGAGGCAATGAAGATTGTCATTCATTGAGTGAAGTCATCTTGGAACACTGAATTCGGTGACTTGGACATGCGCTACGAATGTTGTACCAGTGGCTGTTTCCTCAATCTACGTTTTCATTTCATCTTCAATCACCACGTCATAAAAATTGATAATAATAACTACAGACGCATACAATGACTTTGAATGAAGATATCTGAAGTCATAATTAGGTTATTCAAACATTTACACACAGGACTGCTAAGTTATTTCTAGTATCATTTTACCAATGCGTCATATGGCAAAACAAAGTGCCGATCATTAAGTTAGACGTTTGGTTGAAATGATTATTGAAATTGTTGACCGACTCCGTACCACTGTAAAACGAAATCATGTCCAATTTTAAGGTTCATTGATTCCGCTTGAACGTTTGATGAAATAATTAAAATAGTCTTCTTTTAATGTTTATTCTGGATATTTAATTAGACTTGATGAATATAATGTTGTTAGTCCATTAAATATGTACTTTTGCACATTTTTCAGTCTAATTTATTTTTTAAATCTAGAAACCTTGGAAGGTTTCACTGGAAAATATGTCAGTGATTGTGATTCTGATTCAACAGATAAATCAAATGAGAAAGTGATCAATATACCAGCTGGATGTTTAACCTATTTACTATATACAAAGCATGGTCTACTAGCTGGTGGTTGTGATGGTATTCTACGATTGATAGGTTTAAATAAGTTGACAACTGCCAACAAAATGAATCCTACTATAAAACAAGATGATAATCAATTTTCTACCAGATTCAATAAGGCATCATTAATGAAAATCAATGAAAACTTATTAAATACTGAAGTTGTTGATTGTATAGAATTGTATACACTTGAAAATCCAGTGCAAAAAGATGATGACTATAATTGGGCTACAAATATTACAGGCTTGTGTGTGTCAAAGTCTTATGGACGAATAGCGGTCAGTTGTAGGCTTGGTCAATTGTTGTTATTCACTCTGAACGAGGCAACAGAGCCAAATCTCACACTCGAGTTACGGATACTAACGAATTGTGATCGCTATGTGGGAATGGGATTGGTCACAGTTGAGAAAAGAATATGGTGTATTGTAAGTTCCAGCATAGATAGTGTACACTTTTATAGACAAATTAGTTACAACGATTATTTATAGTACTTTTACTAATCAAAGTCAATTTGTTTGTTTTTAAATTAACGTTAACGAATACTCATTGGATGTTCGGAGTAATTTTTAATCATCTCTATCCGATCAACAAACATTTTGGATAGGTGTGAATGCCAGCCAACATAGGTTTTGGTACCAGTCCATGAAGTCCCTGACTAGTAGCCTAAGTCGTGTAGGGAGATGTAGACTTACTCTTTAGGGCATGCGTCACAAGCTAAATCAGTGATCGAAAACCCTAAATAACGTAGCTCAAAACTGATCTCAGTGGTACAAGTTTATTAATGCCTTCTCTTCATGCTTATCTTCGCACCATATTTCTACCGGGTGGTAATTGAAGGCGAGATGGAAATTTGGACCACGGCCGAAATTCTAACCAGCGGCTACCGTGTTTCCGGCCAAATACCACGTGAATTCATGAAGCGTTACTACCTCTCGATCGTATTCACACTGGCTGCCTAGTGAGGACTTCTCATCCTAATCCAAATCTAACCGAATTAGAGAGGGGGAGCATCATATTGATCATCATAGCCGCAGTTTAGTAGACTAGTACGGTTATCTCAGATAGCTAAATGAGCGTGATATTTCATTATGTACCATATTCCGCTTCTTTTTCTACTTCTGAATTCCTCCTTCTACAGGATAGCCAGGTACGATGTAATACTGACTGACGATGAAGGCGGTCTATAACGAACAATACCGGTCACTGGTATCGAATGTACAGCTTTTATTGAGTTTCTGTCGAACCTGAGACAATGCATCAGTCAAAGTATAACTGGAGAAAACATTTGGAAATACTGGTAGAAGTTGAGGAAATAGGAAATGAGATGAATATGTTTTAGAGAGATATTATAATCAACTAGTCTAAATATCTCTATTGAGTTATACATTACAAAAATTGAATAAAGAAATGCTCTCCTCATCAACATCGTACTGGAGCTGTGCTACTAGAAATTTGAAATTAAAAAAGAATGTATTATGATTTTCCACAGTAAAAATACAGTCATAATTCAGTAAGCATGATTGGTGAGAGATATGTTTTTGGTAAGTTGCTACATCAGGATTTTTTCAAAGCCAGGGTTAGTTAACCAGTATCAACGAAGGACCTGGCATTACCGTGTAGCTATCGAAATGGAATCACATTATGAAAGAAAGTTAACTGAATGGTAAGCTTAAAAAGAAAGTTCCTCAGGTTATTTATGAGTCCTCCAAAATCTTATATCTGACTAGTTTTTCCACCATCCCACTGTGATGTCAATACAGAAAAGTGTTATGAAATGAGAACTTGTATTACTAGTTGTATGAGTAGTAGTTAGAAGTCACTGACACATATAAACACATTTATCAAGATATCAACACTGTTAGAGCAACAAACTGAATGGAAATAACCTTGAACAGAAGTATATGAAAGTAGTAATCGGGTAAAGTCAAAGTGTAAACCTATATTTCATCAACCTCATTTATTGAACGACTGAAGACTGTGTGAATAACTGTGAGTATCGACTACTATGGGTTCCGCTTAAACAGATAGTTTTACAGTCTTTTATTACCAATTAAAAGAATATTTTAATTTCTTTATATTCTAAAGACTGCAAGAAATACTGGCATATTAAATTGTTGGGAATGTAAAACAGGCGAATTGATGGGATCATTATTTCTCAATGACAGAGTGAGTTAAATGTAAATGTTAAGCCTACAGTTTATATAGTCTTTCAGACTAATGAGCTAACTTCATTAAAATACATTTCCTTCCATTTGTTAGGCGCATTATTACTTGTTAATTCCTACCGATTTTTAGTTTTACATTTCTTTCATTCCAACACAAATAGGTTTTGAAAAACTTCATTACTCACAAATAGTTTAAAATGTATGGAACTTCAATATTATGCCATTGAGAAGCTGGGACATTGACGTATAGCCAAGTTTTTGTGAAGGGTAAAATATAATCTTTTCATAGTAATTAACGCCACTTAGTAAAGTCAAACAGGGCACAAAATTGACTTTAATAATACCAAGGTTCTACAAAAATCGTTTCGGATCGTATCAAAAAAGATTGACACACCCGAGACCCAACATTTGTGGACAAATCTAAATAGCTTGCACAGATAAGATGGCGAGTAGTTAACCACCTCTTGATAATTACTATTTACTAAGGTGGAAGAGTGACTCTAGGACTTACTTTCAACACCAGTCCCATCTTCATTATCTCTTCATTGACAACATACAGTCTATATTGGTTTGATTCATCATTATCATTATTATTATCATCACCATCATTACTACCATTCAGTTCCACTTTATTTCGACAAGTTAATAAAAACATTGGTAATACTAACTCATCTCTGTACTGATACTAGGTGATGAATGAAAGTGAAATGAAAATCCGAGCTGTGGCAGGATTCGAACCAGTGACTTCCATGTTACCGACCAGGTGCTCTACCAAGTGATCTACGAGACCCTAACTTGGAGATAACTCGTCCGAATTCTGCTGCAGGCCAGATTTTCATTTCATCTTCCATCATCACTCAGTATCAATGCAAGTTTGCCAAACCATGTCTATCCCTTATACACTGACCGAAGTGACAAAAGCATCCATCTCATATGCTGTATTCTACTTTTGAAATTACCAAATGACTGCAATATCACCTTTGACTTTTTTGTCTTGTGTTTATAATTATGAAGAATACGAATAGCAACACATACGCACACTATACAATAAGAGACATACAGATTCACACCGAATAATCAGTAATCATGTTTTAGAAAAACACTGACTATCCGAAGAGGATTGGATAAGGAAATTAAGTACATGTTTTTGAGTTCATATATATATATATATATATATATATATATATATATATATATTAATCTGTTTGATTATTTTCCTGAAGAAGCTTGAACCTAACTTCCATGAGGAGAAACTTTGGAATTATTTTATTTCAAATACGCTATGGCTTACACAAACATCAGCCGTATCTAAGGTTATAGTATCTATTCCAAAAATGTACACATATGTAGTTCATTGCAGCGGTATTGATTTTGATTCCATATATGATGATATCACTGGAACGTTATAATAATAATAATAATAATAATAATAATAATAATAATAATAGCTTTATTCTGAAAGCTACTTCGGGAATACTCTGCAGAATTTTCAGCACGTCATATAGCATCAGTTGGATAGAGACAGTAAATATGTATACATAGCAAAATGAACATAAATAGAAATTACATGAGGAAAAGATAAAAATATTCACTCGGTCTACAACTTTCTTCAAAATTCATAGTCAGTTTAGGTATACAATCATATTGGCAGTTTGGTTCATAATACGTAAAAAGTAACACGCTTATCTTCAGTTAGTTTGCTTTCAAAAACAGAAGTTGATTTGGTTGTTCATTTCTAATACTTTCTTCATCACATAGCAGACGAGCTAAATACGGTGTCGCACAATTTTTGTATTTTTAATTCGTGCATAGAGTCTTACGTACTTACTCCTCGTCTTTCCAGATGACCGACACGTAGAGAGCTTCGAGTGAAGAGGATGTTGGTCAGCTGATAAAATAACTCCTGCCAGATGTTTGTACGAGTTAATATGTTTGTCTAGAAGTTTTAACTAAAAGGTCAAATGGTGTACCACTAGTTCTACCGACAATCTTCAAAGCTCTACGAAATATAGCATAGTCTTTTTTCAGCAACCTAGGAAAAAATAAAGGGGAGTAATAGAGGAGGACAGGCAAAACCCAGGAGTTTATAAAATATAAGAGAAGAGGCTGAGTAATACCAGATACTTTCAGTATCCTAATATAAAAAGTTAGGCGAAAAGTTCTTTTGAAAATTAGTGAGGTATGAGAAGACCAGGAAAGGTCCGAAAGAAAACATACACCAAGGTAAATCACATTTGTAACATTCTCTAATGCGCAACTATCAATAGAACAGGAATCATGAGAACTAAGTAGTTTACACAAGTCATGTTCATGTCTAAAACTAAAGTTTATGGTCTGAAATTTTGAAGGATTTAGCATAAGACCATTCTCGAAGGACCATCGTCTAACATTAGACAGAAAGTTATTCAGTCAGAAGCAGTCCGCTGAATATGAGATAGGTATAGAAACTGTTAGGTCATCAGCGTATATAATGAAATTGATACCAGCTGAAGATGGTAAGTCATGCAGAAAGAATGAGAAAAGACTTGAGGAAGGGATGGCTCCTTGGGGAACTCCAGTCACAGTAAGCAATGAGGTGGAGCACTTCCCTCTGTGAACAGTATGTTGTTTCCTATCAGAGAAACAGGAATGTAGCCAGTTGATTATCCAGGACTCAGTATTTATCCTGGTAAGCTTGTCCAGCAAAAGAGGTCTTAGGACAGAATCAAATGCTGAAGTATAGTTTAGAAAGGCACACCTGACGTACTTACCATTTTTATCGAGACTGTGAGTAATATCGTGATATAAGAGAGTGGTGGCATCCAAAGTACTTCTACTTTTATACGCAAATTGATTAAGATCTCCGAAGGTCTTCAGTGAGGGCTTGAGCACAGGTATTATAAACTTCTACATTATTTTTAAGAACGGAGATGTAACTGCAATCGGACGGTATTTTGTACATGCACCTGGAGTCCTAGACTTAGTTACGGGGACTTTCTTAATATCTCTAAGGGCAGCTGGTGTGGTGTTTTCTAAAAACGATCTATTGAACATGTTAGCTAATGGACAGCATAAAATATCAGCACATTTCGTGAGTACGAAGCTTGACATACCCTCCGGACCTGAACTGTGAAAAGGGTTTAGGGATTTGAGACATCTGAAAACATCGTTTGCGGTGAACTCTGAACAACTTTCTTCATTGGACATGGGTAGACATAGTGGGATCGAACAAGTGTGTTGACGTAAAAATGATTTGTTCAAGACACAGACATCGACATAAGGTCCTTTGCTAGAGTGTTTACTCCCAGTGAGGTCTTTAAAAAGTTTCCACATACTGGAAGAACCTTTGCATGATAAAAGTTTCTGGTTGTATAATAGACTCAGACGTTTAATTTCCAACCTAATTAAAACGTTCAATCGACGAGTACCAGTATTATCACTTACCTTATACAGTTTTTCTTTTTCTCTTCTAAGTTTCTTAATCTAGGGAGAAGATATACGATCGAAGCATAGAAAAAGCTTTTCACTATGGCAACATATATCTAGGCAGAACTTGATGTAGCATATTAAACCATCAAAAGTATCATTCAAATCATCCCTGTCAAATTTATTCCAGATTGTACATTGAAGCATTTCTCTTAGATTAAATATGTTACTAAGTGAATAGTTTCTATGTACAATCTTATATGTGAAAAATGTTTTATGAAGTTTGCTTCAGTTGAGATAAACTTCAGAAGAGGACAGAATTTAAAGCTGTATCCCAAAGAAAGATAGAAGTGATTAGTGCAGCGTTGAACTACACAAATGAGAGCTCCCTATAGTGAATGCAACTTTTTCTCAAATGATAACTTTTTCCTTTTTGTGTGTTTATCTAAAAAGGTTGTAAATACCATAAATGAAGTACTACGTTTTCAAGTTAATATCTAAGTTTTGATACGGAAGGTAAGGACCTGAAAACCTGACAACGTGATGCCAGATTCATACTCTTGTCAATGATCTTCCTAGCAAGATCGGAACATTGAGGAATAATACAAAATATTTAATTTAGAGGTAATATTCATCGTGGACTGACGTCAGTTGGGGAACCATTGGAAATCTGGGGACACTGGACAGCTGTTACGTCCTAGTATGGGACTCCTCGGCAGTGTGCACCCACTACTTGGTTGGGGACCGAACTCAGGCCCCTACAGGTTTCATGGCGGACTCACTAACCATTCAGCCACTGGGTTTATTTAACTTATTTTGTTATTTGTTCTAATATACTATGCCAAAATTGCACAAGTAAAAATACGCCTTTTACCATGAATCATGATAACTCGGTGCCTAAGTTTTTCAAACCATCCAGTCCATTGTTGGTCAGGATACCTTCAATATTATTACACTGTCTAATGACTGCATTGAATACTGATGAGTAAACAACTTTTTGTTGCCCAGTAATGAGTGGCGATCGAATCCTGTCAAATAGCTCACTGGTAACATCTCTGCCTATAGTACTGGGTGACATAGCTTCGAATATGTGAGATGACAGTTCCTTTTGGTTTTTAAATACTTCTTACTGACCAGTGTCAAAAAGACCCAACCAACAACAGCATCAACAACAAGCACCAATCACCATTAGCGGAAGAAACCCACAGGAAGTAGTCTCTCTCACCTACCTAGGTAGAATCGTTTCAACTACAGGCGGCACGGGCACATACGAGGATGTCAAAACCAGGATTGGAAAGACAGCAAGATAGGCTTTCACTAATCTGAAACCAGTGTGGAGATCTTCTGCACTCAGCATAAAGCGTGAACAAGATCCTGATTTTCAACACTAATGTGTCAGTCAAGTCAGTGCTGCTATGTGATGGTTCAGAAACTTGGTGTGTCACGAAAAGCACTTCCAACAAACTACAGACATTCATCAACAACTGCCTACGCTTGCTCGATACTGAAGATCAGATCAGATGGTCAGAAATAATAAGCAACAAGGAACTCTAGGAACGGATCAAGCAAGAGCCTATCACCCAACAAATATGCAGCAGAAAGTGGAGATGGATTGGGTATACACTGAGAAGGCCGATTAAGGACATCACACGCCAGCCCAGTCGTTCAAGTTGAATCCAAATGGGAAACGACGAGTTGGGCATCCAAGGTGAGGGTGACATGGAAGAGGTCATGTAAGGAAGAAATGAAAGCTTGTGGGCAGTCACGGTGCAAGGTTGAAAAGACTGCAGAGAAGACACTGGAATGGAGGTGTGCTACTGGAGCCCTATGTTCAATGAGGAAATTAAGTGAAAAAAAATTATGATTATGTCAACAAACATGGAATCTACGTTCAGGGTTTTTTATGGATTGCCTCCGACTAGATATCTTCGTATGGAAAGTTATTTTAGGAAGATCCAGTGAAATAATCCTACTTGTAAGTAGTTAGAATCAATTTCGAAACGTTATCTGGTTTATTACACAGTGAAAGTGCTACCTATTACAGGGTGAACAGATGAACCCAAGAGATTTAATAGCATATAGCTTCACTTATTTCACCTTAATTCGTTTGGTTTTGCGGTTGTTTTATTCTGTAAAACTAAACTACTGTTTTATTTTGATCTTTTGTTTTCAAATTTCACTAAAAATATTTGTAATGATCCTAAGGGCTAGAATTTCTCAGTGTATCGAACCTATTTTCGATAAAAAAAAGTACATAATTATCATAACTTATAAGGAATCAGACAAGCATAGTGATAGGGAAATATAATCGCTTTGAAGGAATGCATTCTACTTCTTTCCAAATGCTACAAGGTTGACAAGCATTTGTTACATGCACCAATCCAAGACCGCTTTTATTAAGACTGTCTTCGTGGAACCGTTGAATTCATCAGCTTCTGATACACAAATGCATGCGCACTCTTCATCTTACCCACTTCTACACTCTGGAAGATTGATATTTTGGTTTTTTTCGCGCTTCATTTCTGAATGGTTTTCACTCAGTTTTCTTGACAAGAAATACTTTATCAGGATGTATTTTAGACTTTCCGCTAACTTGATAACTGATTTTGCGGTTTATGAGTGGTGCAACTGAGAAATTAGTGTACTGTTGAAAGATCCCAGCACATGAGTCTCGTGAGGAAATATCTTAAGTCATTTTATATTCTTTTTTCTCTGCCATGTTACGAAGTTGTTTTTCTCTGCAATAATTCTGATAAAGAATTCTGTGAACCTGTAATACCTTTATTTTTTTACTTTCATCTATTACATGTAAAGACTGTGACATATCCCCTTATTTATAATGGATCATGCATACTAAGCAATAATGGGAGTGATTTTCGCAAGCAATTAATATCTGAAAAAAAATAAAATCTGTGAGGTATTTTCATGATAATGCTTTGCTCACTTCGCAATATATCTCTCAAGTATTAGTTATCTTTATTTTAATTTTAAATGAGCTTTGAAATTTCAAGCCAAAAGTGTGACTGGTCTGATAGGCAGATCAGTTTGCAAACTATTTACAAATTGCATAGTTCACATTGATAAAATTCCACACAGATGAGTCGTTATTCAAGTGCCAAACTGTGGCTTCAACAAGGAGTATGTGCAAAACCAAGCAGCCAAGATTGTATAGTGTAATTTTCGACGCAAGCTTGTTATGAACTAACGTAATATACTACTAGTGAACAACTTGCGTAACCAGAAACCACTCAACATAAGCTGAAGGTTTCATTCACCAGATCAAAGTGATTTAATCACTAGACAACCATTTTCACTCTTTTCGTGCAAACATCATTAGCTCACACAGAGAACCCCGCTGTTTGGATTAACTGAGTTTGATTGACTGACTTAAATGGAGTGGTATATTTTAAATGGAATGATTAATTAGCAAATTATTTACAAATTGCGCAGTCCATATTAAGATTTTTCATCGATGGTTAGTTGGCTGGATAGCCTTCAACGGAAAGCTTGTTGACACCACTGTTGTATATTTGAGAAACCACACAAATGTACGAAGTGTTCATGTAGACCAAACGACTTGTAAATCTTTTGGAAATTGATTGTCCTATTCAAGGTATACCCATAAATCAAAGTCACCTAGGCAGATTCAGCGGATCTGAAAACTTTTGTTCTATGTGAGCTGAATTCGTCTGCGTACGTTCTTGATCGAGTCATCCTCTAACAAGTGAAACAACTATCTGGTGTTTTGATTGCTCTGATCCGTTTAGTGATTAGAAACCTTGTCATGCTGTTCAGTAGCATATTTTGCTAGTGAACACTTTGATTAAAAGTTAACAATGAATAGTACATGATGAAGTGTACACTTCATGAGGAATTTTTGCATGAGCCTAAATGAGGTTATTATCTTGATATATATATATAAACGAACCTGGTTACAGTTTTGAAGAGAAACCAATTTATCAATAATTTTTCATTGTAAAGAAAGCAACCATCGAACATCTTTTCGTCATGATATGTTTTATAGCGATAACTTTCAACTGCGTATTATTTTTTAGTTATTTTCATTCAAGTAAAATCAACTAAATTTCACAGTGTTGGATTCTATACTAAGCATTTCTGTTTTATTAAGTGTCACTGTCTGGCAGTCTCACCAGTCTTACCTTTGGTAGTTGCTGGGATGAATACTGGTACAGTAATATTTATCGACTGCACAAGTCCTACTTCACCAAGAATTGTTAAGGTTATTCGCCTTTATCGAAAACCTTTAACACATATCAGGTGAGTGAACTACCAAATATATTTACACATTCTTGATCAGTTTCTTACTAAATACCTATTCCATTGTAGATTACTAGTTGTGGTTTAGAGTCGAAATACCCAGGAAATGGTTTACTTCCGTTGTATTTATATGGGCTGACTTAACTAATGTACTCTTGGAGGAAGTACCTTACCATTCATTTATGCATTCTGAGAAAGTAATAACTTTAGGTATGAGAACAAACTTTTACCTGTAAAATAAAAGCACAGAGAAATATGAAAAGATGATGCAGCTGTTGTTTTTGTGAGAAAAGAGATAAATTGTCTTTTTCTTTGAATTCTTATTCAGATAATCAAGAGACTGATCCATAACACGTTTGCATACTTATCTATCATTTCATGCTCGAATTTATGGCTCTCAGTAAATATTTTACTGCATCTCATATTAATTAATTAGGGTAAATGTATCATTCACTGACACTGAAAAAGTCTTAAACACGGCAGTATAACTGTATGACAATGATGACTTATCTGTTAGGACATAAGAACAATACACTTCAAGACCTCTCGACTAATGATGAACACATGAGTATTCATGGTATCCGGCTGATACAATAAGTTGTCCAATGTAGAAGTCTTAAACACAAAGTGAGTAATTTTCAGGTCCAAAACCGTTTGAAAATAGTATTCAGAATCATCATCGTCGTCATATATATATATATATATATATATATATATATATATATATATATATATATATATATATATATATATATGAATAATTAATAATAATCAGAATGTATTTGCTAAATCACAAGAATAAATGATGCGCATTTCAAATGTGACAAGCATAAACATTTAATTTGAGATATAATGAAGTACAAAGAAGAAGAAATACCGTTTCTTTAAACCGAAACATGGTTATTTTCCTATCGTATGAACATGATAAAAGAGACATGTTCATTAGGGAAAAAAAGGACAGAATTATCATAACTGTAATAATATCATACTGTCGTATCAACACAACGGTCGTAGTAAAGCAAATGGATTCATTCTTTTGGAGGTTGAATATCTACTACAACTTGATAAATGTTATTCTTGTTTCGATGAATCGCTTTATTTCAACATTTCATTGCTTCTTGCTATCGAATGATAAAGTGCAGCAACTGTAACTGATGAAACCTTTTCGTCATTCTGCATTTATTTGTCCGCCTGCCTATAGAATTACCTCAAGGTTAGTTATTATTTTGTATTAGTCATAAATTCCGTAGTAGTTGTAAGGAAAATATAACTAATAGTGGTAACGTAGCTGTTCATAATAACAGTAGTGACATTACTGTGAAGAGAGAATTCAAAACTACTGTAGTATTACAAGGAAGGCATATCGGAGACATTGCCCAGGAATATTAACAAGACTGGGATTAGAGTGCCATTTAAACCTACAAACTCCCTTAGAAATAAGCTTTATAAGTTAAAAGATCCTATTGATCCAGCTAGATAGAATAATTTAGTATACAAAACTCATTGCTACGATCCCGAGATCAAATACATAAGCCAAAGTAGTTGATCAGAGTCATTTAGGCTATCCGAGCAGGAAAATTTGGCTAGATCAGATTTGTAGATCCTTGTAGGGTAAGGAATTTAGAAAAATGCTACTATGCAATTACTCACAACCATACAATAGGGTGAGATAAGGTAAAAATCCTTAAAACTAACTTAGTTGGGTAGAGCAGGAGATTGATAATTGAATTTTATTTATCGAACCACATGCAATAGGACTGACTCCGCACGTGTTCCGGATACATGAAAAATCCCACTACCTATGTCATAAAGAAGGCGAAAAAACTTGAACTACCCAAAGCATGTCTCAAAGTTGTGCAGCTACCCTGATATGAATATGGACAAAACTTTGTGTCTGAAACATAATCTAATGAATAATATTTTCACTGTGATTCATTTAATGAATCAACTAAAATGGGATTTCATTATATAACGGTTTTCAAGTTTTACCGTTATATTAATGCCCATAGAAACACATCAATTTAAATTGCCATTATTTTGTATTTATCACTTGGTAACTTATCGCCACTGCCGTATAGGACAGTCATATTTGGTAGAAATTTATTGTAGCCAGTTTAATGCCTGAGTCATTCATTGTTAAAACTTGAAATAATCTGGCTAGTGTTGCTCCAATTATCAGGAACTAGTACCAGTTATTTTGTACACGACAGATACTCACCAAGCTATGATTACTTACTACAGCTCATACAGTTTAACGTAAACCTCATACCGCTGGGAATTCCCATTGCACTTCAAAAGCCATTAGAGTGAACAAACAATATTCTTCTTCTTCTTAATGTCCTTTAGCTATATATAGAGAGGAATTATGCATCAACACCATTCAGATTTTGATTATCACTTTGTTCGTAATATTATTATTATTAGTCCTTTGGGATCCTAATGGAACATGGGGCTTCAGTAGCACGTCTCCAGTTAACTCTGTTCTCTGAAATCTTTTGAACCTGGATCCACAACAGCCCACAAGCTCTCATTTCTTCCTCGCACGATCTCCTCCATGTCACCCTCATCTCGGATGCCCAACTCGTCGTTTCCCATCTGAGTTCCACTCGAGCAACTGGCCTGGCGCGTGATGTCCCCAGTCAGCCTTCTCAGTGTATCTCTTGCCCAATACATCTTCACTTCCTTCTTCTGCATATTTGTTCAGCGATAGGTTCTCGCTTTGTTGGTTCGTTGCCAGCCAGTCAGAGTTCCTTGTTGCTTATTATTTCTGGTCATCTGACCTGATCTTCAGTAACGAGCCAGCGTAGGCGGCAGTTGTTGATGAATGTCTGTAGTTTGTTGGATATCCCTTTCGTAACCCACCAAGTCTCTGAACCATACAGAAGCACTGACTTGACATTGGTGTTGGAAATCCGGATCTTGTTCACGCACGCTTTATGCTGAGTGCAGAAGATATCCACACTGGCTTCAGGTTAATGAACGCCTGTCTTGATTTTCCGATCCTGGCTACCTTTGACATCCTCGTCTGTGCCTTTGCAACCTGTAGTTGAAACAGTGCTGCCTAAATACGTGAAGGAGGTTACTCCCTTTAAGTTTCTCCCATTGATGGTGATTGGAGTTTGTTGCTGTTGTTGGTGGTGGTGGTGGTGCTGGTTGGGTATCTTCATCACCTCTGTCTTCTCTATATTCACTTGAATGGTGTCCCGTCTTCGCTGCCCTGCTCTGCCTCTTCTGTCAACTTGTTAGTTTTCGCCTGTAGATCATCAAGTTTGTGTGACATTAGACACAAGTCATCGTTGGCGAAATCCAAGTCTTCTAGGTTCTTTTCCGCAGTCCAGCCAGCGTATTCCCCTCTTCTCGCTCCTCACAGTTGTCGCTTGCATGATCCAGTCGACCACAACACAATCAGGAATATCATGGGTGATAGTAGGCAACCTTGTTTCACTCCTTCCTCTCTTCACTTCACTTCAAAAGCATCACTGAGTTGAGCTGTCCATTGTGAATTACTTGGCCGGTATGTGGTGTCTTCACATAGTTGTTGAATGAGGTTAGTAAAAGTTTATGGTACTCCATAGTGTAGAAGCAGCTGCTAACCAAATTACTTCTCAGTCGATGCTGTCAAAGGCTTTCTCAAAGTCAATAAAGTTGAGGTAGAGAGTTGACTGCCATTCTATGCTCTGTTCTATGATGATGCGAAGCGTTGCAATTTGGTCGGCACATAATTTGTACTTCCTGAAGCCTGCCTGTTCCGGTCGTAGTTTTGAATCCAGTGCATACTTTAGCTTCTACAGGATTATGCGGCTTAATATTTTGCTTACTTCGGGTGGACAGGAGAGTAATTCCACACCAGTTCTTGCAAACACTGAGGTATCCCTTCTTCGGGAGTTTGACAAGGTAACCCTTCTTCCAATCGTCAGGTACCTTCCCTTCCTTCTAGACCTTCTGCAATAGTGGTGTAGTGTGAGCATGTCCGCTGTTGTCTCTGCGTTTGTTTTCAGTGCTCCTGGTGGGATTCCATCTGGTCCTGCTGCTTTCCTGAATTTCAGTAGCTTTATGGCGTTCAGAACTTCCATTTTTGTTGGAGGATTTATGTTCACTTGTAGTTCTGTGACTGGGCTGTAGGTGGTATTACTGAACGAAGTGAAGGTGGTGGTCGATTCAAGAGCTTTTTGAAGTGGTCGGCCCTGTTTCTCTTCTTTCGTAATTAAATTTCCTTCTTCATCTTTTATTGGTTTCATCTGTGTTGGTCTCTTCCCTGCCAGAGAGTAACCTGGTTATTTGATACAATGTCGTCAGGTCTCTCTTACCCACCTCCAGCCTGTTTTGCTTCACTTGCCAGTGTTTCGTAGAAGTGTCTTTGTCTTTGCGTGCACTCTTCTTTACTTCTTTGTTCAGTGTTTTATACATTGTGTTCAGTTCCTCTTGTCGTTGAGCGTCCTTGCAGTGGTTTATCTTCTGTTTCACCATCCTCCTCTTCCTGCTCTATCAGCTTCCATGTATCCGTCGAGATCCATTCCTTATCTTCTTTCTTCTTCCTTCCTAATATGGCTGTTGCAGGTTTCTTTCCACATAGCTTTCAAAGACTTCCAGTGTTCTTCCACAGGGATGTTCCTCGAAATCTCCCATTTTGTCTTGATGGCTGACTGATTTGAAGATTTCCTTTGTAGTTTCATCCTTCAGTTTCCGAGTGTTGTATTTGAAATGTGGTCTATGATCACCAACTTCTTTGAAGGCTTTCAACTTGATTTTGAATTCAGGTTCCTTGCATTAGATAGTGAATGGTGTAAAGCTACATCTGCTCCTCTTCTTGACCTTGTGTCAAGTAGGCTGCATCCCCACTCTCTTCACATTGAGATGAAGTCGATCTGATTTTCAGTGTGTCCATCTGGTGAATGGTGAAATCCATGTCACTCGCTTTGTGGATATCCTTGTGCCGGAACACACTACCTCACCTCCAATCACCAAATCGTTGAATGCACAGAATTCTGCAAACAATTCTCCATTCTTGTTCATCACCTCACCGAGCGCTTCTCTACCCATAGTTAGTTAGTTCTCTTCCTGTGTTGTCCTCTACCAGTTTGGCATTCATGTCACCCCACCCATTAGAATTTTTATGTTGCCAATTGAGGTCTTGTTCAGTGTTGATTACAGCTGTCTGTATAATTCCTCCCTCTTCTCTTCATCTGCATTATTTGTAGGTGTGTGGCGTAGCACTGTATGATTGTGACCTTCCTTCCTTCCTTCCTTCCCTTTGAGTTGAACCTTGCTGTCATGATCCTGCAAGAGGAGATTGGTTCCCACTGCATGAGAGAGAGCCTTCGATGGTGTTGTGGACATCATGATAGCCACTCGATAACTCAGTGTACTGGTTCGTGATTGTCGTCTGGTTGACAATATTGGAGTAGATTACTGATTCTCCAGTTGACAGAGAGTTTGGAGAGTCCACTCCCATTCCATCTACTTTCGCATATTCCAAGCACTTCAGTGTGATACCTCCTCATCTCGTTTGCAATGTGGGCTGCCTTGCTGGATTCAAACATGGTGCGGACATTCCATGTCCCCACGTTTACTTTCGCTTTCATCTGTAGGGAGAAGACACCTGGGCCTGGCCAACTGACTTCCTGATGGCTTGCACCAATCTAGATCATTCTGTCTCCCCGATTCCAGGGAGGAATAATTCTGTTATTATTTTTTATATTTTGTTTGTGCTTTGAAGTTTGTTTAGCGATTGGATTTGTTTTCCGTGGTAGGGTTGCTAGCCTTATGCCCAACCTTCCTTCTTTACCCGGACTTAGGACCTGCTAGTAACTAGTGAATTAGTTAACCAGCCGATGAATTACAAGCATAAATAAACAATCGAGAGGTTAAGTGTAGTATGGTGGATAAAAGAGGCAAGTTAGTTGATGAAGTTGGGAGTCTTTATCAGCTTCATACTAGTGCACTTATTACACATACCTGGTCATCATCTAACTCCCTGCACTGGGCAAATAGTTTATGATTTGGTTGGAGCCAAATTAATGACTATTAGACGAATACATGACACAAATCAGTGATGCCCGAGAATGTTGATTTGGATTATTTATTCTTCTTTGCAATCTTCCATGTGACAATCGTACTTGACGAATGAAAGGATTGAGATGCACAGTTTATGCAGCCCATTTTATCTCCCTTTCTCTTGATCCATCACCTTTTCATGACGCTTTGATTGTTTCGATTTCTATACCTCTCTTCTTAAATTCACCCTGTAACGTACTAATTGGAACTATCAGCAACTCTAACAGTTTCATCTTCTTTCATATGTTTATCTGTGAACACTGTTTGTTTAGCTTAGCCGGAAAAGCATTAATAAGTCATTAGATTTGTCACAATCAAAACTAATAATCATCATCTGGACTATTCAATACTAACCACTTTGCATAATTGGTGTCTTTATTTTCAGCTTTGATCCTGATGGGGAATTCCTAATCACAGCAGTGGATGACGGACCGAGTATCCTAATATCAGCTCTACCTACTAAATCATTTGAACCAATTGGCCATGTGTGTATGTCCATTGATAATATATTTTCTTTAAATATTGTAACAAATGTTTTGTCACTTACATTTTCCCGTCGTTGATTGGACCGGAGTGATCGGTTCCTATTGGAATATGGTGTGCTGTGCGGATGCCACTATTTTATTTGTATTTTCAATTGTGATACTGATGATGGACGATAGGTTGGAGTGGAATCTACGAAACGCGTCTTGTCATGTCTGGGGCTCATTAGCTGGATGTATGTGCTTCCTAGTGAACAATGTTGTTCCCGCTATCCATCAATAATATAATAATAATAATAATATAAAACACAGACAATATCTAGGGATCAGTGAAGGAGCCCATATGCCAGTAGAGACCGATCGATTTCGGTCCAATGGACGACGGGATAATACAAGTGCTAACATAAGTGGCTATGGTGACTCAGTGGCCCAGTGGAGGATGCTCTGGCGTTTGAAGCGATCGTTTCTGGGTTCTAGTCTTAGTGGAAATAAGATCTCTCACTGGGAGGCAGGTAAATCCAACAGAGGAGTCACAGATAGTGTGAAGCGCGCATCCTGAATTTCAATGTTAGCTACTATCCATTATTAATTGATGGTGTTTAGATTATTTCAAAATGTCGAGATGGTGAATATCACACAAATATGCATGATTTGTTTTCCATTTGTTATCTCTTATCTCTCATCCTAAAGATCTTATCCAGCAGGACTAAACTCTATCGCAAGACTTACAGTAAACATCGACAGACAGATATCACATTCATGTAAATTCAGGTCTTAATTTTACAAATTATTATATGCTATGGTAATCAAAGGCTAGACATGTTAAGCTGTAGATCGTGTCGTCTTCATCAAGAGAGAATGAATACTTTGTTAAAAGAATAACCTTGTTTTTGTATCATTTCCTACATATATTGGACATTTTACTTATGCAGTCAGTTGATTAAATCCTGGTTTCTATTCTCTTGGGCTACAGACCAATAATTTTTTATAATTAGCCCAATAATTACTGTTTGTTGTTATGCAGTAACAATGACTTACTGTGCAATGTATAAGATCAGTAAAATGCAATACCTTTAGGTGACTTAGAAAAGTAGGGTGGTATGTTAGAGTTATGCTACTGGAACTGTCTGTCCAGTTTGATTAAAGGTGTGGACAAAGTGAGAGCCTGAATATTCAGGATGGGAAGTGTATTAGGTTCCTCAATTTTCTTGATCCTCATGACCGGTTACCAAATACTGGTCACAGACTTAGCAGAGAAGAAACGAAAGATGTTGGGAAGTATTATAGATAAATGACAGTGACCTATGACCAAACAGATAGATAAATGAGCCTGAAGCCCTCCACAAAGGCGTATCACTTCAAGTTGTTATAATTCAAAACATCACGGAAAAAGGAAGTAAGCAGAAATAAGCTCAGACGACCAGAAAGTGTAGTGGATTCTACAGACGATATATACAGCCTTACGTTCTGCTTGAAGCTTGTAGTTAAGTTACCACCTGAGTTTGTGAACTAGGAAAATAGACAGAAGTCACTTGTTATAGATTTATTTTCCACTGGAATTAATGAAAAGTGTATCCTGTCCTAGAGAAGTTCAGTCAGAGCTCGAATAGCTCAGTGGTAACGTATCAGACTGCAGTTTGAAATGAGATAGGTTCCAATCTCCCAGAGGGATTTACTTTACTCGAAGTTATAAATACACGCTACTGATGAGTGCCAACCAGTACGAAACCTTTACTCATGGCTTTCTATTGATTTTCTCCATCCATATAAAATTTATCATAATGGACTGCAATGCTGAATCTCCCCGCTTGGTGGCTACATTGTGAAATTATCGACCAAAGTTTGTCATAACTAAGGCATATGTTGTGTCCATAGGCGGAAGAAATGGAAACCACAACTAATCAATCCCGGATATCTTTTATGTCTTTCTTCTCATTCTTTGTCATTCTGATTGGGCCGCCTACTCTTTAAGGCTTCGTACACTTCCATGCATTCTGCTAAATACAGGATATCATTCGCAGCTCCACTATCTCAGTGGTGATGTCTGTGACTGCAGCACTGAACGACGCTGGTTCGAATCTGACAGCGAACATCATTTGCCCTGATGTTACAGACACTTCCTGCTTACAGTTGTAAACATGCACAAAACCTCAGTTAGCGGCATCTTGCTGATTGCCCTTATTGAACTAAAAGGTTTATCCTTCTTTTATTGTGTACAATAGTCTATTACACGCCGACTTACAGGGTTCATTTGTGTTTCCTTCGTACGCATGAGTAAAAGTAGATTCTGAAAGACATTTGATTGAAAATGACAAACTCATTTTTTCTACCGCCAACAAAACAATACCTACAGATCGAATGTTGTATGTGACTAGGCTGCTTACCATTTCTACATAACCAACACTTTTAGAAGACATGTAAAGAAGCCATTGTATTTTACGGTATTCCCAGGTATGGATATTTAAACCAATTTGAGATTTGACGAATTGAGAACATTTGAGGAGTTGGTAAGTGATACTGATTAATTTGATAAGAGCAACCTTTTGTTTTTCATCCAATGGGAAATGGAAACAACAATCTAATGAATATGCTCAGATATGCGCCAGCAGTATTGTACTAAGAACGCCTTTGACAGCATCGACTGAGAGGTAATTTGGAAACTGCTTCATTACTACGGAATACCACTAACCTTTATCAGCCTCATTCAACAACTATGTGAAGACACCACATACCGGCCAAGTAATTCACAATGGACAGCTCAACTCAGTGATGCTTTTGAAGTGAAGTGAAGAGAGGAAGGAGTGAAACAAGGTTGCCTACTATCACCCATGATATTCCTGATTGTGTTGTGGTCGACTGGATCATGCAAGCGACAACTGTGAGGAGCGAGAAGAGGGGAATACGCTGGCTGGACTGCGGAAAAGAACCTAGAAGACTTGGATTTCGCCAACGATGACTTGTGTCTAATGTCACACAAACTTGATGATCTACAGGCGAAAACTAACAAGTTGACAGAAGAGGCAGAGCAGGGCAGCGAAGACGGGACACCATTCAAGTGAATATAGAGAAGACAGAGGTGATGAAGATACCCAACCAGCACCACCACCACCACCAACAACAGCAACAAACTCCAATCACCATCAATGGGAGAAACTTAAAGGGAGTAACCTCCTTCACGTATTTAGGCAGCACTGTTTCAACTACAGGTTGCAAAGGCACAGACGAGGATGTCAAAGGTAGCCAGGATCGGAAAATCAAGACAGGCGTTCATTAACCTGAAGCCAGTGTGGATATCTTCTGCACTCAGCATAAAGCGTGCGTGAACAAGATCCGGATTTCCAACACCAATGTCAAGTCAGTGCTTCTGTATGGTTCAGAGACTTGGTGGGTTACGAAAGGGATATCCAACAAACTACAGACATTCATCAACAACTGCCGCCTACGCTGGCTCGTTACTGAAGATCAGGTCAGATGACCAGAAATAATAAGCAACAAGGAACTCTGACTGGCTGGCAACGAACCAACAAAGCGAGAACCTATCGCTGAACAAATATGCAGAAGAAGGAAGTGAAGATGTATTGGGCAAGAGATACACTGAGAAGGCTGACTGGGGACATCACGCGCCAGGCCAGTTGCTCGAGTGGAACTCAGATGGGAAACGACGAGTTGGGCATCCGAGATGAGGGTGACATGGAGGAGATCGTGCGAGGAAGAAATGAGAGCTTGTGGGCTGTTGTGGATCCAGGTTCAAAAGATTTCAGAGAACAGAGTTAACTGGAGACGTGCTACTGAAGCCCTATGTTCGACTAGGAATCCAAGGGGCAAAATAATGATAATAATAATAATAATAATACTAGTGTTGTACTAAAGTGGGAAAGATCACTACTTACTGTATGAAAAGATGGAACGTATTTTTCAATATCTAGCACTTGAATATAAGAAGGATGCATGTTTTGCGCTTACTAATTCATTACTGAATCATCCTTACCTTATGTTACACACACAAAATTTCTTCTTATTCAATAGCATTCACTGGAAAAATGCACAATTTGAGCGTAATTCGATCAAAAGATTCTCAGAAGGTTTTTATTCTGCTTGCTGTTAGTAAAGAAACTAATAAAACTGCGGAGGCTGTATACCATTATGAATTTTCAAGCGATATCGGAAGCAGTAAGTTTATCTGAGTTGTTAAGTACTATTTATTAACAACCAGTACAAGCTCTTACAGGTGTGTATCAATACACATTCACTGTGACGTGTATATTTACACAAGTACTGATTCTAAAGTGAAAATCTTGAGTTTCCATCAGTGATATTTCTAGTGTGTAGTCTGAGAAACATAACCAGTGATGGGATCTTTGGTTGAAAACAGTTAATCGTCGATTGGTCCCTGGAGGGTAACCAACTCTATGTTGTCTAGTCTTAAGTGCTGATCGAATCCTATTGATCATTTTGCAATGTGGCCCATAGAAAAGACAGCTCAGTATCGCCAACAAGTACGAAACCAGGTCAAGCCGGGATTACTACTGACTGCCTCCATCCAACTAACATCAATCAAAGTGCACGACGATGCTGAGGTGTATAGTCTGGCAGCCACATTGCAAAACGATCGACAGAACTCAAACAGCACTTAGTACCAGACAACATGAAGTTGGTTATCTTCCAGTGACCTACCAATGTATCTAATCCAGTCTTATGAGAGGTCAGTAGTAGCCCGGATGGCTCAGTGGTAGTGTCACTGGCAACAATTCTGGCTGGCGCGGGTTCGAGTCTCGTGAGGGACAGCAGTTCCGCCGAGGTTGTAGATACGCTTTGCTGAGGAGTGCAGATAAGCATGAAACCTAGGTCCAGGGCCTTCTGCCGATTGCTTCCATTCAACTGACATCTGCACTTGACCATCAGAAGCTATGGTTTTTTAGAAACAATGAAAATCTAGTTAAATAATGTGCTATCAATAATTTTTATTTTTTTGAATAAATCTTCCTCTTTAAGATACCCATATGAATTAATTTCTTTCAAAATAATAATCAACAAACAGGACTCTTTTCGTAACTTCTTATCACAGCTGTGCAGCTACTTAGTACTCTTTGATGATTGAAAGTGAAATGAAAATCTGAACCACGGCAGAGTTCGAACCAGCAATCCCTGAGTTTCCAACCCGATGCTCTATCAATTGAGTTACTAGGTCCGACTGCTGACTAGATTTTTATTTCATTTCAATCACCAAAGGTTCAAATCATCTGAAGAGTTTGAATCGTGCTATGGCCTAAATTTTCATTTTAGCTTCAATCATCATCCAGTATCAATACAAATTTTTCAAACTACGGGTTTCTCAGATAATCAAAATGAGAGTTACGTAACAGTCTAAGGAAATCATGAATAGGCGCGGCGGTTAACGTCAGTTGAAAATAAAACGTATTGAACTATGAATCGGAAGGTAAAGACAGTGTAATGTAGGAGATATCACGTAAGTCTTGCGCAACAAAAGTATGAAAACTTGAAATAATGAATAGAGTTTAGAAGTGGTTGTTTTTTACTAAGATGAAGTGGGTGAACAGGAATATTCTACACATGATAATAGAGAAGGATTTCGATCGCAAGATTGGTCTGTAGCAAAGGGAATGGAATTAGATTGGGGAGGAAATTATTGCTCAGCAAAAATCAAAGAGTTAAAAAACTAAAGCCATGAAAGTAAAAGGGACTGAACAAATCGTTTTTATACATAGATTTCAGGATTCTCTTTGTGAATAATCATAACTTTTGTTGTACAAAGAAGATATAATGGAAATTTTTTTTGAACAGTTCGGTCTCATTTTATATATCAAATTGAATAATTTATGTAAAGATGCTGTTTAATTTGACAGAATAATTTCTTGCAAAATTTTTGTCAAAATACACTCCACATGATTGTGAATACAGTTTTAGACTATTGTTTATTACTAACCTCCGATAAAGTTAGACTTTATCAGTGAATAAGATTTATTTCATTACCATAAAGTAAGTGAACTTTAATTGTACAAAAGAGTATATGCCATCAATGTTTGTCTGCAATAAGTGATTACATACTGAAGACTTTTGATTACATAATAGCTCAGAGCCAATCACAGTAATGTGAATTTATTAATTATTAATGATCCCTGAAATTTTGTATATTTTATTACTCTCTTTGCTTATTCTCTATTGTCTTATTTACTTTTTCCCTTTCAAGCACGATTCTATTTATGAGCATTGTGTCTTTCTATATAAAGTTGTAAAGTGCGGAAACTTGAAAAGGTGGACTTTTATATGTATTTGTACTTGAATTCATTGATATCGGAGGTATATTACTATTATTATTATTATTACTTCACATAGATCAGCTTGGGTGGTTTCTAATTATACAAGTTGTTCAGTAGCAGTATATTTCGCAAGTTAGTAATTCTTTTGTGTTAGAGATCATACAGTGTGGCCTCGATTGGGTGGTTTTCAGTGGAAAACACGGTGACACCGTGGTTAGGCAGTTGAGAAGAAAACTACACAGCTGTGAGAAGTGTCAATGTGGACTGCGTGATTTGTAAATAATTTGCTAATTAATCATTCCATTTAAGGTATACCACTCCATTTAAGTCGGTCAATCAAACTCAGTTAATCCAAACAGCGGGGTTCTCTGTGTGAGCTAATGATGTCTACTCGAAACGAGTGAAAATGGTCGTCTAGTGATTAAATCACTTTGATCTGGTGAATGAAACCTTCAGCTTATGTTGAGTGGTTTTTGGTTACTCCAGTGGTTCACTAGTAGCATACTACTTCAAACCGATCTGTTCTCTAGTCACTTTTCTCACGTTTGTGGCCTATTTAGTCACTTGTATCTTTTTGGAGAGACTTTAATGGCCATCTTAGCAACGATTGAAGTAGCCAATCGGGTTTCTTTATTTCGGGTGGAAAGGCGGTTTTTCGTGAAGTAAAGAAATTTAATTCGTTTGCCTCCGAGGTGGCCTTTAGAGTCACTCTTCTTTTGTGCATACTCAGCGTTTCTACTCTTGACAAGTACACCAACTCAAGTCTAAGCCAAGTTTGAAACACCGTTCAGATTGCCGAATGCTTGACAACGTAAGGAATGACTCTAAAGGCCACACTTGAAATTGCTGGAATGACCAATCAGTCCACGATATTTTTTTCTAGGAGGTTAGCTTTACGCAAAATAAAGAAACGTAATTGGTCATCTCACCAGTTGTTAGGGTGACGTTTAAGGTTATTCCAAAGTAAGCCGTTTATAAATGATTAAATATACTGTATGCTTAGTGAATTAAGAGGAAGGCTTTTTGACTAAAATCATTTGGGAAAATTAGTAGCCATAGCTTTACCAACTTCGTGAGCATGGACTGAAGTGATTTACCGAAGAGAGAGAGAGAGAGAGAAAGATTGAGTTATTGAACAAAGTTGGTTTTGAAGTCTTCTTAGCGTTCGAAAGAAGCAACTAATTAGATTCCTTACAATTAAGATCAACCTCTTTACTCTTCAGGTGACCAGACACTTTTGCCTGCTGAAGCAAAAAGGAGTGTACAAAGCCATAAAAACTAAAGACAGACGCCAATAAATAGTTTGCACCCTTAAATCTTCTTTCACGATATGTACTACACTGTTTACAGTAGCTTGCTGAAGTGTGTGTAGCTATGACCAGTGTTAAAAACCTAAAACTTATCGAAGGCCTAATTGTTATGAGTTTTTAGGACCAGTCATTAAACATAATGCACCGGAGTATCTTGTCGTTCAACCAAGTACCCATATTGTAGACTTTGCTACTTCATATCTGACTCCCATATTAGTTTTCATCCGGTGGTCAACAGGCATGCAAATTGTTTATAACCTTTTAGGCTACCCGTTGCCAGTTATGAATGCCAACGCGGTAAATGGATCATGTGAGATACACTTCTCAGCTTTGGAAAATAATAGAGGAAATGTAAATTTTGATGACAAGACTCTTCGGTGAATGACCCCACAATTGTTTGTCGGTCACAATAGTATTTCATAGAGACAGCCTTTTTCTCGATATAAATTATTTCTACCTCGATATTTGAACAGCATTAAATGTCTTGCAATAAATGCGCTTGAAATAAAATTTTATTGATTTTCAGATCCTGAAAAATATTATCTGGATGATTGTCGAAGACTAAAAGAAGATGTTATCAAGCTTCTTAAAGTGGATTTTGATAGTCCAAAAGTTGGTGTTTGCTTCTGGTTATCAAGTGACAGGGATGGGTCGAATCACCCATTACTGATTGCTGCTGATTTTCAAAATCATACGCTTGAATTATTCAATGTGACTGAAGCAAAACAGGTTGTGTACTCTTTTCAGAAATGAACTATGACTTAAATGTTTGTACTAAGCATTTACGATAAGCAGTATTTCAGAATAAAGCAGGAAGAACAAAGATTCTAATTGAAATACGTATATTCTAAGAAGTATCAAATACCTCAATCAAGCGTAGCCACATAATAATCAATACTTGTGTTTAAAGTATCATAGTCACACTAGAGTAGACTCAATAGTGTTCAAAACATGACCAATAGGACTATATTAGCTACAGTAACATGAAACAGAAGTAACCAATGGGAATTTCAGTGTAAATGATGAACATTGGCTATCAGCTGAATCTGTGATTCATGTTTCGTCTTATTTAGGATTTGTCAGCTGCCTCTTACTGAGTGATGCTGTTTCCACTAAAACTAGAAGCCAGCACTAATGAGAATATCATTACACATACAAGTACGGTTCATGATTAGATCAGATATCATACACTGATTCATACCTACGTCATATACCTGTTTAAACCAACACAAATCAGCGTGGAACACCATATAGATAATTTTGCTACTCATAGTTAGATGTTAGCTAGTTCTTTCCATTGAATATGGTAACATATTCAAGTAACAGATTATTTTATAAGCTTTGGATGGACTCAGTTTCAACATATTCTCAAAAGTTCAACTTTTTAAATAACAGATTTCCAAGTCATTTCAAGTAGTTAGTATGATTAGCTTTTCGCTTCTGAATTAAGAGTTCACTGATAAAAAACGTCATGAACTCATAAACAACAGAAGTTACATTAGATATATCACTAAAGTCTAACAAGTATTCAAAAGTTTCTACTTGAACCCAGCATTTTAATAAACAGCCTTCTAATTTTTCAAAATATGAACATTATCATCACTCTGAAAACATATCCTTCTGAAGAGGAAGACTAAATCATAGCTATCAATACCTGCTAGTAAAACTGACTAACTTATGAAAATATTTGCTTTCAAACAATTATTGGTTCGTATTCATAAATACATCATATATAAGCAAAATTTGATTTAAACGTTCACAAGGTATGTCGTGGTCGCTGATATACACAGATCAAAAGTATACTTCACTCCTGATTGTAATTAAGGACATCATTTTTAGGATGTGTTGTATTTTTGACATATGCACATATATATGAAACACTATTTGAAAGACATAACAAAGTATCCTGGATAAATTAATTTTTTCAGTGGGACTCCATTCACCAAAGTACGTTCATAAAGACTATGAAGGTGACACTTACCTTACTCATCAGAAATTGCAATATTCATACTTACATCACCTTCATCATAGTAAGCACTATAAGGTTAATTAAGTTTATCATCACAAGTGGTTCAGCAATGTTGAGTACTTTGAATAAAGAAAAGTTTGAGTTGTCTTGCGAAGAAACTTTTTGAGTGTGACAATTTTATTCAGTTCCACTAGATAGATATTGGTTAAGACCAGTGAAATGAAAGGAATGTCGAATTTAAAAGCAAAAAATGATTGATGATAGTTAGTATGGTGCAAATAAACAGTACCTTTTCAATAGTTCCCCCACCTGAAGGGTCAGCAGGCGTTTTGAAGTATTTAGAAGATAAAGAACAGCACAAGATTGAGGTGTACTTGACTTACCATTACATTCATCCTTTAGATGAACCCTAACATTCTCATTTAGGCTTTAAATGAAACGTTGTATCACTCACTGTTAGGTGAGATCTAAGAATCTGACAAAAAAGCTCAGTGGCACTGAGATAGTTTTAATTGCAAGCCTGGCGCGCCGGATATTTTTTCTGACAAGTTGATTCATCCGGAATGAGGCTCATTATCGATAAGGAGACATATTTCAAAGAATTCTATGACCTTTAGGACTGACATTTATTTATTTTCTGGTTTAATTGTGAGATTTCAAAATAAATGGATTGTTGAATATAGAAATAATGACCACATGTAAAGTTTGTGGGAATCTATTTATTGATTTCATGTTAACACTCATCACAGAATGAGAACAGATGGAGAACCATTGATCTGAGAGCACTGGATAACTGTTTCATCTTTGTATGGGACTCCACAGCAAGGCGCGCCCATGACTTTGAAAGGGATCGAACCCAGGACCTTAAGGTTCCGTAGTCAGCAGGTTACCATTGAGACACTTGGTCGAAATCCAATGGTCCACATTTTCCTACTTCTGTCAGTTCTATGTGTAACTCGGATTGATTACTAAGTGAACAGGAAGTCTGATTACAAACATTTGGTTGTGATCATCGATCATCATCGGTAAAGAATCAGATCCTAATTAGCTGCAATAATTTTGAGGCATCTAACCAATAAGCAAATTTTAAAATGTGAAAAAATGATCACTTATTTGAGTATATTTTGCATTGGTTCTACATTCACTTTTTAAAAATAAATAAACAGACACTTATCACTCCAGATGAACAAAAAATACGCAGATCAAGTGAAATGTCTTCAGCTGTGGGATCGAATACACGTCAAAGCAGTCGTGTTGACAAACTTGAATTAGAAATTCAAAAATCACTGAGTAAACGTAATCAATCCACTTTCATAAATCTATCAACTGCTTTGCAGACAGTGAAACATACAACCAGTCTTACTGAGCAATCCAGTGATGAAACTCAGGTTCACTGTTGGTTTATGTTGTGTTTCTTTTTAGTTTGTTTTTAGGCGATACATTTATTACCGATCAGCTTATTTTGTATCAAGAAGTTTTATTCATGCGACACTCAATTCATCCACTTTTTTTGATAGTTTCGTTTATTGGAAACTACTATAAAGTTTACTAAACTTATTTTGATTTTCTTCCTTCCCGTATTGCTTTCGTAAATTAAGTGTTAGGTTTGTCTGTGAGCAGTAATTTATGCTTGGAACGTCACCCAGTAAATATCAGTGGATCACTGTGTGCTCTGTCAAACAACTGAACTCTTCCAGTGTTCAACTTTTACGCTTATATTATTGCTGTTGTAACTGCTAACATTTATCAAAAAAGAGGAGCTCGAACCTTATGTATACGCTTACTTCTTCAAGTTTTCAGCCTAATGCCTATTGGTTTTGTAGTCTTATATACTATCTCTGAGTACAGATCGTGAATTGTCTTAGATTTTATGCCATACACCTTACTTGTGAGTGAGTGAGTGAGGGTAATAAAGAGAAGATTCTATTCAAAATACTTCACAGTTAGACGAATGGACATACTGCAGAAATTATCAGTGGAAGTTTAGTCAAAATCATGACGCAAACAACTCGACATTAGCTACTGTAATGTAACCGGTTCATAATACATCGTAAAACATAACTCAGTGGTAACGTCTTTGACTATAACGCTAGATGACGCAGGTCCGAATCTCACTAAGGAAATCGGTCCCCTCGCGAATGAAGATACATCTTGCTGGTGACCACCAGTGAGCATGTTACCTCTGTCCAAGACGTCTAACCATCAGTCAAATATCAGTCAAAACATACTGTGATGTTGAATCTCCTTATCTAGTGATCACATTGCAAAATGGTCGATAGAATTCGGTCAGAACTCAGGACTAGACAACATGAAGCTGCTTACTCACCAGTAACCAGGCAGGCAATATACCTAACTTATTACTAACCACTGGTGTTTACAACTGCGAATGAAGCTTCTGAATGAAATTGGATCTTCTTGCTGATCAGTTTAACAGTTAAGCAGTTATTCTCGTACTAGGCAATTTTATCAACGAAAGCTTCGCCTACTGTTTACTTTTATGAGTTTTCGGAATAACTGCTTATGGTAGTGTCACTTCATTATCTTGAGTGTTAGAAGTTAATGTTAAATTGTGTTTATCAGTCAACGGCAAAGTTAACCAATGAAAAAACGGTAAAAGTGATCCAAAGAGATATACAAAATGTCTAACAAATACAATCACACTCTAACTCTTGAGGACAGAAGTGAAAGCTTTTAGTGTTCGTTCATTGCATATAACATAATTGCAGTATCACATAAGTTGCATAACTAAGCAATAATATTAACTTATTATATTAGATTGTGAATAAGAAGAAAAAAGGAAAAACAAATATTTAGTGTTATATTCAAGATGAGTCTCTAGGATGCCCTAAACAACAATTGCTATACAATAACATTATGTTTTTTTCCATATACTATCTGAGCAGATAATAAAGCGCCTATCCTAAATACTTTAATCGTTGAAATACATAATATAATCTACAGTGATAGATGTAATATTTAATTAACATACTAGTATTATGTAATTTTCATGCTTTCTTCAACAGCAACACTTATCATCCATGAACTCAGTATCGAGTCACAACATTCTGAATGAATCACAAAATATTAAATTTACTAGAGTGCCCGGTACAAATTTACTACTAGCCTATTCGTTAGATGGTTCAGTGCAAATTATAAGCATCAATTCAACTGTAAGTTCGTTATTGTATACGTTTTATTGTATAATCTATAATATCTTAGGATAAAATATTTTAACGTTTATTTAGTTTGGTTATAATTTTTGTTTCATAAATACAGTTTGGTTGCAGTAACGGAAATATTGGGGACAGATACTCAACGATGGCAATAGATGAACGTCGTGCTATTTTGTGAAGAGGCAGAAGTAGGAAAATGCGGATCCCTGACTTCCGACCAAATGGCTCGATAGTAAAGTGTTTGTCCTGAAGCTGAAAAGTCTTGAGTCCTATCCCTGTCAGGGCCATGCTTCTGTCTCGATGAAGAGTCCCATACTAGGACGAAACACCTGTCTAGTGCTTCGAGATTTTCACTGGTTCACCAACTGATGTCAATCCGTGATATCAACTTGGAAAAAAATGATCAGGATAACGCATATTTCTTGTTCATCATGATACTGTTTGTTGTTCTAGGCTGTCAAACATAATATTGGCTACCTAGTTGATGTTCTGGAAAATTGTGATTTTCGGAAACCCTTTGCAGCATACTATAATCATAACTGAGAAATAGTTTTATTCCTAGACTACATGATCGTCTTGGCTTTTAGGTAGAAAGTACTTGTCACTTCCGTAACATAATCTGTACATGACATCATACTATAGTCGGTGGTATTTGAGTTATAACTGAACCTGTTCCGAACTAAATTAGTAGTAGTAGTAGTCAACGGCTATGAAGGTCTTTCTCATGTACCTCAACGCTGACCTAATCAAGTTGATCAAGTTTCAATTCCCTTGAACTAAGTCATGCATGGCCTGATGTTATATTGTAAAAGTGATTTGTTACAATTTGTGAAACAGAAACCTATACATAACAAAACTAGTTTTTGTTCAGTGGCTAACTGTTGCATCATTATCACCAACAAGATTTGATTCACTGAAAAACATCTTAATATATAAGAGATGAAAAGTCTTTGATCGGATGCTCATACATGTTCTTACTATTTATGAATGTTTATCCTAAAAATAAGAGTGAACTCAAAAAACAAGCGAAATTCTACTTCACTTATACTTGTCGAGGTGATTATTACCTTAAAAACATTTAAATTTAAGAGCTCATAAATTCTGGGATGTTTTTCCTCGAAAACCCATCTGAACATTAAAAGTCCCGTATTTCCAACTTCTCCCTTTTGCTGTATGATTTTCACACTGTTTTTGTTGATTTCTTTAGTTATCTTGCTGTTAAACACATTTTATTTCACTTATGTGTACTGAAGCCTTATTAATCTTCACGTGTCACGCATAAATTAGGCATGTTCATTGGAATTTAGGAAAGTTCTTCGGCCTTTATTGTACTATCGATGAATTCAATGTTAAAAGTATTTTCTTCATAAACTCACTTGATTTGTGTGACCGCAGTGATTTTGTTATTATCATTATTATTATTATTTGTCCCTTGGATTCCTAGTCGAACATAAAGCTTCAGTAGCACGTCGCCATTCCACCCTCTTCTCTCCAGTCTCTTCAACCTGGCTCCACCACTAACCACAAGCTTTCATTTCTTCCTCACACAATCTCCTCCTCCATATCACCCTCAACTCGGATGCCCAACTCTTCGTTTCCCATTTGCATTCCACTCGACGACCTGGCCTGGCCTGACGCGTCATATCCCCAATCGGTCTTCTCAGTGTATGCACAATCCAATCCAACCCATCTCCACTTTCTTCTGCATATTTGTTGGGCGATGGGTTCTCCGTTGGTTCGCTGCCAGTCAGTCAGTCAGTCAACCAGCCACTCACCCATCCAGACTTCCTTCTTGCTTATTCTTATTATTCTGGCCATCTGATCTGAAATTCGGTATCGAGTGAGCAAGCGTAGGCGGCAGCTGTTCATGTGATTGATATATATCTGTAGTTTGTAGGAAATGCTTTTCGTAACGCGTCAAGTCTTTCAACCATCATACAGAAGCACTGACTTGACTGACACATTAGTGTTGAAAATCCGAATCTTGTCCACGCTTTGTGCTGAGTGCAGTGCAGTAGATCTCCACACTGATTTCAGATTGATGAAGGCCTGTCTTGCTGTCTTTCCGATCTTGGCTTTGACGTCCTCGTCTGTGTCTGTGCCGCCCGCAGTTGAAACGATGCTGCGTAGGTAGGTAGGTAGGTAGGTAGGTAGGTGGGTGGGTGAAAGAGACTACTTCCTTTAAGTTTCTCCCGTTCATGGTGATTGGTGCCTGTTGTTGTTGTTGTTGTGGTTGGTGGTGGTGGTGGTGGCGGTTGGGTACCTTCATCACCTCTGTATTCTCTACGTCCACCTGAAGGAAGTCTCATCTTCGCTGGCCTGCCTCTTCTGTCAACTTGCTGGTTTTTGCCTGTGGATCTTCGAGTTTGTGCGACAAGACATTAGACATAAATCATCATCGCTGGCGAAGTCCAAATCTTCTAGAGTCTTTTCATCGGCCCAGCCAGTGTAGGCCCATCTTCTCACTCCTCATAGTTTCTTGTATGATCCAGTCCAGTCCAGTTGATCACAATCAGGAAGGTCATCGATGATACTTTGCAGCCTTGTCTTCCTCCTGTATTCACTTCAAAGGCGTCACTGATGTTCTCATTATGAACCACTTGGCATGTGGCATCAAATAATATATGGGTGTTAAATGAGGTTGATAAAGGTTTGTGGCATTAAAACCGTAGTGTTGAAGCAGCTGCCTGCCAAATTACTTCTCGGTTGACGCTGTCGAAGGCCTTTTCAGAGTCAATGAAGTTGATGTATAGAGTTGACTCCCATTCTTTGCTGTGTTCCATGATGATGCATAGTGTTGCGGTTTGATCCACATGCGATTTTTTTTTCCTGAAGCCAACCTGTTCCAGCCGTAATTTTGAATCCAGTGATTTTAAGAACTGATTAAATTCTGATCATCTTGTTTTAGTCTGAACATCTTGATCAGAAAACTGATTATTTTAGGATGCATTTCGCACCTATTAACTGAAATATGATGCTTCATGATGTATCTTAACCGACCTTTATTTTAAGAAAAGTGAGTGAAGCACTAGAATGCCTTAACCACTTCACTCGAAAATTTCTATCATTCCAAATAGGTTGCTTACTGAAAAAATCCAAAACAGGATACAAATGGCCCATTTGATATTAGAAACTTACTCCACTTACTGTATCGGCAAGATATACAATTATTTATTGGACCGTGAGTATGTTGTACAGTAATTCACCCTATCCTGTTATACTGGCATGAGATTTAGTAGCTGAAAAACTTAGTAGATGGAATGAAAAGCAAAGAATATAACGCGTGCTAAGTGCCGAGTTGTAGAAGTGAATGTATCGAGTACCATGCGATTTACTCAGAGCAATATTCTTTAATTTCTCCAGAAATCAATTTTTTTTGTGAATTACAACCAAAAAGAAAGGCTGTGATTAGATATGATACGAAGATATCTCAACCATCCTAGAAAATGAATTACCACTCTTACATTTAACATTCTTTGCCTTGTATTAGCTTTACTTGTGTTTCAGAAATAGGCCAGTTATACATTAAAAATACTGGTGGTAAAATAACTGGAGGTGAACTGAAAAACTAAGTTGCGGCAGTATTCGAACTTTCAACCATTACCCTGCATTAATAATATCAGTCTACCAAATACTCTCAGTCGCAGTAAAATAAGTGTTAAATTTCTTTATTCCTCAGTTTCATTAATTTCATTTAGCGCGTGTCTGGTAGAACAAAACAAGTCACTGAGTGACATAAGCAGCTACTGGTAAATTTGAATATACTTCACCTTCAATATCTGCCTAATAAGTTGTCAAAAGCCAATTTTGTCCTTTGTATCTGTGTAGGGTACTTTTAAGCTATTCACACCAAATAGCTAGCGGAAATTCTCAACAGACATTCATGCAGACCAATTTTGGGGCATATGTAAACCTTTAACTCGTTTTCCAAGGTGTCTTTAGTGTTAAACATACTTTCACCATCTTTACTGTGTACTGTAAGTTGACTTAAATATCTGCAATAGGAAGATTTAGCACTTAATCTTCAGAAAACTTAAGTTTAACTTGTAAAAGTATGTATCATATAAAGTCGGAGAAAGTGGAGAAAGTGAGCATTTAGTGAATACCACTCAGGATATCCACTGCAATCGATAGGTCATCACGGTCTTAGAGATGAACAAAAGTGTTCACATGAAGAGACTTAACTGATATCATGTTCTTATCAGATATTCTTCTGAATGATGGTCTCTTTTATAAGACTTATAAGTCAACAAGATCATAATGCTTTTATGTTAAGGAACAGAACTATGGTGAGAAGGTACTGAGCAATAACACACCCCAGAATTCGACGCAAGGCAAATAGCTGACTAACACACTTTCAGAATTCTTAAGTATAAGCTTAAAATACGAATGAAACCTCTGATACGTTAATATTTTATTAATATAGAAATAGGGATTTATTTACTTTTTGTGAAGTTATTCAGATTGATAATTATATACTCCAAATTCCTCGAATAACCCTTTTGAGTGTATATCGCATTTTTCTGAACTAACCGTATTAACACGAATAGCCTATTTGTGAAACTTTTAATCTGTCAATTGAGTAACATAACCTTTGAAGTTATCTGTTTTTGAAGAAATTACAAATCCCCCAACTAATAAATACTAAAATTATGAATTCTTTGTTCATGAATTCATGATGATGGACCACAGTCCTGTAACAGCAGATGAGTGCTTTTAAATAATTTGACAAAAACGTAAAATACTTTAATTCATCAATTTAACTGCGCTAGATTTCTGTACGAAAAGAAAGTTCTTGTAACAGTGCAATAACAGTGGTTGTTAACAATACTATTCTTGATCTAGGAGAAAATTGGTAGGGATCTGGACAGGATTTCACGATATGAACTTCATTTTTCACAGAGAATATAATCTACTTCAATCCAAAAGTTAAATTCTTTTTTTTCAGCTACACATCATGAAATATTTAGCCGCGTATATGTGGGGCAAAGTGTTCATCAAATCATGCTGATCAGTAAAGTGTCCGGACATGATAGATAGCAGGTGTATCTCTACTACTGTGATTACTGAAGTTTTCCAGCTATTAATTTCTAACAACTTCAAGAACCTAACTGTGCACTCTCTCATCCTCTAGTTCGTTTATTCCTAAAACCTAAACTAGGCATGGATGCAAGCCAAGTCCTAAAATATCGCCTTGCACTTAATAGATGCAATACTAATGTCAGGTATACTTAGATTTTGACTCATTTCATTGAAAATACTCATTATTTTGTCAGCGTCTTCACTGAATCAGACTGTACTACCTAGATGCTCTAAGTCAACTGCATTCTCCTCAGACAGCCGATCAGTCCGTAAGATGTTGGAAGAGAACATGTCCTTCTCTATCAAGACATCTGTAACGATATTCAATGAAATTCGTGATAGTAAACATCCTTGATGTACACCACTGGTTGGCTTTGACTCAGATTATAACTCTGCCGGCTGTCACTCTGCTGAATGAGCACAAGCATAGAGCTTATAGCATCATGATATATCCGGTCATTACCGCTTTACAGATAAACGCTATCAAAAGGGTTTACGATGAGGTGAGAACCTTTTATATAGACAGTAAGACAAACAGAATGAAAGCTACAGAATTGCCGAGTGGGTTGGCCTTGACATGTGCTGCGCATCCCGAGCCACCGCGCACCTCAATGTGCCGTGCTAGGAAAATTTGGACTAGGTTGTAAGAAGGATCAGAATGGTCAGACCAAGATATGGTACCAACACATAAAGTCTCTGACTAGTGGTCTGAACTGTGTTGCGGAGTGTGGCCTGCCTGGCCGGGGTCCCTGAGATGACATGAATCAGTAGGTGAGGGCTATAGATGACATAGATGAAAATGAGTCAATATGGTGTTTGTGTATTCACTCTTTTAAATCTTCTAAAGCTTGAATACTTTCATTAGGCTTCATTTCTGAATTCATTATCCTCCCATACAATCTTGTCTACTGTGACATCAGTCTTTTTTTTATCCACCTGTTCTTTGTGTACTACTGTGAAGTGTGGCAAATTGGAACGATGCATCTGTGTGACTCTACATTGATATTGTCTGTCAATCTGTCTATTCTGTATATTGTTCTCCATAACTGTTGCTTTTTTATTCCTAACACTTTTTGAATTGGAACACGAATCTTTAAAAAGTATTGTTTGAAAGTACAAACATGGTTACCTATAAATTATCTTACTAAGAAATCAGGTCAAAGATCACAAACAGTACACCCAGTATTTCTCATCATTTCATTCCAACGTGGCTGTCAGTAAGCGTTTTCCACTTCTTGGAAGTAGCAGTATTCACATAGCTATTATTATTATTATTTTACCCCTTGGATTCCCAGTCGAACATAGGGCTTCAGTAGCACGTCGCCATTCCACTCTCTTCTCTGCAGTCTTTTCAACCTGGCTCCGTGACAGCCCACAAGCTCTCATTTCCTCCTCGCACGATCTCCTCCATGTCACCCTCACTTCGGATGCCCAACTCTTCGTTTCCATTTGCGTTCCACTCCACGACCTGGCCTGACGCATGATGTCCCCAGTCGGATTTCTCAGTGTATCCCTTGCCCAATACATCTCCAATTCCTTCTTCTGCATATTTGTTCAGCGATAGGTTCTCGCTTCCTTGGTTCGTTGCCAGCCAGTCAGAGTTCCTTGTTGCTTATTCTTATCATTTCTGGCCATCTAATCTGATCTTCAGTAACGAGCCAGCGTAGGTGGCAGTTGTTGATGAATGTCTGTAGTTTCTTGGAAATCCCTTTCGTAACCCACCAAGTCTCTGAACCATACAGAAGCACTGACTTGACATTGGTGTTGGAAATCCGGATCTTGTTCATGCACGCTTTATGCTGAGTGCAGAAGATATCCACACTGGCTTCAGGTTAATGAACGCCTGTCTTGATTTTCCGATCCTGGCTACCTTTGACATCCTCGTCTGTGCCTTTGCCACCTGTGCTGCCTAAATACGTGAAGGAAGTTACTTCCTTTAAGTTCCTCCCGTTCATCGTGATTGGAGCTTGCTGTTGTTGTTGTTGTTGTTGGTGGTGGTGGTGGTGGTGGTGTTGGTTGGGTATCTTCATCACCTCTGTCTTCTCTATATTCACTTGAATGGTGTCCCGTCTTCGCTGCCCTGCTCTGCCTCTTCTGTCAACTTGTTAGTTTTCGCCTGTAGATCATCAAGTTTGTGTGACATTAGACACAAGTCATCGTTGGCGAAATCCAAGTCTTCTAGGTTCTTTTCCGCAGTCCAGCCAGCGTATTCCCCTCTTCTCGCTCCTCACAGTTGTCGCTTGCATGATCCAGTCGACCACAACACAATCAGGAATATCATGGGGGATAGTAGGCAACCTTGTTTCACTCCTTCCTCTCTTCACTTCACTTCAAAAGCATCACTGAGTTGAGCTGTCCATTGTGAATTACTTGGCCGGTATGTGGTGTCTTCATATAGTTGTTGAATGAGGCTGATAAAGGTTAGTGGTATTCCGTAGTAATGAAGCAGTTTCCAAATTACCTCTCAGTCGATGCTGTCAAAGGCCTTCTCAAATTCGATGAAGTTGAGGTGAGGTAGAGAGTTGACTGCCATTCCATACTCTGTTCTATGATGATGCGTAGTGTGGCGTTGCAATTTGGTCCACACATGATTTGTACTTCCTGAATCCAGCCAGCCAGCCAGCCATCCTGTTCCGGTTGTAGTTTTGAATCCAGTGCATCCTTTAGTCTCTCCAGTATGATGCTTACTTCGGGTGGACAGGGATGGAGCATGACTGGACGCGAGTTCTTGCAAAGACTTGGGTCTCCCTTCTTCGGGAGTTTGACAAGGTAACCCTTCTTCCAATCAATGGGCAGGTACCTTCTCTTCCTTCCAGACCTTCTGCAATAGTGGTGTGGTGTGAGCATATCCACTGTTGTCTCTGCATTTGTTTTCAGTGCTCCTGGTGGGATTCCATCTGGTCCTGCTGCTTTCCCGAATTTCAGTAGTTTCAAGGCGCTCAGGACTTCTACTTTTGTTGGAGGATTTATGTTTACTTGTAGTTCTGTGGCTGCTGGTGGTATTTCTGTCCGGGCTTAGGACCGGCTGGTGATTAGTGAACTAGTTAACCAGTCGAGGTTACGCTTTTATCAATATGACCCATATTTAAATGGAAGTTCTATTCACTTTTCTCCCTATGGTTCAAAATTAAAGATCAATAGCTTTTCGATCAACTTGATAAACCAGCAGTTATAATTTATATCCCAAAGGTTATAACGTTTCATTTCGTCCTTAGAGACGATCAGAGATTTATGTTACTTATGAGTAATACCGGATAATAAACCACTTGTTCAGTTATCTTGATAATTAGATATTGGTCAGGCTAATACCTCTATTTCCGGTTATAAATATTTCCATTGAAAATTCAAAGAAGTCATCAATTAAACCCTTCATATGGTTCATGTTACTTAAAATTATTTCTTTTATCATTTAGTGTATGCATATTTCAAGAGGAAAATACTTTACAACCTTGTTAATTCTGTTTTCTATTGTATTTTGAAGGTTTCACTTCAATATTCAATGAATATTCATGAAAGTAATTCAGATGGGATAGTAGCTGCAGAATTTTGTGAAGATTTAAATAATTTGATTACATGTGGCAGTGATGGTTTGTTGACTAAAGTTAAAATAAGGCAAGTTTTAAAGATCATTCATTAGAAATCTATATATTATGCTCGCGGACTTAATTATGTCACTATTTTCTACTCATCACTGATTGATATCAGTTGAAGAACCATTGAAAGCTTAGGAGCAATGAATAGTTGAATGGTTTATCTGTGAGACGCTTCAGCAGTGCGCACGCATGACTCTAACGAAGGCCAAACCCAGAACCTTTCGGTTCCACCTCGAGTAAGTTGCTGTTCAGCCACTCGGTCAAAATCCAACGATTCGCATTTTCTAATTGTATGAATTCGTGGACTAGCGTGACTTTCACCCATTGAAGTCACTAATTAACTGTCATGAAATCCGATTTATTTAGTCCTACCCACCCACACGGCTTCTCGTTCAAACTTGAGACCAATAAGTACTCACAAACCTCCAAAATGAATTGCTATTTTCGTTCAGATGGGGAAATTTATTTCAAATCAAGTGGGACTAAATACTTTCTCGGCAGTCCGTTACTTAAAATAGATCCCATCAGATTAGGAAAATTGTCAATTTATAAATAATAATAAAGTTTGTAACACTTAATTGATTGGAAATACTACTAACATCTGACTTTTCAATTCTTTCCGAAACCGTTAAAAGGTGTCCCTAATGTAGGAATAGCATTAAATAGCATTGAATTAGTTTATTTGAAATAACACACAGAGATAATATTGTTTCATCTTACACTATGTCAAATAAAACGATCCACTTCAGGCTGGTGTTCGTCATGGACTGACATCAGTTGAAGAAATACTGAATACCTGAAAAAGCAGGACATCTGTTTCGTCCTAGTGCGGGACTTTTCAGCAGTGTGCATTCATGACCCCGCTAGGGATCGAACTCAAAGCCTTGGGGTTTCGCGGTCACCGCATCACCATTAAGTAACTGGGTCGGAATTCAGTGGTCCATGTTTCCTATTTCCGTGAGTTCACAATATAGTGTGACCTTTACCCAGTGCTGTTGTTGATTAAATGTCCTCATGTTCAACTTGGTTAGCCGCATTGGAACTTCAGGAATTACCTCGTGAATCTAGTCACCAATGAAGGCTAAATGAATTCACTTTCAGGATTTGTGGGGATTTATTTATTAGTTTCAAGTTGGTATCCATCATGGACTGACACAAATTGGAGAAACATGGGAAATATGGGTGAGATCCCTGGCGGGGTCATGAGTGATCGCTGACGAGGAGTCCCACACTAGGACGAAACGGCTGTTCAGTCCTCCCAGGTTTTCCATTAATTCGCCAGATGCTGTCAGTTCATGATGAATACCAGCCTGTAATCGATAAATAAATCCGCACAAACCTCCAAACTAAAATCATCCACTACAGAATAGCAACTTTTGTTACATTGTTTGGAAGTAATTTTCTATTTAACTCCACTAACTAGGTTTGTGAAGTGTCTGTTAGTCTTAGTGACTGACTATCACTGTGCATATTATTCATATTTATTTGTTTAGAGATTAGTGAAAGTCTTTGGATCTTGGTTTTGTCTTTACTAGAACTCTGAAGTTCGAACCCAAATAGGTTATTGCCACTGATACCACAATGAACTCTTTGATCGTATGGTATAGGTTTCTTTAAGTATACAGGTATGAATCACCAATAAACACTGCGGACATTAACCCAAGTCCTTTCATCCCCAAGTATTAAAAGGAGATCTCAAGCAATGTAAAAGAGATGTACACAAAGTTTTTGCTAGTAAAAACTATTTATAAGTCCTATACATTTATGTGTTTCTATTGTTCGATTTTCAGCATTTTGTTTTGCGTGAAGTGTTTACGTATTACTAATTGAATGTATAATTTGATTCCATCTTTCAGTAGCCCATAAATTTACGGTTCATGTACTAAAAGTATACTTTAAGATTTCTAGAGAAATTATTAAAAATAATATTGGAGATCTAATTCCATATTACATTTACTTATTTGGCATAGCACACAATAGTACATTATAACTTATCTAATGGCATTTGGAGCAGAAGTTATTGCTCATAATCATATTGAAGTGATTACACAACTTACGACATCCGATTAGTACAGTCTTATTACCCCGTATTGTTTGTTTATAATGGTGATAAATTTTCACAACTCTGTTATAGGCGTTAAGTCATCCCCGAATGCTGCTTCTACAAGCCGAGATTAGGTACCTAATCTCTTGGCACATTGATTGGTAGCTGGAGAACAACTAATTCCAAGTTGTCTGGTCTTGATTCCTGATCAAATTCTATCGATCAACCACTTAACACCTGCCAAAATGCTCTGCGATTGTAAGCTTTTTTAGATTGGCGACGACACTGCAACATAATTGATAGAAATCCATCAGCACTCAAGAATAGATAACATGAAATTACATACTGTCTAGCGGAAATCAATGTATTTACTGCAGTCCTAAAATAGATCAATCGTGGTCCAAATAGCTGAGTGGTAACGTCGTTGATTACGACACTGGGTGACGCGTCTCCCATTATCGGAGGCTGTATCACTTTTTCTTGAGACTGGAGATACATCTTGCTGACAAGTGTCAAAAAGCACGAAATCTAGGTCCAAAGGTTCCTGTCGATCATCTCCAACCAACTGACATCCACCAAGTTACTTTTCTCCACCCTACTGTATGGTTGTGCTAATGTCTGCGTTAAAACAGCTGTTTCCCCCCCCCCACTTTATTGATCTTGGTGAGACCTGTCATTCTAAATTTGGTCCTATTCCCCTGCTCTGATAATCTAATTGACCGACACCAGTCGGAGGGACATCGGAAACCTCGAAGTACTTGACAGTTGTTTCGTCCTAGTATGGGATAAACCAGCAATGCGCACCCATGACTCCGCACCGTCAGAGGTCGAACCCAGGACCTTCAGGTTCCGTGGCTAGCACGTTACCATTGGGCCAATGGGTCGGAATCCAATGCTTCATATTTCCAACTTCTGTCACTTCATGACATAACGCGACCACCACTCAATGTTGTCGTTGGGTATTTATCCTCGAGGCTAACATTTCAGTCTATGATGAATACCAACTTGAAAAATCACTTAATCCCCACAAACCCCCAAATTCAATCTAAATGACCCCAGTCGGCTGCTTTGATATATGTATTTGACCTCATGGTCACTCCATGGTGTTAGGCAGATCAAATTACTTTGTCTTATTGGGTCAGTAGGATCCTTAATCTAACCAAGCTTATATCTGGGTGAGCTAGTATGTTTTAATGCTACCTTAATTTTAGCTTTGTTGAGCATTCTATATTAATTTTCTGATTTTTATTCCTAGAATGGCAAAACAAATTAAGTCTTGAAATCCCTTCTACTTGTGTTGCCGTTACCATTCATATAACTAATGCTACTTTGTTTCGCATATATCCTTACAAACTTATCAATAAACTTTAAAGAATAATTACTAATTAATGATGTTTCCTTTATATAATTCAATTCCTAGTTTTAACCTTTGGATTGATGATTGAGTTTTCCTGTCCACTTATTTTAACATTTAACTAAACCTGCTTTAACTGATATTGGACAAGATGACGTGAAGTTTTGATGCCTGTTGGAGTGTGGTAGAGTCCTTCCTGTAGATGATAGTATCTAAACCACCATAGTTTCTTCGTTTTATTTTGTAATGCAACATAGCTCATTCTTTCTATTCATTTTCGAAGTTAAGCTATGAAAATCAAGTGTTAAAAGTTGTATAACTACACTGAGAAGATTGTAAGAAATAGACTGTATTCAAAGCGTCATTAAGTAAATATTACTTTGATTAGGTTCTTTTCTAAATAACCGAATCTAATATGAAATTACATTCTAATACAGCGCCAAAAATTTTCATTTATATTGTTAGAAATCTGTTTCGTACATAAAATTTAAAAAAAGAGGATTTCTCTGAGTAAATATTTTATTCGTACCTAAAACAACTGAAGATCTTACATATACCAAGCAAAAAGCTATTAGACTTCGTTAAACTGTATAAATCGTAAGTTTTAAAGGTTGTTGATGCCGTTGAAATCCTTACTTATCTGAGGATATATTTATTGGTTGTTTTAAACTGAATGGATCTTAAAAGAATATTGGCAATAATAATTTCTAAGTCAACCTTCTGTTTCTGATTTCATGCTCATATTCATCACGGAATGATCAGCTTAAGAACCATCGGAAGCATGGGAGCACCGGATAGCTGTCACTTCATGATATAGGACTTCTTAGCAGTGCATACCTACAACCTAAACAGGAGTCAAATCTAGAAACCTCAGCTCTCGTGATAAGTACGTTAGCCATTCAGCCACCTATCCGGAACACAATACCCTACATTTCCTCAATTCTGTCACTTCGGAATATTGCCAAACCATCATCCAATTCCACCGTTGAGTATTATGCTCACATGAAACTTGACTGACCACACAAGTAACGGCTTCTCATACTGCAACAGAACAGCCGTCCCCGCTCTCAGATTTTTAATTGTTTTCCAACCAGGTGCAGTGTGTGATGAATGCCGACTTTAAATAAATAAATAAATCCTCACAAGCCTCCAAATTTAATTACTGCCCAGTGCTCATTAGTGAATTGTTTCGAGATGAGTCTTCCCGAAGTCCTAATAAGAAGTCGTGACCAGTGGGGAAAACTAAGTTGGACTTAAAAACAGGTACTCAAAGACGGCAATGAATGAAGGTCACGCCACATCGTGAATTCACAGAAATAGAAAATGTCGACCACTGAGTTCCGACTCATTGGCTTAATGGTAGCATGCTCTATGTGGAACCTAAGGGTTTTGGTTCCGATTCCTGTTGTACTCATGAGTGCGCACTGTTGAAAAACATCATACTAAATCGAGGTAGCAGTCCAGTGTTCTTGTGTCTTCAATGGTTCTCCAGCTGATATGAATCTATGAAATCAATAAAATCCCGACCAACCACCAAACTGAACTTCAGTTGTTAGTTATAAGTTCAAGACTTCGTAGTGTATTGCATGCTACAGACAAGACAAAGTTTCTGGCTTTAATTTAATTGCTTTTCTCTTGTCACATTCGCTAAAATAAGCTATCACATAAGATAAACTGAGAGCCATTAAAATTAGTAGTTACTTATCAAACACTCTTCATTTGTTGTAAAGCCTCATCAGGTATTATTCTAACCGCAATATTCTCACTATACACAAAGGCAGTTAATTTTCAACAATTTAACTTGAATGATGGAGAGTATAAGTAGTTCAGAAGTATGATTTAGCGATATTCAATTCTCTGAGCTGGATGTTTCAATCACGAGGCCTTAATTGTCATTTTAGACAACATTATCAACACTTCTTTCAATATGAAGCTAAGAGAACATAATTTCCAATACTAAACGATGTTGTAGAATCAAATGATCAGTCGACTTATTTTCTGCATTTCACTTAGAAAAAAGTGTGGTTTTAAGCTGAAAAAACAACTCAAATTTGAAATATTGCAAAGGTTTTAATCTAATGTTATCCTGCCTAACTTTTTACTCATTAGAATATCCTGGAAGTTGAATGATTACTGAATGTAGGCTAAGCAGATCTTAAAGCACTATTTAGTGAAGATATCGTATCCTTTTCAATTATCTGGGACTATCCGGAGCTAAGATTATTTTAAATGAATTAAAAGTGACTTCAATCCTTCATCTAAAACCTACTTTTTTAAACACCTTATTATAACAATCAACTTTTCATTTTTGATAATGGGAAAAATGTATTTCCTCAGTAAGACATTTTCAAACCCCATGAAAGATACTATGACTAAATCCGTATTTATCACATTTCATTGTTTTGGCTTCGTTAGGTTTACTTTTTGACCATACCTCAAGTAATCCTGTTGAAATTTTATGAAATGAAATTTAAAGATAAACTGTCTGAAATATTTCTAAATTTACTGATTTTATTTATTTGTAACAAATGAGTAAACTAACATTTTTAGTAATTCGAGGAGTAAGTGTTGAATAATTTCTAAATCTTTTTATTGTCAGTGAAAATATACATACCCAGTTCAAAGTTCAAACTTATCTAACCTTAAGATCACCACCCCTAGAACAATTAACTGCACTTAAAGAAATCGCAGATTATAAGGTAATAAAACGGCAGACAACTTCAAATACTAATGATTCAGTAAATGGTAATACGTCACCTCAAATGATTCTTCGATCGAATACTTTAATGTCACTACCAGAACATTCAATTTTAAGGGATGATATGAGTGAAAACGAATCACAGATTCTCCCAATTTATACAAATAACATTGATGCAAGTGCTAGTACTTGGATAGAACTTCGTCAAATGGATGTAGAAGCTTCTGGAGATTTAATCTATCAAGATACTAAAATGCATATTCTTAATCAGTTGGATGAAATAAGGAAAACAGTAAGCCGCTTTATTCATCATATTTGTTTGATATATATATATATATATATATATATATATATATATATATATATGGAATTCCTCAGCAGTATGCACCCAGGACCTAGCTAGAGATTGGACTCAGGACCTTCAGGATTCATGGTGAAGACACCAACCATTCAGCCATTGGGTGGCAGTTCAATGGTTCACTTTTCAGACTTCTGGATGAAATATTAGAATAATTTTTATTTCAAACAAGCTGAAATTAACACATATACAGATTATATTCATTTGGTTCTTTGTTACATGTGCTAGATATGAACTTATATCTATCACCTGCCGACAGGGGTCGAGTAGTTTGATCTAGTATAGCAACGAGAAACTACAAGTGCCAATAAGTAACACCGACAACAAGAGGTGGCTGTCGTACCTCAGTGACCTAGTGGATAACGCTTTGGCGTTTGAAGCGATGTGTACTGGATTCCGATTCCAGTGAGAACAAAATTACTCACTGGGGTATAGATATATCATCATCGAGACCAACACAGAACTATTCAATACTGCGTTATGGTTCAAGTTACCACACATTATATCAGCACATCGTGTAACAAGGCGAAAAAATGGAAGATGAAGAAGGAGGGAAAATTGGTCAAAGGAAATAGGAATGAGAAAATGATGAGATTAAGTATAGCTAATAAGATGGGGATAATGTGTATATACATCTACGCCACTGACATCTGTTCTAACCCATATCACATAGAATCTCCAATCACTGGTTTCTCTTGTCACATGGGCCCCAACCAGCTAGTCTGCTTGGCCCAACATGGCCCAAACGAACAGTCAAGGGCTTCATGCATTGATGCCATGTTTTAGTCTGGCTGACCAGAGCCTTTTTCCAGCCTAAACCTAGATTGCCCAACATTGTGTGACGAGACAAATGGTATCTAGGCATGCGTAACACATGTCCCAGCCATCTCAATGGATGAAGTTTCAAAACTGCATCAACCGTCTTACCTATCCCACCTAAAATTATACACCTGACTTCTTCGTTACTCACGTGGTGACAACACGAAACACGGCCTATGCTACGAGGGTAGCGGTGGTCAAACACTGGAAGCTTTCTCATGTCTCCTATCCTTAGTGGCCATATTTCACAGCCATATAGTAGAAGAGAGTAGACTGAGACACAGTGCAATCCACCCTTAATAAACAATAGGATATTTCAGATACATCCGGCTGACGAGTCCACTGCTGGCGGAAAAATAAATTACAACACGATGTACTCACACTATTTTAAGTTTACTCATAATAGTATTCCACTCCAAATGGAAGTGATTATTTAAAAACTCTTAATGTTATAAGTAGAATGGAACAGATTCATGTGCTAATTTCAAAACGATTAACGAATTTCGGAGACTGAATAACTATCTGCGTGTTATTTCATGTGTAAGTTTAGAAGTGGTCTATATATATATATATATATATATATATATATATATATATATATATATATGCAGATATAATCCGATATTTGGTATCAAAACTGAGTGCTTTCTGCATCAGATGTATCAAAATATATCGTTAACTCATAAAAGATTTATATTTACTAACATTTATTAACACTTCATGATCAAAGGCTTAATCGAAAACTACTCGTTCTGCATTTAAAATAAATTTCCTAGTTATAACTTCACAAATATATTAATGATTGAATTCTACTGTCTAGATAAGTGTTATGGTCACTGAAAACGACAGCCTTCCTGAAATCCAACGTATTGGGAGGTTAGAATTTGAGTTGGATTTTGAAGAACAAAACGTCATATTGGATGAAACAAAAGAAACTGTCAAACAGGTTAGTATTTGTAAGGCATTATAACCAATTATTTTGAAAGACATGTTTTCATAGTATGAAGAATCATGATCAGAGCTCCATTTGAAATGATAAGTATATTCTAAATCTGAGACTAATGACCGCCATATGTTAGATCCATGATTAAGGGTAGAACTGCACAATCAGATGTAATCTAGATAAATTTAGTAACTCTCTGCTTTAGATGGAAAAATATTTCCATTACAAAATGTGATCTGCCTCTTACCAATAATAATAAGGGGACGTATCAGGTGACTGAATAGCTTGTAGGCTAATCCATTCATTCTGGATCAAAATCTTTAAAACACCACCCATATTCAAATCAGGCGGTTGCAAAAATACGCAGTTCATGGTGAGAAATCCCACTTGAGTTTCCGATGAAAACCAAAATATTCCGATCAAATAATGCTATTGTTGTTAAAATTCCAAGCATGAAGCTGAATGTAACATACTACTGATTAGCATGAACAGTTCTAGACCACTCAGATTATTTCATCCCAACAAGTCCTTATCTTTCAATCACTCGATTAGACCAAGTAACACTGTTTGTCATAGTGGTTTATTTCTCCAACGCGTTTTAATAGCTTCTACGAATGGTTGTTACCATACAGATAGCCATATCACTAAAAAAAACTGGCATAAAAGTTCATCAGTTCAAGTTACTACAATTCACAGCAGTTTACAAAAGAGAAGTAGAGAAAAAGGGGGGATATTAGGGTAGACAAAAGTGTTTGAGAGTTAAGAGAATGAATGGATGAAGGTTGATGAAAATATCCAAGACTTTAAAGATGACAACGAATATATATGCCTATGCCACTGTGAACAATTTTGATCCATGTCGCTAAGCGTCTTCAATCATTGATTTCCGTTGCTTCAAGAATCTCAACCAGGCAGTTGACATCCGTCATCATGACTCAGAACGATAGTCAAATACTATATATACTGGTCCCACTACTCGGCTTAGTCACCCACAAACAAAACGAGTCTTGTTCAAATATTTACCTTAAAATTTAATTTCATCAAAATAATTATACACATTTGCATATTCCTCTTTTTTGAAACAAGTTACGGGAAGAAATATCCTTAGCTGATTTGGCGAAACAGTTTATCTGGCAAGCCATCAAAACTCAATGTTGGGATGAAATGTCTGTTAAGGGAAGAAGTTTGAAAGCATTCAATTTACCAATTAAAGTTTCCAATTATCCACTGAAACAACTAACAGATAACGAAAAAAAGTTATTAAATACTGTTACAGCCAGATTGAAAATTATTAAAGCTGTAGAAGAAGAGAGAGAAACACTATCTGTACATTTGTTTCGCAACACGATGAAAAAAGTAAGCTTTACTCTTAAATTGCCTGCAGACAGATAGCCTTGTTTTTAGCAATTAGATTACTGAGTGTAGTCTTTTCTGTGAAATGCGGTTCATAAATAGACTTGAGTTGTAAATAGAAGCTACTTATTCAAGTCGTTACAATTTTGTAGTAGTTCAAACGGTGAAATTATACTTGGAATCTTTTTATTAATGACCTTTTTAAGGTCTCTGTTCTAAAACATTAAAACACGTCAAATCGGTAAGCTACCGTAGACATACCATCCAATCCTTTCAGCTATAACTCGCTAACTGAAAAAAGACAATTTCCTACAAAGCATATGTACTTTAGTAATTTAGTTCATGCATTCACCGAATAGTAGCTAATATCATTTTGTTTAGCCTATGGTGTTAGTCGATTTATATAATCTGTCAGCATATAGGTAGAAACAGCTTTATAGTTATCACTACCCGCTAACCGATTAGCATATGCAGCTAGATCCTTCAGATAGTCACTTCCGACTAAGCTTACCCAGCCCTGTAACATTGTGTTCCATATAACACTCATCTAAACGCGGCTTAAAGTAATTTTACTCTAATTTCAAAATCATCTAACTGTTGTGATGGACACAGATTCAAACGTACTGGAAGAGAACAAAGGTCACTGATATAACGCTCAAAATTTTGTCAAAAAATTTGGTGAAAGATGGTTCCATTTAATGCGTTTAAGACTACGAAGTAAAGGTAATCACTTGAGCGCCACAAAAATGACCTTCAGCGGTTGTGAATGCCTCTGACTACTTGTCTTCGGGAGATGCACGCTTTCAAAAACAGATATGAGGTGAAGTTCAGGAAAGATAAGTAGATAAAGTTTTAAATTCGACAGCCATTGGTTTAGAATCTAAAACTAATTAGCAAATACACATATTATTCAGTATTTAATGTAAGATACCGTAAGTTGAGCAGATGAAAAATGGTCCTTAATATTTTGTCTTGTTTGCTTACGTTAATTCAAGACAAACCTAGAACAAAAGGAAGAAGTCGATGAAGAAGAAGAACAAGAACAATCAATAAATCGAATACTTTCTGGAAGCACTGGTAAACTGATTTTTCATTGTTAAATCTCTGCTTTTTTCGTCTAATTTGCAACATAAGTCGTCACAGGTGAATCAGAAAATTGGCTAAAAAGAAAATCTGTACGATGAATGAATAAATCAAATTAAACTGTAAAAATTAAATGCCACTTCATTAGACCAGCCTACTGAATTGATAATGGATAGATTCTGATAGCTTACTTCATATTGAAGCTTATATTGATGATGCCATCTAGAAAGACAATGAAAACTTCGCGATTAACAGTTTTAGGTTATAGAACTCAATACCACCGAACTCACCAGTGTTTTAATCACATAAAAAGTGACACTTTTAGGCAGGGAATATGTCTATACCTTTCATGACACAATTCATTTATCCAAGCTTAGGATTTACTAATATAGGTGTAGAACTTGGGCACTGTGGTAGAATTTAATTCCATATTAGATTTGTTTATTTGATTTATAACACACAGTATGATACAGTATCATTTACTTGATGACATTTCGAGCATAAATTATTGCTGCTCATAATCATTTCAATGTAATCACACTACATTTGACATTTTTTTTAGACAGTTACGTCACTTCATACGAGCTGTTTTTATTGGCAGTAAAATTTTCCATATCTCTGGTATAGGTGTTGTGACATTTCTATTACATGTGTTGAGCGTTGATTCGATGAATAAAGATTCAGTAACTAATCTCTGTCTCCACCTAGCTATATTAGACTTAAGTACAGTGGTTTTATCCCACCCTATTGTGTGGTTGTGTTAATGAATGTAATGCAGTGGCCGAGTGTTTTTCTGGATTATTGATCCTATTTAGGTCTGTTATTCTATATTTAGCTAAATTCCTATGTTCGGCTATTCTTACTGACCCCGACCGACTAGTTTGACCTATGTATTTGACCTCACAGTCATTACATGGTATTTGATAGATTATATCACTTTGCTCAATTGGCTGTATCGAATCCTTAAGCCAAGAGACGAAGTTTATCGCTGAGTGAGTTTGTAGGTTTAAATGTCACCCTAATACCAGTTCTGTTGAGGATTCTATGTAAAGTTTCTGAGGTACCCTCCATATGGGGTAATACAATGGAGGCTGTGAACTCCTTTTTTCTCGTGTTGTCGTTATTAGTCGAACTCGTGTGAGAATTTCTCAATAAACTGCGGAGGATAATTATTAACTAATAGCGCTTCTCTTACTTGTTTTAATTCCTTGTTTAGGTTCTTGCTCTGACTAGTCAGTTTTCTAGCTCTATCATTTAGACATTTGACTAATCCTGCCTTGACTGACATTGGATGGGATGATTTGAAGTTTCAGTTTAGCTGGACTATTTTCTCTGAGTGATGCTCATGCTTGATTTGAAAGCTTGATGCTAGTAATAAGGAAATTTGGACTGTTACTGCCTTAACAGTGTGATTTTGTTATTGCTCACTATCTACAGTTAAATAAACCAAGCAAACTTTGCTCCATTTTCAAACATATATATATATATATATATATATATATATATATATATTCTGAATGGTAATTATACCACTTGGCTGTCCGAAAAATGGTAGATGGAGCCGGGATCAAATTCACAACCCACTAGTTGAAAGTTAGTTGTCTAGACCAGTAAGCTACAGCTGTTTTAGACAGACAACGGAGTAAATCAAAGAAGAAAAATCCAAGGTTTATACTTAGTCATCTATGTTTATCAAACTAGGCCGTATGCTCATGCAGCAATGTTTACCCTTTAGAAAGATAAGAATTTCCTATTAGTATTTACATGAGTAAAAATGCCAGATGAGATGGCGTATTTAAGGTCCCCTAGCCATTACATCCCTCACTACATTGAATAATCCTTTTAACAGAAATATTTTTGATTCTCCGTCATAATTTCTTTTTAAGTATCATTTTAAAAATTTGAATTTCACCAATAATTAGGTATTGTTGTTATATATTTTTCTTCAGCTAAAGAATATGGTGGATCAATTGAACAAGGTTATAATCAGATGGAAATTTACACACGAATGCAAAAAATTTATCAGATTGTTCTGATTAAAGTGAGTAAATAAACTATCATAATTAAAAGATTTAGATGGTTTCCTAAATCAACTTGTATAGTAAAAGATTTAGCAACTGGTTAAAAGGTAGCTGAAGGTGGATTTTAAAAGAAGAACGACTTCAGCGACTGAATTTGTTTTCGATAATATTCTCAATTGCTGTACATAATTTGCTTTCATATTTAAGGATATAACATTTTAAACATTATGTTGTAATTTACTTGGAGGCAAGAAGTCGAATTCAGGATGCTCACTTCGTCCTATTCGGGATTTGTCAGCTGGATGTACCTGCACCCCAATGATTGACGATGTTCCCTTCGGGACTTAAAACTTCTACCCATCAAATGCCAAAGCGTTATTCACCAGACCCCTGAGCATGAGAGTCACCACTTTTGCAGCAAGTTTCAACTGTTATTTAATAATACTTTAAGTTTTCTGTTGCTATCCTAGGTCGAAATTCTCGACTGCAATATAATGAATATTCAGACAGGCATCTCCATAGGATCTCATCTGCTGACAGAGGTCATGAAATTCTGACAGGTATGGTATCAGTAAACAATGTAAATTAATAATTCTTAGTAGGTTGTGGTCAGGAAGATGATATAAGGATGAAAGTTACCGAAGAAACAGGAATCAGTGTGGGTTGAAATCAAGACTTATCAATGAGACGATTTGAGATAAAGGTGGTTTGGCAGACTGGCATTACTGACAAAGCATGATGACTGAAGGTGAAATGAAAACTTGGGTCACAACAGGATTTGAACCACCGACTTCCAGGTTACTACCTCAGAGTTTCACCAGCTGCTGACTAGGTCTTAAAACTTAACAACTAAGTAAGACCTGGTCGTCAGCTTCGACTCCCAGCCCAGCTGGTAGAACGCCAAGCTGGTAACATGGGGGCTCGGTGGTTGGAATCCTCTCAGACCTAGGTTTTCATTTCGCCTTCATTTATTACGCCGTAACGGACTAAGAATTTAATAACCCATAACAAAGTGGCCAAACAGTTGTCAGGGTAGAAAGGAAAGAGTAATTGGTAACTGAGCTAAACACATTTACGTAATAACAATGTTAAAATCAAGAAGTGTTAGGTAAGCTTAGAAACTGAAAAGTTTAAAAATTAAGGAATGGATTTAGAAGATGAGTGCCAAGGTTGCTTATGGATGCACAATTCTGGCTTACATATTTTTACTGTCGTTGCTTCAACACTACAATGTGAATGCTTTCTGGCACCCTTTGTGAGATTACGCTGTTCCCTGCATATTGTTGTGTACGAATCTTCTGAAACTGTTTGCTCGCTGTCAACCAAATGTTGTAATACGGAAATATTTGTCAGTCTGCATTGACTTCTGTGGGTTCATGCCAAGTGTTGAAGTCAACTTTGAACAATTTGTTTCTGCGTACAGGCGATGCAGCTAGTTCCACGTAATAGGTGAATTGATGTATGTACCTATGAATTCTCAAGAAAAAGAATTAAAAATATTAAAATGAACAAAACTGGTTCATTCTTCACCGTATGAACAACCTGGAAATGACTGAACGTGTGCATCAAACGGTTTTGGTAAAATAACGTGTGAAGAAATCTTAGCTAAGACAAATGTTGACCTTCAGAATACTGTAAAAAGAATCATCGGATGGAAAAAGAACCTATGGTACTGTGATTATTTTCAACGTCAGTTGCAATTTATCATTTTCCAGTGTTCTAGGAACAACACATAACCATTCTTCAGTGTCTTCAACTCTTTTTTGCCCAACCCCCTAGTCATGCTATACTTGAATCCTTGATTATCCACAAAGACCTAGTCATTACACTTTTTAAAAGAGATGTTTAAAGCAATCGATCCAAGGATTCTGTCACCAGGTCTCTGGCTCCCAGATATCGAGAAGCAAATTATCTGAGGGATCTCAGAAACCTTATAGCCTCTTAAAGGTTTGATATTAAACTTCACTTTTGGACCACTGCTGATTTTTTTATGCTCAACAACATGGTACTGGAAAATCAGGGAAGAACAACCAGTATCAGAGTACCCAGCCTCTCTATGTTGGTTAAAATCTGTTGACTGAGGATGGAGAGTTCACCTGTTAGACCTAGAAAAAGAATCTAGGGAACTAAAACTAATTTCTGCCCTTTCTTCAGTTACCATATGGTAGAACATATTCGTTTAATGCATGAAATCTCTCATCATCATCGCTTTTCGAATAAAATGACGAGATAACACTTACTTTTACATTCAGCAGGGAAATGTTTATATGCAGTAGTAGTGCGTTCTACTTATAAGAACACTGGGAAAAGTAATTAGAGTTGACATTCAGTAAATAAAGAAAGATCCCGGAGATAGAGTTGACAGATTTCAAGCAGAAGTAAAGAAGACAAGTGAGAAAATAGCAGAAAATGAAGGATAATTCATCTCGATTGTAGAATGCAGCTACTAGTTTGCATGAACCACGCTAATTAAAAGTTCTAAATATTTTATCAATACTCAGTGTGTTTTTCAACACACAATTCCATAAGATTTTACTAGTCGCTTTTTCTACAGTATCACTTAAATGTTATCTTGGGTTAAATAGTAATACATGTTTTTGATAATAAGGAGCATGATACTTAAAATATTTCCCTACAAAAATAACTTTTGAAAGGGAATTTTTGCGATTTATTTTTTTTTAGAATGCAGTTTATCATATGAAAGAATGCTTTAATAAAGAATTCAATGAAATCTATGCCAAAAAATCAGATCAATTAGCTCAAATTCAAACTAAACTGACTAGAATACGTAAAATTCATGCAGATCTACAACAACCTCATCTACTCAAAAATCTTATTGATCCTAAATTTGATGAAGATGAAGAACCAGAACAATTGTTTACTATCACAGATGCTGAGATAACAGTTGAAAAATATTTATCACCGGAACAGTTAGCTGAAATTGAAGTTAAACGATCAGCTGAAGAAGAAAGACGCAGACGAGAGAAATTGGACAATTGGCGTGAAAGAGGTTTAGAAGAAATGATGGACGGTGTATTAGAGATTAAAAAAGAAGATGAACTCAAAAAGGATATACCTAAACCAGCTTTCCTACTAACTGGTAAACCATTAACACATTGGACAGAGGATGATAAACGTATGTATGCTGAATATGAACGTAAAGTTAAAGAGTTAAATGAAGAAAGAGAAAAATACAGAAAGGTAAGATAAATCAGTTTGTTTATAGGGGAAAAATTATTCTTACACAAAAGACAAAACACACTGGGAGTAGAATCTTTTCCACACTTATTCGTTTTAAAATAACCAAGTCAGCAATTGGTTGCTCTCCAGTGACGACCCCACAGGAGGTCAATTACAGCCAGAATAGCTCAGCGGTAACTTCACTGTCTGCGAAACTGGGTAACAAGGGTTCGAATACTAGAAGAAACAACAGTTCCTTCGAGGTTGCAGACACTCTGATGTGTGCCAGAAAGCATGAAACCGAGGTCCAAGGTTGCCTACGGATTGCTTCTAACCAAATAACGCCCACAAAATTCTGTTAGCACTCAGAACTAGACAATATGAAGTCGGTTGCTCTTTACTAACTAATCAAAGTAACCAAGTCATCAAATATATAATGTTTTCTTCCCCATTTCTTTACGGAGCAAAACAAAGTCTCCACAGATTAAGATTTCATTGTCATTAGATTTGATGATATGAATGAATATGCAAGATAATAAATGATGTAGTGTAAAGAAACTGATAGTTAATTGAAGCTTCGTGTTGTTCTGACTTCATCCTTCCCGCTCAATCTAGTATATATAACCAATGTAATAAAATATAACAAATAAATGAATTTTGTAGATAAGCTTAACTGCAAACATTATTCACATAAAATGATAAAACTATCAACAGAGTGAGTTGTAAATCACTGAGTAGTAAAAATAGGTAATGAGCATCAATTATTCATACCAATCATAAATGTATTCCTTTCAATACTTTCATAAAAAACAATTTCATGCAATGGATTTAATAATGTTATTGAAAAAAGGTATTCTCCTAACCTCATTACTTATTTTCAGTGCTTACAATTGTTAAAAAAACTAGCTGTACTAATCTGAAGGTAGTATTCATCACGGAATGACACAAACTAAAGAATCCTTAAGAACCTTGGAGTACAAGATATCTGTTTCCTCCTAGACTGAGCATTTATTACCCCATTCTGTACTGAGCCATCGGGTTTCATCGGGAGTGCATTAGCATTCATCCACTGGGTCGGAATTCAGTGGATTGCATTTTTCAACTTCTGTCAAGTTACATTGCATGATGAGTACCAACTTTAAAGTTAATCAGTTCCCAGAAACCACCAATCACATGTACAATTAGAGCTCGAGAACAGCAAACTCGGGAAAACGAGGCAGGTTTCAAATCTAGAAAACAGGTATACCTACTGGTGGTTGACACTTGCCATAATTCTTGACTTGGAGGTGGCATTTAACTCTGTTGACCTTGAGGTGTTGTGGTAGTGTATGACTACGAAGCGAGTACCCACCAAGTATGTAGTGCTTATCAAAGTTCTATACTCGAACTCATGCTGCCATGTAAGGGATTACGGAGTTGTCATGAGAATTAACGACAACTAGTGGTGTTCGGCAGCGATACCCACTGTCAACTTTTTTATTTAGCTTCGTTATAGAATTAACAATTGACATGACCTTAGTTAAGTCCGACTTCACAGAGACTGACTTATTGCTAGAGGTCACCTGATTTACTTGGGCTTTGCAGACAATATTTTTCTGCCAAATGAAGACAGTGACGAAATGCAGGATCTTTCGAACGCGTTGAGCAGAAATCTGAGTATGTTTGGCATGCGTTTTGCTGGCACATATCAAATGTAAGATGATGCTCAACCGCTTCAGTTCGATGATCGTGAGTGAAGTGGTGAAACGTGTTGAGCATTTCACTTACCTGGGTAGTTGCGTCAGTTCAAACGGGGTGGTTGCTGACGAAATCTCAGCTCGGATATATATGGCCCGTTTGGAATTTGCCAACATGCGTCATCTGTTGCGCCCACTGTCAAGGTGTCCAACTATCTATTAAAAGACGAGCATACTGCGCTGCAGTTCATTCTGTCTTGTTGCACGGTTGTGAGACATGGGCGTTAGAAACAGAAAATATGAAGTGGTCACTAGGTTTTCATCCCACATATTTTCGTAGCACTGCTTGTGGTCGGTGGAATCGCCATGTGAGCAATGTCAAGGTCAAACCAAACATATCAGGAAAGACGAAAAATTCGATTGATAAAGTCATGATCCTTAGTCGACTAAGATGGCTTGGACATATGCTGCACACATCGAATCCTCACCTACGTTGACATGTTATGCAATGGGAAGCTGGATTAGACTGGAAGAGGGCTCTGGGTGGTCAGATCAAGACTTGACACAAGTCCATGAAAGTCCCTGAATGTTGGTCTGAGCTGTATGAGGAGATATAGATTGTCTGGTTGGAGTCTCGTAGACGAAAGTAATCAGTGGTTGAGAAGTCTTTGTGACATGGTCGAAAATCAGTCACAATGGTGCAGATATATTCACTCCTTGACATCTTATAAAGCATTGAATATTCACACTCACCTTTATGCTCAGTTTGTTTATTCTGTCACACAAATTTATCTACTTTGATATCACTCTTTTTCTGTCCATCTGTTCTTTGTATACTACTGTGGAGTGTGGCGACATGAGCCGATGTAATTGTGTGTTAGTTTGTACGTTGATTTTCTCTGTCTATCTTGGCCGTTCTAATCGTTTTTGGTTGTTTTCTTTTGTTAGCAATATGTATTTCATGCATATGCAACACCTAAAAATCACAATCCATGATTAATGTACTCAACAATAAAAGTAACAGTGCATTTTAAAGGACTTATTGATTTCCATCAAGAGATAACTCTAAGTTGAGGAGTAATGAAGGTCAGTTAGATACTGCTGCTGAGTGATTGCCTTGAATGCCTTGCGAGATCAAAAAAGAACTCTCTTTACTCCCTGTACTACCAATGATTCCCAGTCTTATTCAAAGTTTTTCCAGTAGCGATAAGTAACCTTAGATGAAAAGCATAGGACGATTTTCTCAATCTATAGAAATGTCTTTTCAGTTTCAACTTGAATATCTATCCTCCATCACTCTGTACTATCACCTGTTTTGTGGGATTTCTACTATTAAGAGTTTATATTGTGTAAAATTAAAAAACACTTCTAATGCCCTGTATACTACTACAAGTATTCTTACTCATTGCTTTGTTTTAATGTTTGCTATTTTTCTGGAGGGGATGGACAACAAGACAACACAATACTTTATCTAATCTTCTGAAATTATTCAGTGGAGTTTTGCCATCATCACTTGCAAACTACCTTAGTTAAATTAGTCTACATGACCAAAGGCAAGTTAAGATCTGATCAGTACCTGGATCTTATAGTTCGATCGGTAAGACACTGACCTGGTAACCCAGGGGTTGCTGGTTCAAAATCTACCTTCATTCAAAGTTCTGGACATTGGTAATGAAGATAGCTAGATTACTGAAGTTCCTCTGATGTACTCAGAATAACTGTAATATCAAAATATGGTTACCATAGTGTGCCGAAGAACGATTGCATTCTAAAACTCGATTATTCACAGGATATCAACGCATATATTTGGTGTGTTTAGTGTTGTCTTATAGTCGTTAAGGGAACATTATAATTTCTTACAAAACTAATAAATGATATTTTTACGAGAAAATATGTTTTGAAAAGTTTTAATCTTACTGAATAACAAAATATTACCATTACCTGTTTATCTTATCATTTCAGTTTTTGGAGGGTGATTTAAAGAAAATTTGTAGTCAGATTGATGAAATTAAAACAAAATTCGACGAACAATTAACTTCATTATTTAATAAATGGCTTCATGTTCAAACAGCTATATTACAAGAGGAATTAAAAATATGGAGACTAAAGTGGATGTTACTTACGGAAGAAGAATTAATTACTAGAGAATATGAATTAAAAGAATCCATTGAAGAATTACAAAAACAAGAAATACAAGTAGGTCTTTCATATGCTTACCATACTTTTTTTTATAGGACTAAAGAATTCTACCATCCTAAAGTAATTCCTAAATCTCGTTTGGAAACGAAAATTCATTAGTTAACGTTTTGGTGTGTAAAGATTTTGAAAAGTTTTCTTTCTTATGTTACAAGTAAAAAAAAAAGTATAATTTACCCAATTTCCGAATTTGTAAGGGTAAGAAATGAATATTTCACCAATAGCTTGATAGTCACAAGTGCCTACCTCAGCTAACAAAAGAAAATTTAATAACTGAATCTATGTATCAGGGTCATAGAGTTAAATACGAATTCCCACTGTTTGGTTTTCAGGGTATAGAAGTTTAAAATGATCTCATCGACGGTGTTGAGGAGATGACCTACTACCCGATCAATCTCCATTTTACGAGTTAATCTGATATGTTATCTTGCTTTCGTTGAAATATTAGCATTTAATAGTTAAAATAAGAATCAGGATATCATATCATGGTGAGCTTATAAGTGCTAAGCTGTAGACTAGTGTGAGCTATGTTCGACTGATTTCTTGGGGTTTCAGGACAGCATAAACATTTGTAGAAGTATGCAAACTTGACCAATACAGTAGAATAATCATTTAATGTGCAATTTCTCAAAATTGAACTGAATGCTTCCTTAGATATTATTGACAAAATTTGTAGTAACTGTAAAAAATGAGTAACGATTCAAGGTCACTGAAAGACGGTCGAATTTTATAGTTCCACTACTTTTTATTGAAGTTTTATTCCCTCGTTAGATTTATGTAGTTCAGTGAGTAGACGTATACGTTATGTTGTCTTCTGAACGTAGATCTTGGGAGTTGCATATCTCAGTACCATGTTGTATACAGTTTTCAGAAGGTTCTTTTTTCTTCACTGGTTTTCACTGATGTCATCTGAGGGGGGTAATCTAACCTCACACCGAGGTGGTATCTAAATCTGAAGACATATTTATAAAAACAATCCTTGTGCAGTCAGTAGTTTGCAGGGATTCGTTAATCTGAAAGGAATTTTCATCACGGGTTGACACGAACTGAAGGAGCACTGTAAATCTGAGGTCACTAAACTGCTATTTTGTCCTATTTTAAGACTCCTAAGAACTGCTGCATTCTCACAACCTCATGAGCGATTGAACCAAGGACCATCAGGTCACACAGTGATCTTGTTACGATTTAGACTGTAGATTAAGATCCAATGGTTCAGTGTTTGCTACTTCTCTCAATTTTCGACATAATGCCATTGTTGTCCATTGTTATCAGAGACTATCTGTGCTCATAACAGATTTGCTTATTGATATGGAAAGATTACAAATATTTTGTCAATAGATTCTTTTAAAAAGAATGTTAGTCTCTATAAAGGAAACATATTTATAAAAACCCAATTAATCAACCTCGTAGAAGTCGTTTCTTCAGAGGATAAAATCTGTACAAGTTATTGCAGGTTTAAACGGTAAGTGGAGACAGACCAGACCACTTTATTCATACATACATACTACTACTACTAATAATAATATGGGAATGAATGTCACTGATATCAGTTATTGATCCGTGAGTTCAAAGAGAAGGTGTGGATGTGTGTGCTTGAGTAAATGAATGTTAATGACTGCAAGGAAAGCAAAATGAATTAGAAACTCAGCTTCTTTGTGTATATGTACTTTAGTTATGATTATCATTTTTTTATATACTGTTTAAGTTAGTTGGATTAGTTAGACCTTCCTTTGTGTTGATTGTATCAGGATTCAACCCAATACCGAACGCTTCAGCTATCCATCTTTCCCTGTAGTTTGGTAAACTTTTTTTTGCGTGAAACGCAACTACCGATTTGATTTGTAAATTTTTCGGTCCTATAGAATTATTTGTAGGTTGTTTTGTGTAGAGCATATATTTTCTAACACTAGTGATAACGATGACGTATATTCCCATATTATCATGTATGAACAAAGTAATTTGTTTTGTTTCAGCTTACTACTTAGACCTATGAAAACTTGTGCAGGTTTTATTCCCTAAAGAAGCACCTTCCACGAGGTCGCGAGACTATCTAAATTTAGTTTTCTACCTCATTAAAATTTTACAAATATATTTCCTTTATATTCCATTTACCCAATGCTCAACTTATTCAGCACTAGCAGACCAAATTTTGATCCAGAATACTATAACATACCAGTCTTTACTTTCACGTTGCAGTGATGCTAAGTCATGAAATATATTTCATGTCATTGAATATCATTCCATTGCGGAAATCAATCGTACTCAACTTAAACCTGTTAGACTGTCTTATGCATTAATAACAGTGCGCTGAAATACAGTGCAACCTGTCAATAGTTTGTTTATTCATTCATACCCCCAGGATATTCATTTCAGAATTAGGTCATTATTTTACTCAAGACAAAGATGTACCACCTAACTACTCATTTCAAGTTTCAAGGGAAAATCCAAGTATTGCCGCTGAAGAAACTATGGTATAAGTACCAAAACACATTTTAGAAAATTTTATTCTGGGTTATTTGAATATGCTTTGGTAGTGTTGGACAATCTTTTGTAACGATTCACTGAAACTGCGCGCTCAAATATTTCCAGAGTATTCGTAACATAGACTAGCTGATAAATTCTTCAAATTGTAGTTATTATTATTTATTATTTGTCCCTTGGGTTCCGAATGGAACATAGGGCTTCACTAGCACGTCTCCAATGCGCTCTGTTCTGTGAAATCTTTTGAACTTGGCTCCACGACAGCCCACAAGCTCTCATTTCTTCCTCACACAATCTCCTCCATGTCACCCTCATCTCGGATGCCCAACTCGTCGCTTCCCATCTGGGTTCCCCTAGAGCGACTGGCCTGACGCGTGATGTCCCCAGTCGGCCTTCTCAGTGTATCCCTTGCCCAATACATCTCCACTTCCTTCTTCTGCATATTTGTTCAGCGATAGATTCTTGGTTGGTTCGTTTCCAGAGTTCCTTGTTGCTTATTATTTCTGGCCATCTAATCTGACCTTCAGTAACGAGCCAGCGTAGGTGGCAGTTGTTGATGAATGTCTGTAGTTTGTTGGAAATCCCTTTCGTAACCCACCAAGTCTCTTAGCCATACAGAAGCACTGACTTGACATTGGTGTTGGAAATCCGGATCTTGTTCACGCACGCTTTATGCTGAGTGCAGAAGATATCCACACTGGTTTCAGGCTAATGAACACCTGTCTTGCTTTTCCGATTCTGACTTTGACATCCTCGTCTGTGCCTTCGCCACCTGTAGTTGAAACAGTGCTGCCTAGATACGTGAAGGAGGTTACTTCCTTAACGGTTCTCCCGTTCATCGTGATTGGAGCTTGCTGTTGTTGTTGTTGTTGTTGGTGGTGGTGGTGGTGTTGGTTGGATATCTTCATCACCTCTGTCTTCTCTATATTCACTTGAATGGTGTCCCGTCTTCGCTGCTCTGCTCTGCCTCTTCTGTCAACTTGTTAGTTTTCGCCTGTAGATCTTCAAGTTTGCGCGACATTAGACATAAGTCATCGTTGGCGAAATCCAAGTCTTCTAGGTTCTTTTCCGCAGTCCAGCCAGCGTATTCCCCTCTTCTCGCTCCTCACAGTTGTCGCTTGCATGATCCAGTCGACCACAACACAATCAGGAATATCATGGGTGATAGTAGGCAACCTTGTTTCACTCCTTCCTCTCTTCACTTCACTTCAAAAGCATCAGTGAGCTGAGCTGTCCATTGTGAATTACTTGGCCGGCATGTGGTGTCTTCATATAGTTATTGAATGAGGCTGATAAAGGTTAGTGGTATTCCGTAGTAATGAAGCAGTTTCCAAATTACCTCTCAGTCGATGCTATCAAAGGCCTTCCCAAATTCGATGAAGTTGAGGTGAGGTAGAGAGTTGACTGCCATTCCATACTCTGTTCTCTGATGATGCGTAGAGTGGCGTTGCAATTTGGTCCACACCTGATTTGTTCTTCCTGAATCCAGCCAGCCAGCCAGACAGCCATCCTGTTCTGGTTGTAGTTTTGAATCCAGTGCATCTTTTAGTTTCTCAATGATGATGCGGCTTAATATTCTGCTTGTGGTGGACAGGAGCTTGATTCCGCACTAGTTCTTTCAAAGACTTGGGTCTCCCTTCTTCGGGAGTTTGACAAGGTAACCCTTCTTCCAATCAATGGGCAGGTATCTTCCCTTCCTTCCACACCTTCTGCAATAGTGTTGTGGTGTGAGCATGTCCGCTGTTGTCTCTGCGTTTATTTTCAGTGCTCCTGATGGGATTCCATCTGGTCCTGCTGCTTTCCCGCATTTCAGTAGCTTTATGGCGTTCAGGACTTCCATTTTTGTTGGAGGATTTATGTTCACTTGTAGTTCTGTGACGGGGCTGTAGGTGGTATTTCTGGACGAAGTGAAGGTGGTGGTCGATCTAAGAGCTTCTTGAAGTGGTCAGCCCATTGTTTCCCTTACTTCTCTTCTTTGTTAATTAAGTTTCCGTCATCATCTTTTACTGTTTTCATCTGCGTTGATCTTTTCTCTCCCTAATAGTAACCTGGTTATTTGATACAATGTTGTCAGGTCTCTCTTACCTGCAACCTGTTTTGCTTCACTTGCCAATGTGTCGTAGAAGTGTCTCTTGCCTTTGCGTGCACTCTTCTTCATTGCTTTGTCCAGTGTTTTATACATTGTACTCAGTTCCTCTTCTCGCCGTTGTGCATCCTTGCATTGGTTTATCTTCTGTTTCACCATCCTCCTCTCCCTGCTCTATCAGCTTCCATTCCTTATTTTCTTTCTTCCTAATATGGCTGTGCAGGTTTCTTTCCACATAGCTTTCAGAGACTTCCAGTGTTCTTCGACGCAGGTTTCTTCAGGGATATTCCTCGAAATCTCCCATTTTGTCTTGATGGCTGACTGATGTGAAGCTTTCATTGTAGTTTCGTCCTTCAGTTTCTGTTCTGGGTGTTCAACTTGATCTATGGTCTATGATCATCAACTTCTTTGAAGGCTTTCAACTTGATTTTGAATTCAGATTCCTTGCATTAAATAATGAGTGGTATAAACCTACATCTGCTCCTCTTCTTGACCTTGTGTCAAATAGGCTGCGTCCCCACTCTCTTCACATTAAGATGAAGTCGATCTGATTTTCAGTGTGTCCATCTGGTGAATGGTGAAATCGATGTCGCTCGCTTTGTGGATATCCTTGTGCCGGAACACACTACCTCACCTCCAATCACCAAATCGTTGAATGCACAGAATTCTGCAAACAATTCTCCATTCTCGTTCATCACCTCACCAAGCGCTTCTCGACCCATGGTTAGTTAGTTCTCTTCCTGTGTTGTCCACTCCCAGTTTGGCATTCATGTCACCCCACCCATCAGAATTTTCATGTTGCCAACTGAGGTCTTGTTCAATGTTGTTTGAAGTTGTCGGTATAATTCCTCCTTTTTCTCTTCATCTGCATTATTTGTAGGTGTGTGGCGTAGCACTGTATGATTGTGACCTTCCTTCCTTCCTTCCTTCCTTTTGAGTTGAACCTTGCTGTCATGATCCTGCAAGAGGAGATTGGTTCCCACTGCATGAGAGAGAGCCTTCGATGCTGTTGTGGACATCATGATAGCCACTCGATAACTCAGTGTACTGGTTCGTGATTGTCGTCTGGTTGACAATATTGGAGTAGATTACTGATTCTCCAGTTGACAGAGAGTTTGGAGAGTCCACTCTCATTCCATCTACTTTCGCATATTCCAAGCACTTCAATGTGATACCTCCTCATCTCGTTTGCAATCTGAGCTGTCTTGCTGGGTTCAAACATGGTGCGGACATTCCATGTTCCCGTGTCTACTTTCGCTTTCATCTATAGGGAGAAGACACCTGGGCCTGGCAGATTGACTTCCTGATGGCTTGCACCAATCTAGATCATTCTGTCTCCCCGACTCCAGAGAGGAATAATTCTGTTATTATTTTTTATATTTTGTTTGTGCTTTGAAGTTTGTTTAGCGATTGGATTTGTTTTCCGTGGTAGGGTTGCTAGCCTTATGCCCAACCTTCCTTCTTTACCCGGACTTAGGACCTGCTAGTAACTAGTGAACTAGTTAACCAGGCGAGGTTAAATTGTAGTTACATATTAAAAATCCTGCATAAACCTTAGGCTATCAAACATTTTCCATGCAATACATCACATCAAGCTGCTCCCTTTCAAATTTTATAAGTTATTCAAATATATCTCTAAGTGGTATTATTTATCCTTGAGCATTTTTTTAAGTGTTTTCAACCACCCGTTTCATATATTAACAAAAAACTGAAGAAAAAACGTCATGCTAGATGATGAAACGTCCATGACAAAATATCGAAGCTCAGAAAACACCAAATCACCACCACCCTCATCCTGAGCTCAAGAATTTTCCCAGTATTTTGAATACAGCTTTCTAAGAAAAGTTGGATCAACGGAAAATAGTTTGTACAACAGAAATGTGTACATTCTAAGCTTAGAATCCATTGACACAGTTTGCAATTGACAGTAAATTGAATAGACTTGACATCACTTCTATAATAGTTTGAAATAATCGACGGTTCTGAAGAAGCATTTTTATTCTGTTTTGAAACTTCTTCTGGAGGTTATACTAAGGCCTGTCAGGTCAATGAAAAACAGTTACCTTATAGTTTATTCAAACTTATCCTCAAGTATCATTCATTTTAACTTCATTATTGAGCACTGATAAACCTCATAATGGCTCCTCATAAAAACTTTACATAGCAATTTGGAAGATCGTGGAGAACTGGTTGTAAAGTATTCATTATGAAACAAAATCAGGTAGGAAATCACTTGAAATCAGGGAGAATAGGACAGCTATTTGTCCTAGTTATAAATCATTCAGTAATCAATGCACCCACACCCAAGACCCTATGCAGGATGGAGCTCATGGCTATCAGTTCTCAAGGTGAGCACGTTAACATTCACTCGACTTCTCTTGATCCATGAAGTAGTGTGACCATCTTTCGAAGTCATCGACAAGCTTTTGCCTTCATATTCTACTCTGTTGATCCCATGAGTCACAGCTTCTGTCTAGGACTTCAAGAAATCCATTTTGAATCAAGTTATTGTTGTTGAGCCTTGGATTCATATTGAGTTTGCAGGTTTATGGGTTTACATAGTGTAAATTGCTAATAAATGTATAGACAATTGACTAGTAGCTTTCAGACTTCACCCATGATAATCGATCGATCGCTCGTTAAGAGAAGATGCAGTGAAATTACAGAAACTTCATCACGTCAAATATGCACAAAGCATTGGCTTATCTATGCGCCAAAGATAGTCTTGCAGTTTTTAAACCATTTCAGCAGGTTTCTATCATTGATCGTTGTTAACTTTTCCAATCATACATTTTTTGGTACAGTCATGAGATTTTCTGAAAATTCTCGGTTGGATCTGATTGGTTCTGAACATTTTCAGGGATTTCAGGCACACTGAGTTATCTGAACTGTGATAATGCAAATCATAACATGGGAAAAGAATTGTGTTGAAAGAAGTTTTTATTGTAAATGGAAGTCAGCTAAAATGAATTTGGAAATCAGTAGGTAGTTGAACGCTGTTTTTTCGAGCTTAGGACTCTTCAGCAGTATCCATCACTATCAGGAGATTTCAACCCAACGGCTGAACAACAACGTTCTCCCTGTGAGACCTAGTGACTAGCAGTTTAGTGTTACACAAAGTCGTGAGAGAAGTTATCTCAAACTAGGATTAAATACTTTTTCGATGCTCCGTCGTTTTCAATGATTCACTAGCTGATGTTGATCGATGGTAAAAACTTTTTTGAAACTCATGTTAAAATAAAATGGACAATAAAGCCTTTCGTTAACTCATGCTTTTCTTGGTCTAGTTACTTACCGGACATATGTTTAAGTAATATAAATGCGTCCTCACTTATTTTCGACTAATATTTTTCTTTTTAAGGTTACAGAAAATTTAGAAGCAGCCAAACTTATATCTGAACAAGTTCAAGAAGAATATGAAACTTTCTGCGCTGATGATAAATTAATGGAGAAAAATCTTCGAAAAGAATTCTCTGATGTACATGGGCCCTTGTATGATTTTATTATAAAAGCTTATAAAAAGCGTCCCAAGTGAGTAGAGAAGCTTTATCAAGGTATAATTTTATTACACAAATATAGAATTTCAATTTCTTTTAATGTGGTATTGTTGATCCATGTTCTTCCACAGTTTGCAAAGATCGATGATAACTCATCGGCTTGAATTGTATATCTATGTCGTAAACTTAAACGACGGAATTCGGTCAGTTCTGAGGGCTGAAATTTATGTCTACTTAGTGACTGATTATTGCAATCTACATTCACTTCTTGTATAATGCCTTACTGCGTTCACTTTGGTTGTTTATCTGCAAAACCTAAACTTTTCTAGCTGATGATGCCCATGGCTCTGTAAGTTTGACTCCTATTGCCTCCGTAGAAGTGCACGAATCCAGTGGAAACAGACTAAAGAAAACTTTAGTATCCCATTGCTCATGTCTGGGAACGAAGGGTGTCATGATTTATTGAGTGATTCCACTTTCAAACATTAGCTTTGCTGTCCTGGATATGTGTTACCGATGTCGCTCCAGCAGCTTCTTTAATGTTCCCTATTTTCTAGATGTGAAACGGGAAGAATTGAAGGCGGTGGTCAGTATATGACATGATGCTGTTCGGTGAAGAATAACTGTGTTGGGTTAGTATTTGTTAATGCTTTAAACCCCGTTGATTAGGTTTCTGGAGGTTATGTTGCTCAGTGGTTTGGAATAGTATCAGATGTAGCTTAAAAGTGAAATCAGTGGGGAACATGCCGTGATTTTTTTGCATTTTTGTTTATGAAAAGCAATACAGACATAGTTAAAGCTTACTTGAATATATCTTATAAATTTCATTATCAAATGCCTCCTTTTTTTCCTGTACTACCTTATTTCAGTGTATGCTTCAGGGTGTTGTTGTATTCTCTTGTGGGATGCACTCATTGGTACTGATTTTTCACCAAGGTCACTTTTAAATTAGTCATAATACCAATAAATAAATCTACGTTTTATTAGATCTAACGATACACAGGATAATAGCTAACAAAATAGAAATTTCAGACAATCTAAAGTGAATATATAAAGCTTAAAAGTGAATTGATTGTTAGATCAAATCAACATTCAGTTTTAAACTGAAGCGTTTTTTCTGATTGGTTAATATTTATAGTTATAAGTCAGTATCATATTTGACTAAACTGAATGTAAAGTGAAAACCAGAGTCATGACAGAATTTGAACCAGCAGCCTCAGAGTTATCAGCCCGGTGCCTTGTCAGCTGAGCTACGAGACCCACTTTTCGACCAGATCTTAAATTCATTTGAGTCACCTAGGATTTCCCGTGGCTCCTATCTAGTGCGTGACGCATAAATGGCTGTTCCTCGGGATAACACTATCTTCCCAGCCAGTAATTCCCATCCAAATCCAAACTGAGCTGAATTAGAGAACAAGAGCATTGTGTTGATTGTTAATGAGACTATCTTAGATATCCGTGGTTTAGTAGACTGATGTTATTGATACTTGGCGAGATATCCGACTGATTATTTAAGCACAAGCATACTGTACTGCAGTCCTGTTTCATGGTTGTGAGACTTGGCCACTAAAAGGAGAAGATATGAAGCGACTACAGAGCGTTCAGTGGAATTGCCATGTGAGCAATGTCAAGGTCAAACCAAACATATCAGGAAAGACGAAAAATTCGATTGATAAAGTCATGATCCTTAGTCGACTAAGATGGCTTGGACATATGCTGCACACATCGAATCCTCGCCTACGTTGACATGTTATGCAATGGGAAGCTGGATTAGACTGGAAGAGGGCTCTGGGTGGTCAGATCAAGACTTGACACAAGTCCATGAAAGTCCCTGAATGTTGGTCTGAGCTGTATGAGGAGATATAGATTGTCTGGTTGGAGTCTCGTAGATGAAAGGAATCAGTGGTTGAGAAGTCTTTGTGACATGATTGAAAATCGGTTACAATGGTGCAGATATATTCACTCCTTGACATCTTATAAAGCATTGAATATTCACACTCACCTTTATGCTCAGTTTGTTTATTCTGTCACACAAATTTATCTACTTTGATATCACTCTTTTTCTGTCCATCTGTTCTTTGTATACTACTGTGGAGTGTGGCGACATGAGCCGATGTAATTGTGTGTTAGGTTGTACGTTGATTTTGTCAATCAGTTACTTGGCGTCAGTGACTAATAAATGTATATTGGATTTAATTCAAAGCTGATCCTTGGTAAATAATATTGGAGACATAATTAGTTTCGTCAGTGTTATTAAGTGACAACATTTTTGAAATGTTGTTGTTAGGCTTCGTACTGATAAATATGCAACACCAAACGGAATAACTTTGTGTTAATTCATTTAAATTAGTAATTATTGTCCCTTCCGTGGTTTGTGATTATCAATTAATGCTGATGATAACATTATACCTATTATCCGATGAAAAAACAAGGATTCTTCTAGATTGTAAATAACAACGTTTCGTTGATTATTGGTCGTAGCTATCTAAGGAAATGTTGGCTGTTTAACTGGAATGTTCAAGACGATAGAAATCAACTGCTGGACACTTGGTGATATAGTTCAGAATCAGTTACAGTGGTACATTTTCACTAACTTCCATTTACTTATTGCCTCTTCTTTCATATACACTTGCCTACTTACATTTCATTCATTTTTTATTCATTTCTTTGCATTGACCTGTGAAGTGTGGCGACTTGAACTGATGCAGTTCTCTGTTAGTTTCAACAGTAATCTGTCTTTATCTTTTCACCTATTTGCTTGCCTGCCAACCTACTTGTCTGTTTCTCTATTTGTTCTGGATATTGACGCTGAGAATACAACGTCTCTTATCATACTTTTATATTTATTTATTTGCTTTTTATCAAGGTATACTGTTTTAGTGCAATCAGGTAAACAATTCGATCGCATTAAACAAGATACGCAATACTCTACACAATATAATCCGTATGCTGAAAAGATATGGCAGTCATCTCGGTCAACAAAGCAAACTGGTGCACTGGAAGAAAGTCTTGAGGAATTAGATAATGATCCTTCACGAGAACAACAACTTGGATGTGATAACGTTGTGTGGAGCAGATTGTGCGCAGCAAGACGTCGTAAGATTTACAAAGAGATGGAGATTAAAATGGCTGCTCAGAAACTAAATGATGTCTCAGCTTTCATTCGTGTAAGTTGTAATTTATGCTCATTTCATTGCCAACAGATTTTTATTGTCATTTGAAGTAATAAAACTTGAATATATTTGCTGTAAAATATAATGATGGAATGGTGTAGCTATTAGTGTTAGATCCATGATTTCCTCACTTTTTTTACCTTGGCAAATGATATTTTGCAGAATAGATCCAGTTAACTTTGTATATGAATAGGAAAACGAATTACCAGAGAAGAAATGTATTCTGAAATGGTGGAGAATATTAATAGCTCAGGTGGATGATCGTGTTCGTGTTACGTTCACTGAGCTGAGTGGTTTAATCATGAAACTTTTATTGTTTTTCTAGAAAATATCATCTGTACCAACTTTAATATCAAGTCGTATTGAAGTTAGTACTCTATGAAAAAGGATGGATGCAGCAGCACTGAAGACTACTGATAAACTCAATCAAATGCTGAATGACAACCAGCCAGAATCTACATCCATGAGTCCTCAGATTTTGAAAAGGTCCTTGGTAATTGCTTAGATGATGAGCACAGTGAAGCCGAAAATGAGTTTAAGAAGCCTGATAATATGGATCACATTAATTTAATGGATGCGGATGATAGTAATTCCTCTATGACCCATCAGGAGATAATTACTGATGCGGACATTCGATCAGAACATGTCAGTGAAGACCATGATGTACTTGCTGAGAGTCAACAACGTGATGTAATATGTTTAATACGATCCAGCCTTTCTAAATGTTCAAGAATAGAGTGCCACTGATGTCAACAGTCACACAGATACTCAAGGGGGTTCAAAGCTCATCAACGCACGTCAAATGAGGTAGTTGCTTTGCATGATAATGGACACTATATCAGAGAAAATTTATGTCCATGCAGTAAAATGAACGCCAGGATCATCTGCAAGCCAGACATCACACCTATCCAACAGGTAACTGGAAAACATCGAATACACCTGAATTCACAGATCGCCCACAGTCCATCAGGTTATCAGAAGCTCATCATTGGGTTAGTATATGGTAGTGTTGACTATGCCAATTTATCGCATAACAGAGTACTTTATCAATTAGATAAACTATTCGTAGATTACCCAGCTCAAAATGGAAATAGGATCTCAGGCTATCATCTACAACAATGAGACTTACAACTAGAACTAAAAACGTGTGAGAGCACCACGTGTCCAAATAAAACATTGCTTCCTCAAGAGAATATGTCTCCAAACTCCACACAACCTAAAGAAGAGTAATCTGTTGAATTGGCAGATGATACGAAGATCCTCAGAAATGCATCCGCATCGATTATGTAAAATCAACAAATGGAAGAGCGTTTAAGATTGTCGCTGATGAGCATATAAGTTGTTCAGGTGTTTATCGAAGCCTAAGTGAAATAAGTTCACTGTAATTGGCAAATTTGTTCAAGCATTTCAGTTTTTAAAAAAGCACCATGGTAACATTTAAATGCATATAGCTGGTTGACGCAACCTATGAGCATTTTTGCAAAATCAACGCTGTACAATATTTGAATTCAACACCTAAAGCCGTCCGATGTTTTTGCAAATACTTATCGATTTACTTTTCTGAAGCGGGAAAGAGAGGGTTTATCAAATACTCTTCGTCTAAGTGTTAGCAAATCATTCCGCTCATTACCAGTTTTTTATGGATTCAATTCAGTTACTTCAAATTATGTCACAACAAAGATTCTGCAAAAGATCAATAAAGAATAATTTTTCATGATCCAGCAAAACGTTACCAGTTAGTTAAATGACACCATTATATTATCCAGCTCTACGTCAAGAAGGAGCTGTTATAGCATGAAATAAAATTGACAAAATCTTCAAAGAAGCTGCGAAAACCTGTAGCCTTTCACAATCAATCGACTTCGTCAACGATATCGAGAAAAAGTGTACAAACCAACTGGTAAATACCAGATTGCTTGAAGTGACAAAAAGAAATCTTTCGCTATAGATAATTGTCCCCTGGGTTCTCACTCGAATATAGGGCTTCAGTAGCACGTCGCCATTCCACCCTCTTCTCTCCAGTCTCTTCAACCTGGCTCCACCACTAACCACAAGCTTTCATTTCTTCCTCACACAATCTCCTCCTCCATGTCGCCCTCAACTCGGACGCCCAATTCGTCGTTTCCCATTTGCGTTCCACTCGACGACCTGACCTGGCCTGGCCTGGCCTGACGCGTCATATCCCCAATCGGTCTTCTCAGTGTATGCCCAATCCAACCCATCTCCACTTTCTTCTGCATATTTGTTGGGCGATGGGTTCTCCGTTGGTTCGCTGCCAGCCAGCCAGCCAGGCAGCCAGCCAGCCAGCCAGTCAGTCAGTCAGCCAGCCAGCCAGCCAGTCAGTCAGCCAGCCACCCAGACTTCCTTCTTGCTTATTCTTATTATTCTGGCCATCTGATCTGATATTCGGTATCGAGTGAGCAAGCGTAGGTGGCAGCTGTTCATGTGATTGATATATATATCTGTAGTTTGTAGGAAATGCTTTTCGTAACGCGTCAAGTCTTTCAACCATCATATAGAAGCACTGACTTGACTGACACATTAGTGTTGAAAATCCGAATCTTGTCCACGCCTTATGTTGAGTGCAATGCAGTGCAGTGCAGTGCAGTAGATCTCCACACTGATTTCAGATTGATGAAGGCCTGTGGTGGTGGTGGTGGTGGTGGTGTTGGGGATGTTGCCTAATGTCTCTCATTTTTTCCTGATGAGTGACGACATGACGACGTCCTTTGTAATCTTGTCCTTCAGTTCAGTTTCTGTTCTGGGTGTTCAACTTGATCTATGGTTTATGATCATCAACTTCTTTGAAGGCTTTCAACTTGATTTTGAATTCAGATTCCTTGCATTAAATAATGAGTGGTATAAACCTACATCTGCTCCTCTTCTTGACCTTGTGTCAAATAGGCTGCGTCCCCACTCTCTTCACATTAAGATGAAGTCGATCTGATTTTCAGTGTGTCCATCTGGTGAATGGTGAAATCGATGTCGCTCGCTTTGTGGATATCCTTGTGCCGGAACACACTACCTCACCTCCAATCACCAAATCGTTGAATGTACAGAATTCTGCAAACAATTCTCCATTCTCGTTCATCACCTCACCAAGCGCTTCTCGACCCATGGTTAGTTAGTTCTCTTCCTGTGTTGTCCACTCCCAGTTTGGCATTCATGTCACCCCACCCATCAGAATTTTCATGTTGCCAACTGAGGTCTTGTTCAATGTTGTTTGAAGTTGTCGGTATAATTCCTCCTTCTTCTCTTCATCTGCATTATTTGTAGGTGTGTGACGTAGCACTGTATGATTGTGACCTTCCTTCCTTCCTTCCTTCCCTTTAAGTTGAACCTTGCTGTCATGATCCTGCAAGAGGAGATTGGTTCCCACTGCATGAGAGAGAGCCTTCGATGCTGTTGTGGACATCATGATAGCCACTCGATAACTCAGTGTACTGGTTCGTGATTGTCGTCTGGTTGACAATATTGGAGTAGATTACTGATTCTCCAGTTGACAGAGAGTTTGGAGAATCCACTCCCATTCCATCTACTTTCGCATATTCCAAGCACTTCAATGTGATACCTCCTCATCTCGTTTGCAATGTGGGTTGCCTTGCTGGATTCAAACATGGTGCGGACATTCCATGTCCCCACGTTTACTTTTGCTTTCATCTATAGGGAGAAGACACCTGGGCCTGGCAGATTGACTTCCTGATGGCTTGCACCAATCTAGATCATTCTGTCTCCCCGACTCCAGCGAGGAATAATTCTGTTATTATTTTTTATATTTTGTTTGTGCTTTGAAGTTTGTTTAGCGATTGGATTTGTTTTCCGTGGTAGAGTTGCTAGCCTTATGCCCAACCTTCCTTCTTTACCCGGACTTAGGACCTGCTAGTCACTAGTGTACTAGTTACCTAGACGAGGTTGACAAAAACCGGTAGGATATTCTAATTTAATGATGCTTGAAAATAGACAAGGCCATTGTAAATATATTTAATGCCTTATATTTTTTACATATTCCGAGCGACTATCGAGGGTGTGGGATCTGAAGGTTTCTGATCAAGTGTCCACTCTCAGATACATATTTGTATGCAGGCTATATGAAAATATGTGTTTGATGAAGAAAAAACTCTAGGGTTTATCCTGCTAGAAGTTGACGGAACCATCACTCTAGAGTGTTATAACAACTACAGACTACTGCCAGTTTCCAGTGAACACTCAGATAATGTTAGTGTATTATGATATTATCATAAAATTCCCATTTCCCCTGAAAAATTCTTGTACTGCGATTATTGTTTACTTGACATACATCTCTCTATGCATAAACGGTACTTTTGGTTGTTTTGAAAAAATATAATGTAAAATCTTATTTTGAATTCTCTTAGGCGAATAACATAACCATTTTGTGCGCTGAAAGTATTATGACTAACTAAGCCTGATCATCGTTGACACAGTCAACATGTCATTCAAATTGGATAAGCTTTGTCAACAATGAAATCCAGAGTGATTATTCCTAGAAGCTTCCACGAACGGAAGCACTTTGCTGCTTTGATTCAAAAAATGAGTGGAAACAGCTCCAGCCTCAGTCACGTTTACACTTGAAGCTAGATCAAACTCGAATTTTTGTTTTCTTGACGCCAAACTCCAAAAGAGTCTTAATAATTCTATTCAAAGATATATCTACAGGAAGCCCAGTTTGAACGGATAACTGACCAGCTTTCAAGGTTGGTCGTCTTTAAACAGGAAGAGGAATATTGTGCGCTCACTTTCACTAAGAGTAAGAAAGATATTCATTGGTGATACACTTGTTCAAAAATTAGAAACCATCCAAAAAATACTGTGAGAGAATAGCTACCTATTCATCCGTCAATGTTTTTCAGAGTCCCTGAGTGGAACGTTGTATACTGCAAACCTCAGCATGTTCTTCTGGTGTTAACAACTAACTCTTCAGTGTGTAAAAGACAAGTTCGCGAATTGGGCCTCATCATAGTGTATTTACAAGTTTGCTTGCTTCTGTGGAGCTGAGTAGGTCGGTCATACTATGCACTCGCAAACATAACCCAGCTTGGTTGCTGCATGGTGAGCACAAAACCATCTTCACCTCCACCGTTGAACGCTTCATAGACTCTGAACATCTGGTTTATCTGGAAACCTCCTTCAAAATTCTTTTCGAAGTTCAACCAAATGTTCAAATGGAGTGAGGATTAGACACTTATGTACAAACGAAGCTTCAGCAATTCATAGCTTCGAACCTCAATTGTATTCAAAAGAAAACACATAGAAACACTCTCTTTACCATGGTCTTAATCAGGTTTCCTGCACCTCTATTTATATTTTGTTTTATATTTTATTCGTTTGTTCATATATTTAATTTCATTTTTATTCCATGATTTCACCAGATATCAAATCTCACTTCACTGCATTTTACAGAAACTACTGAGATTATGCTTTGTGTTACGTAATATCATTTCATTCCTGATATTCATCTACCGGTTAAGTTTGACCTTTGACTTGAAACTTGTCTGCAACATTCAGTCATTTTACTTATATGTTTACGAATGTACAGATGTGAAAATGAGTGGTCGAAATGATAATTATTTTGTCTGTCACCTCCTTTTGTTTGTGATTAAATGTGGGCGGATTTCATCTTCCGTGCAACATAACAATAGCTCATACTGATGTGATGACCACTCTAACAAACTTATTTAATTGAATATTAATGATGGATAGTTGCTAATATTGGAATCCAGGACGCTTTTTTCTACCAATTTTGGACTTGTCAGCTAGTTGTTCATGCCTTCTACTGAGTGTTGCTCCCATAAAGACGGGAACCTAAAACGAATCAAGTCCAACTCCAGAGCACTATGTCCTAGGCGACAGCCACTCCTTGTGTAACTGGTGTGGTATAATCATGTTTCATGTCATAGCTTAGAAATCTCTGTTGTTGGTTTAACCGACATAATGGAAACAATATCACTCACAAATAGCAAGAAAATCCAGCTGGTAAGTCTGAAATCAGACTAAAAGTCCATCCTAGATTCTACTGCTAGCCCCTGTCCATCATTAATACCCAATTTGAAAATGTTGGCAATACCGAGACATCCCCACAAGAACCTGTGTGGCAGTAGTAGCAGATCAGTTTGGTCTAACAGAAGATCTATGCGCCATAAAATTACGAAAAAATTAGACTTATTTATTTATATTGAGACAACCAGCAGACACAGAATTACCAGTGAACACATGCTGTCCCACAAAAGCAGAAGTGAAGTCCTGAATGCCATAAAGATGCTGAAGTCAGGGAAAGCAGCAGGACCAGATGGGATTCCGCCAGAAGCACTGAAAACAAACGTAGAGAAACAACGGGCACGCTCACACCACTATTGCAGAAGGTTTGGAAGGAAGGGAGGAAGGAAGGAAGGAAGGGTACCTGCCCATTGATTAGGAGAAAGGCTCCCTTGTCAAACTTCCTTAGAAGAGAGACCTAAGTCCTTGCAAGAACTGGCACCGTCCACCCCAAGCAAAACATCAGGCCGCATCATCCTGGAGAGACTAAAAGATGCGCTGGATTCAAAATTACAACCGGAACACGCTGGCTGGCTGACTGGATTCAGGGAGAACAAATCATGTGTGGATCAAATTGCAACGCTACGCATCATCATAGAACACAGCAAAGAATGTCAGTCAACTCTCTACATCAACTTCATCGACTCTGAAAAGGCCTTCGACAGCGTCAACCGAGAAGTAATTTGGCAGGCAGCTGCTTCAACACTACGGTTTTAGTGCTACAAACCTTTATCAACCTCATTTAACACCCATATATTATTTGATGCCACATGCCAAGTGGTTCATAATGAGAACCTCAGTGACGCCTTTGAAGTGAATACAGGAGGAAGACAAGGCTGCAAAGTATCATCGATGACCTTCCTGATTGTGATCAACTGGACTGGACTGGATCATACAAGAAACTATGAGGAGTGAGAAGATGGGCCTACACTGGCTGGGCTGACGAAAAGACTCTGGGAGATTTGGACTTCGCCAGCGATGATGATTTATGTCTAATGTCTTGTCGCACAAACTCGAAGATCCACAGGCAAAAACCAGCAAGTTGACAGAAGAGGCAGGCCAGCGAAGATGAGACTTCCTTCAGGTGAACGTAGAGAATACAGAGGTGATGAAGGTACCCAACCACCACCACCACTACCACCACCAACAACAACAACAACAGGCACCAATCACCACCAACAGGAGAAACTTAAAGGAAGTAGTCTCTTTCACCCACCCACCTACCTACCTACCTACCTACCTACCTACCTACCTACCTACCTACCTACCTACCTACCTACCTACCTACCTACGCAGCATCGTTTCAACTGCGGGCGGCACAGACACAGACGAGGACGTCAAAGCCAAGATCGGAAAGACAGCAAGACAGGCCTTCATCAATCTGAAATCAGTGTGGAGATCTACTGCACTGCATTGCACTCAGCATAAAGCGTGGACAAGATTCGGATTTTCAACACTAATGTGTCAGTCAAGTCAGTGCTTCTATATGATGGTTGAAAGACTTGACGCGTTACGAAAAGCATTTCCTACAAACTACAGATATATATATCAATCACATGAACAGCTGCCACCTACGCTTGCTCACTCGATACCGAATATCAGATCAGATGGCCAGAATAATAAGAATAAGCAAGAAGGAAGTCTGGGTGGCTGGCTGACTGACTGGCTGGCTGGCTGGCTGACTGACTGACTGGCTGGCTGGCTGGCTGCCTGGCTGGCTGGCTGGCAGCGAACCAACGGAGAACCCATCGCCCAACAAATATGCAGAAGAAAGTGGAGATGGGTTGGATTGGGCATACACTGAGAAGACCGATTGGGGATATGACGCGTCAGGCCAGGCCAGGCCAGGTCAGGTCGTCGAGTGGAACGCAAATGGGAAACGACGAATTGGGCGTCCGAGTTGAGGGCGACATGGAGGAGGAGATTGTGTGAGGAAGAAATGAAAGCTTGTGGTTAGTGGTGGAGCCAGGTTGAAGAGACTGGAGAGAAGAGGGTGGAATGGCGACGTGCTACTGAAACCCTATATGCAACTGGAAACCTAACGGACAAATAATAATATATTTTGTTTTGAGTTAAATGTGTTCTGATCACTATGGTACTGTTCAATAAATACTGATATTAGTTTTAGAAGCAGGGAAATCCCTGACACCAGTAGACAGGAGCTTCCTCCAACCATGGGACTCCGGAGCAGTACTCACTCACGACCAGGCTGAGGACTGAACTTTGGATCAACAGCTATCGGGGTGATTGCATTAACCATTCAGCCACTGGGTTGGAGTTTAATGGTTCACATTCTCATACTTCTCTCCATTAGAGATATAGCCCGTCTATCACCCAAGATCTTCAGTTTGTATTTTTTTTCCCTTCTGAGTGGTTGATCACACAGGTCATGGCTTCTCATTAGAACTTCGGAATATCTGTCTGGATGTATTTTGAGGTTAATAAAGATTTTAATTTTGAGGTAGTATACATCACGGAATAGATGGCAACTGAAGACCTTAGGTGAAAGAAATTTGCAACTGTAAACCACTGAACTCCAACCCAGTGGTTGGATGGTTAACAAGTTCGTCGTGAAACCCGAAGGTCCTGAGTTCAATCCCTAGCTGGGTCATGGGTCTGTACTCCTGAGAAGTCTCACACTAGGACGAAACAGCTGTCTGGTGGTGCCAGGTTTTTCATGGTTTTCCAAATAATATTAGGGCATGATGAATATTACCCCAAAACTTATTCATCTGTTGATTTCAAGTTGTTATTCATCGTAGACTGACATCAGTTGGAGGAACAAAGAAAACCTGGAAGCACTGGATAGCTGTTTCGTACTAGTATGAGATTCCTCAGCAGTGCGCACCCACGACCCCACCAGGGATCGAACCGGCGACCGTGAGCTAACAGAAGTTGGAAATACGGACCATTGGATTCTGACCCAGTGTCTCAATGGTAACGCGCTGGCCACGGAACCTGAAGGTCGCGGGTTCGATCCCTGGTGAGGTCGTGGGTGCGCACTGCTGAGGAGTCCTGCACTAGTACGAAACAGCTGTCCTGTGTTCCCAGGTTTCCTTTGTTCCTCTAACTGATGTCAATCTACGATGAATAACAACTTGAAATATTTCCAAATCTCCACAATTCCCTCAAAATATCTGTTGATTTATTTATTTTTCTGCCAATCTGTATTAATATAATTTATATTTCAGAAACGTGAAATTGACTTACAATCAGTGAATAAACTATTGGAAACACGAAAACAGCAATTAACTAGTTTAATTGAAGATTATCATCGTGATCAAACAGACTTAGAATTACAATTGTTAATTAAACAAGGTTTTGTTGAAGTGAACATCAATCAGTTAACATTACTTCATGATTATAATGATGCTTTGTTAGTGCAAAGAGAACAAGTTGAAGAATTAAATCAACAGATAATCACCTTAGGTGAATCTAAAGTTTCACATATGATTAAAAATAAAGAATTTAAAAAAAGATTTTATCATCTTGAATGGTAAGTGTATTCTGTGAACATTTTGTCTGTATGTGTTCATATTATTGCTCTTAGATCATCCATCTACCAGGATTGTGTGTAATTTTGATGATGATACAATACTGACCAGTGATTCGATTTTGAACTACTACTGATTAACTTCCAAATTCTAAGATTTTATTATCACAAGTCACTTTACACATTCTAATTACCTATGAATAGAGATATGCAAACTCCTGGTTGGATAGTAATATAATGTAAAGGCATTTAGACTGTTTTATTCACCTGAAACTTGAATGGAACACTGAGCTTTTTCAAAAATCGTGAATCCTGATGGGCAGTTGTATATCACAGCTAAGATGGTTTAGTACCTTAGCAAAAGTTAGGTGGGAAATTATTTCAGCTTTGTCTGTATTTAAATATCTTCCTCAACTTCAGTGATCATCTAATTATGACATTATAACATATATGACATTGTATTGTACTAAATACGCTGGTGCTATTGTTCTGCTCAGTTAAGATGTTGCAAAAATGCAGGGTTCTGTGGACGCGTTAAGCAGAAATTTGAGTATGTTTGGAATGTGTTTCGCTGGCATGTGTCAAATTTAAGATGATGCTGTAGGGTTGGTCTGCTGCCAGTACTCCTAGTTTAACGATAGGAAGTGAAGTGGTGGAATGTGTCGACCACTTCATTTACTTTGGAAGTTGCATCACTCCGAACGGGGGGAGGTCGCTGCTGAAATTTCAGCTTGGACACAGAAGGCCCATTTAGCATTTGCCAACATGCGTCATCTGTGGCACCGACTGGCGAGATATCGGACTGTCTATGAAAGGTCGAGATACTGCGCTGCAGTTCGTTCTGTCTTTTTATATAGTTGTGAAGCATGGTTCTCAAAAGTATAAGACAGGAAGCAGCTGTAGGTTTCTGAACATAAATGTCTTTGTAGCATTGTTTGCGTTTGGTGGGATCCTTATGTGAGAAACGTTGAGGTTAAAATAATGCCGCTAGGTAAGGAATACAAGTTGGTCAATGAGGTTGTGTACTATAGTCGACTGAAATGGCTTGGACATATGTTGTGCATACCAAGCCGCCGCCTACCTCGATATGTAATGCCAGCAGAAGTTGGACTAGGTTGAAGAGGGCTCAGGGTGGTCAAACCAATAAGTAGCATCAGTCCATGAAGTCCCTGACCGTTGATCTGAGCTAAGTTAGGAGGTGCAGGCTATCTGGCTGGGGTAACTAAGAAGATAGGAACCAGTGTTTGCGGACTCTTGATGGTATTGCTGTTAGTTGGTCACAATAGCACTGATGTATTCACTGTCTGACATCTTTTTAAGCTGGGATGTTTTGACTGGCCATAGTTTTCAAATTCCCTCTCTTCCCATATACCTTTGTATACTTTGATATCAAACTTTTCATCCACCTATTCTCTGTATATTAATGCAGAGTTTGGCAACTTGAGCCGATGCACTTGTGTACGAGGTTGTGCGTTGATTTTGTCTTCCTGCTATAATAAATGATATAATATAATAGTTTTGTCAAATGGAAAATTATGTATTACACAATGGAACTCTTAAATAACCATATCTATGATCGCTTTCATTGAACTCAGTTTTCCAAGTGATGTTTCCAACTGCACTCGTGTGTGCATGCAACCATCTGATATACCCTTTAAAATAAAAATATGATATATATTTTTTTTATGAAGCAATACTCTGTATCCTATATCATAGGTAAATTATTACTCTTTCTTTCTTCTTATGATGAACTGAGCAAAAGCTACATGAACTTAGCCTTTCATTCTCTGAAATCTCACTTATATCACTTAATAGGAGTGAAATCACTTACTGGTAGGCAGATACATCTATCTGACCAGTCCCAAATGGGATGAAGCGTCCATAGTGGATTCTATTGCTAGCCACTATCTATACCTAATATATGTCTTAACTATTCATTTTTCTACTAGTTGATATAAATATATCACGAATCTGAAAGTGTTTGTGTCTTCTAACATATGTACTCAACTGATGTGACAATATATTTTTCTCTTCCGAATAGAGGCTTATGAAAAACACTTTGATCTACATTAATATAAATTCACCGGCACTCTGAACAATTTGCAAGCATAAAAAATTATCCAAGTGAAGTACTGTAGAGTTTATGTGTATATATTACAGGGATTTATTGCTTTCAAGATGGTATTCTTCATGAACTAACATCACTTGGAGAACAACTGAAAACCTCAGAGCACTAGTAAGCTGTCTTGCCCTAGTATAGGACTTCCAAGCAGTGCGTACCCATGAACTCACCAGAGGTCGAACCTAGGACCTTCAGGTTTTGAGGAGAACATGCTACCATTGAGCAACTGGTTTGATGTCCAATACTCGACATTTTCCTACTTTTGTCAATTCGAGATATAGCACAACCTTCATCCAATGACATCAGTGAGTATTTGTTTTCACGTCCAACTTGGTTTAGCCCACCAGTCACGACTTCTCATCAGAACTTCGGGAAATCTCATCTCGAAGCGAGTCACTAACAAGCAGTGGGCAGTAATTTAATGATTTGTGATATTTTAATTTCTACTTGAGATGCAATATGCATCTTATATTCTTAATAACTTCTTATTCATCTCCGTTCATTTTTAACACACACCGCCGTCACGCACACTCGTCTACACCCCCACGAAACACCTAGGGAACTGCGTGAAATGTTAATGCATTATGAAGACTTACAAAGTAAACTGTGTGATATACGAAGATTTAAAATTACAAGTGAAATACAAAAAGTAAGTTGTAATAAACTATTTATTATTGCTTAACTATTCCTGTTACTTTCAGTATCTTCATTCCAATGATTATGATGCCCTAATTAGTGCACAAATTACAAATACCGAGCGTACAATTCAAGTTTTACGAGAAGTAAGCATTTTGCCCTGTTGACTCTTTTTCATACATTATTTATGTCTACTTATAACTAACTCATGTTGATTATGTACATTAACTGGTCACTGGAGAACAACTCCTGAGTACTGGCCGAATTTTATCGATTATTTTGGAATATGGCAAGCAAGCCATAAGGCTCTTCATCACAATGCACTGAAAAAGATGTTATTTGGTTGAAGGTAAGTTGCAGTAGGTCCTGTTTGACCTGGTTTTTGGGTCCGTTAGCACTCGTCGACAAGGCGTATCTGCAACCTCGAGGGAACTGACATCCTCTGTGGTAACATGGTAATGTTGCTGACTACAACACTGGATGATGAGGATTTGAATCTCACAGGGGACACCAGCTCTCTTGAGGTTTCAGACGTGCCTTGCTGACAACTGCCAACAAGCACGAAACCTGGGTTCAGGTCTCTCCGCCGATTGCCTTCAACCAACTAGGATCCATCATGTGGATTATAGATGTAGTCCAAAGTGTCACTAGTTGTCACAAGTCGTAGGATGTTTGTTGATGAATACCTTTGAAAATATGTCACTTGTTCACTAATCTATCATTTACACCACACGTCCAACGGCTATAGTCATTCGATAGTACAAAGAAGTTCAACGGAGAAACAGAGACTGGTCATTAGATAAATGGAATCAGTATTGAAAAATAATTTAAACTTTACAACAAAGTCTTCTTTACAGATATTCACCTTTTTGGCATTCTAATATGTAGAGTTCTTGCTCTTCATACATTGTATCTCCTTCCCATTTGAATCTTCCCCAGTCGATTGTTATCAGATCGTAGACATTCTGGTGATTCTCTGCATACTATGATACACGTCTGTATAAGTAGTATTTTTACCATAATGGCAACCACTGTTAAGTTAACTATAAATCTTCAAACAGTTGCCATAAAAACTACTTTTTGAAGTATACAAATGCTCAAAATAACCAAATGCTGGTCTAAATCTTAAATAGATCCAATGACATGAAAGGGAGATATCGCTTTAAAGTCAATCCAATGGGTTTAAAGATTACTGCTCTTTTTTAGACCCTAAGCATTTTATAAGTGAAATGCGTCCAACTTAACCTTCCTAGCAAAAATGAGATCAACCTCTGATCAAAGGATCACTTTTAAACTATAGTTAACTGAGTAACTCTGAAGACTATCTTTATAAAATAGCTTACAGACTGCCTATCTCTGTAAATATCTAATTTGATTCTAGACATGACCAGTTTGCTCAAGTAGATAACTGGAATTCGGCTGGTTTGAACAGCCCGACTCTCTGAATTGAATCAACCCAAATACATCGTTGATGAACTCGGCCCCATACGAGTGAAATAGCCGTTCATTTTTTAACCAGTATCACTGATTGGTGTGAGTGACCTAGAATTACTCATCTTAGTCAGTAGTATATTGTGTGAGACTTATTGCAACTTTTTAATTTGTATGAAATGCACTCCAACTTTCTAGAGAAGCAAAATGTTATTGATACTAATTTTTTAATTCAGTAGCCTTTTGATGAAAACATTTCATTACTAATATACATGTCTACGGTACTTCTGTTTATTTAGAAAAAATCAATATACTACTAAGCAACCTGAGTAGCAGTTAAAAACCTCTCACGCTGATCTGTAAATTTTGCCAGTCGGATCGAAGTTATGTAAACAGCGGAAAGGTGTTTCGCCTGTTTGGGGTCCGATACCACCAGCCATATTTTCGGACGAATTACTTCACACAGAGAGACAGATAGAGATAGAGATGGTCAAATTGGTCATTACAACTGAATCTGGTTAACCGTTCATCTTAATTCAAATTATACTTTGCCTTAATTATGGATTTCCACTACTTGCTAGCGCATTATTACTATTATTATTATTATTATTATTATTATTATTATTATTATTATTATTATTATTATTATCAGTGAAATGAAAAATGGTAGACATCTGAAGTCAACAGTATTTTAGACATAATCGCATTCTGTGCAATAGTATCAGCCCTACAAAAAAATCATTATGTTGTACAACTGTTTAACTTGAAATACTGATGTTGACTCATAAGCTTACACTGATAGAATTCTCATAGTTTCCATCAAAGTGTCAGAACATTCATATTACAAACTGGAAGTAGTCTATTACTTTCTTCATACTGTGACTGTAACTCAATATGATTCAATGTACATTTTTTTAGAATATCTTATTATTTACACAAAGTTAGCACCTAACTCATAAGAGAGTTTCTAATGATGTATTGACATTTACAGTTTTCCGTTGACTCGTATGCTGGACTAAACTGATTGACTTGTGTTGGCAAATGGTCCTCAATGGATGGAGGAACTCGATATTGCTTCCAGTCTTTTGACGATACTATTTACTTATTAGTGGCTAGCAGGGAAATCTTTGACTCACTTTTCTTTCTATTTGGTACCCATTATTTGGATATACTTACATTCCACTTGACGACGGTGTTCCGAAATGAAACTCTTTGTCATTTAGTTGCTTAGTAGATAACTGTCTGACTTTTGCAGTGATGAAGTCTAGATTTAAATCTTAGTGAGAACAAGATTACTGACCAAGATGTGAGTATATTCAACTGATGAGTTATAAATAAGATGAAACGTGTATTTTAGAATCTACTGCGAACGTTGTTTCTGATTTCTAACAATCGTGATTAAAAGTTAGTATAGGAATACTAATACTACTAGTAATAATAATAATTTAATGATAACGAAACAGTTTAGTTAAGCCATTAGTGTAACTATACTATACTATGAGGGATTGAATATAAACACATTTACAACCTATTTTTATATATTTATTTACCAGAATCATGAAAAAGCAATGGCTCAAAAACTTGCTCGTCTACGAAGGTATAATATACAGCAAAGTGAAAAGCTTAAAAAAGATAATGAGCAAGCTAGAAAAGATATTGAAGAATTCAATATTATCTTACATGAAACGAAATTTATACATGAACAAAGTAGTAAGTTTCAAACAAACGAAAATTGTATTTGGAGGTTTGTGGGGTTTTATTTGATAAATTCCCACAAACCTCCAGAGTGAATTAATCTTTATTGCTCATTGGTGACATGCGTCAAGATGAGACTTCCAACGTTGTAATAAGAAGTCATGACTAGTGGGTCCAAGTAAGTCGGACATGAGGACAGTCACTCAACGATGACATCGAATGGAGATCTCTCTGTGTCATGAACTGACGGAAGTAGGAAGTGTGGACTATAGGATTTCGACGGAATGACCCAATGGAAACGCTCTGACCACAGAACCTGAAGGTCCTGTTTTCGATCTCTGGTAGGATGGGGTTGTGGGTGCATACAGTTGATGAGCCCCACAGTAGGACGAAACAGCCGTCCAGTGCCCTTAGGTGTCCAATAGTTCTCCGACTGATGTCAGTCCGCGATGATTACCAACCTGAAATAATGCAAAACTATCTTTTTAAATATTACATTATCACCTTAATGGAATACAGTTAGCTTTGATTTCAAAGCAGCATTCATTTTGGACTGATATCATTCGGGAAAACAATGAAGACTTTGGAGCAATGGATATATGTTTCTTCTTGGTATGGGACTCCCCAAAAGTGCACACCAACGACTCTGCGAGGCCTGACAGTCCCATACGAGGTTGTGAGCACGCATTCTTGAAGAGTTCGACACTAGGACAGAACATATGCTTTCCTAAGTTTTCAGTGGTTTTCTAACTAATGTCAGTCTGTGATGAGTACTAGCTTAAAAGCATTATTTTTCGTATTTTAAATGTACAATTTATTTCCCGTAGTCATGTTAAAGTGGTCGCGTAATTGTTTACTAGAAAGATATAAAGAAAATAAAAATTGTATACCACTAGTAGAGACTTATCACTGATCAAACTGAAAATAAACTATTTTTTAAGATTTTTGGGAGTTGAACAGAACAATTTTAAACTTTAGTTTTAGTAAAATTTTCGGCTTGGTTACTGCCCAAGTTAACATTATTTTAATCATCTACTGATGTATCAAAAGGGGAAATCAAGTACTGGAACATTAGAGCCATTCCAGCCACTCGATAAGAGGCTGAGATCCTACAATTGATCAGTGACATTGAAGGAGATTATTTAGTTCCTGTCCTATTACATAGGACAGAACACTGGCATTATCCTAATAGTGAAACTGCGTTCAAAAATGGACTCTACGAGTTGTATAAATTCTTGAGTCACTCATTTAAGGATCCTTTGGATAAAATGCTACGTTACTAATAACTATTGCGTTATTCGCCGCCTTCAAAAGTGTATGTTGTGTAGTATTTTGCTTAACTTTGGGAAACATAGGAAGTGATAACAGTCGACTGATGTGGATTCGGTAGGGAAGAAGGCATTGCTGAATAGAAGTATCAAGGACAAGAACATTGATCACTGGGATACCGAACAAGGAAAATACCTACAGATGTGAAATTTATTGTTAGGATTAATATTTTCGTCATTACCGACTATGAATTTCCAATCAACAATTTCTACTACTGTTTTCGAAAAGTGCTATGAGCAGTCTCTTCAAAAGATATCGATCGTGTGGGTGCTAAATCAGTGATCAATTTAAAAAAAAGAAAAAGAAAAGGGACACTTAACAGTAGATCAGCAGTATAAGTTGAAGATTTAGAGGATACTGACTTGGTCTCTTACTATCCGACTAGATGCTGTGTCTAAAGTATCTTCGGCTGGAAAGTTATGAAATTCCACACAGTTCTACCCCTTGACAAGTTTAAATAGAGAAACAACCACAGTTTTAGCAGAATAGCAGGGATCCATGTTGGCTGACAAGTCCCCATTTTACCTCCAACTGCATATACCACTTTACATGTACGTGTCAAAGTACATACATTGGGCGAATAGAAAGGAATTCAGGATTGAGAGGTGGAAAAGTCTTCTAAAGTGATACTGCTCATCAACTTATTGATAGGGGACACAAAGTCGCTACTCACAAATCGTTCAAAATAGTTAAGAAACAGATGAATTCGAATTTGTTGCCTTTCACTGAAGAACTCATTAGCCATTAAACTATTAAAATGGAACAGTCATGAGTTTGTGCTTACCGTGGTAAAACCTTTTGTGTTGTTGACAATCATATCTTTTTTTTTTGTTTTACAAAACATTGTCGATGCATACACGTTAGTTTGTTTGTTTTTCCTTTTCACACCCTTGATCTAATTATCTTAATCCTACTCATACTAATTCCTCACTAATATAAATCTTATGACCTTTCTTAAACATCGTTTATGTAACCTTTCTCCATATTTTATATGAATTATGATCAAAATTTGACCGAACAGTATCGCAAATATTGGGCGCTGAGTAAAACGTTGACATCAGATTTAGTTCGTGATTGTGTAAGTCACAGTGTGTTGGAAATGAAATAATTCCAACGTTTCGCATGGAAATCTGGTCGGATCTTCTTCAGCGAAATAATTAAAAATTAAAATATCAAAGATACATAGATGAATCCAAAGATGTGTACTTAACCTTCTTGTCCAATCCAACTTATATTCTAGGATATTCGTCCAAGTCTTCCATATATTGGCAAACTTATTATTTGTAGTTCTGCATATTTATCTCCTAAATTCGAGTCTCTTCAATTACGTCACATCAGCGTTGTCTTTATTTCAAGCCGGTAATTTTCGATCAACTTGATTCAAGTATGCAGACATTTGTATAAATTGATGTTAAACTGCTTAGGTTGTAAGCAGCTGATGAGAAACTGCGAAATGAAATGAATCCATACTGTTTTGCTCAAAACTGTTGTTCTCGCGCTATTTAAATTAAATGAAATGGCAAATAATGCTTCCATATAGGATTGTTTATTTGATAGAACACATGATGATAAAGTATTATTCACTAGACGACGTTTTGAGCATGAACTATTACTCATAATCGTATCAATGTGAGTAGTAATGATAATAAAATGCTCTAAAACTGGTTTCCATCGGCATCTAGTTAAACATTAAAGAGTAAATTGATCAAATATGCTGGTGATCCTATTCATTCTTGAAGTTACTTCATTACTAGTATGTAGATATCCGATGACATTTCTGTATGGATTTGAAAAGTCTTGTCTAACGTTTTCTAGCCAATTCTATCTCTTAGTGTTTTTGCTTGTATTACACCGTCTTTTATTGGACCGAATTGATCAGTCTCTGTTGGTATATGGGCTCCTATGAGGATGCCTCGATATTGCCTGTCTTTTAACTATGTTTAGTAATAAAATGCGCATCCTGGATTCCACTGCTAGCCACTGCCCATCATTACTAAACATAAATTCTATCTCTGGTTATGATGAAATATGTGACTATTTATCGAAAAAAAGTTACCAACTATGCGGTAATTTAAAATGTCCTTTAGCATCACTATGAGAAGTGGCCGTTGATCGTGAACATTGCAAGAGTTTGGGGAGTGTTGTTCATGGATGGCAGGATCTTCCAATAAATAATACTGAGTTTAGGAAAGGTTATCCAAATGATAAATTTGCGTTAATATGTGAACTTTTGAATCTTAAATAAGTCTTAAGACAATGTCATCTGAATCGGTACAGGCAATCTGATCATACCACACAACTCGTGCACAATTTTCAGGCTTTTATAAAGGTTTTGTGCTCTATGTTTTCGTGAATGCTTCTAAAATTGTTTTTAGACTGAATACAAGCTGTAAACGAGTGGATGATGAAAGGTCTGTTTTCGGTGGTGTTTATGCAGATGGTATGTAGAGTTAGTGGAGAATACTGTTTACTCAGAGGGACGATTTCGATAACAATCTGTTCTGTGGTCCAAATGACTTAATCGTGAATCCTACAACATCTTTAACACAGACTTCAGGAGGAAGTTAACTATGGGAATTCGATTGGAAAGATGTGGAAAGTTGGACGGAGGAAATACTAAGAATACACGGAAATCATTCAAAGCCTGTCACTCAGGTCAGACAGCGGCATAGTGGCTTTAAACCGAGATATCAAAGTGAAAGAAACACCGGAAACGATAAGAAGGTCAGAGTTCATTTCAGGTGGACAGCCAGTCGAAACACGTGTACAGACAAGTATAAGATTGTGGTAGAAACAACTGAGTACACTCAAGGTGATCAGAACAGGTTATCAAATCACTCATGCAGAAATTCTAGTAGCTAACTTCTTTCTGAAATTAATGCTGATAATATTTTTTGGAATGAGAATGAAAGCTTCATGATTAAACCACTCAGATTATACACTCATTGGTCATCGGAGAACAGACAACTTCATACCGTCCATCCTGAGTGCTGACCGAATTATATCAGTCACTTTTCAATGTGGCAACCGGGCTAGGAGACTCACCATAGAAACACACTTAGAGAAACGTTAGTCGGATGGATGCGATTTGCAGGAGACCTTGCTTGACCTAGATTATGTGCTTTATTGACACCCATGCCTTGTTGACCAGTGACAAAAATCACGAAAATTAGTTCAGACAAGATTTCCTGCCGATTACTTTCATTCAAATGACACCGTTCAGATTGTAGAACACAACACTACGAAAACAAATGGTATGTGAATGCCCTACCTCAATATACCAGTCCAGGCGTACCAACATACAAAAGCTTCATGGATATTTAATAAGCACTGACTAAAATAACCGGTGATCCAGATTGGTCATATTTCTCTATTATATTGATCGGACCATTACAGAATGCTCTTAACTGATCCATATGACAATGGGATTCTTATTAGCCAATAAGTACAATGAATAATTAATCAAGTGATTTCATTATTCTCAATTTATTGTTTCTTCTTTCTTCTCTTATAGATGGAAAAAATGATGATTTCAGTAATCCACAACTTCGACATAAACTACTACTTCAACATCAAAATATTTTAAGAAAAATAAAAGATCAAGCTAAAGAATTGAAAATGTTACGATCTGAATTGGCGCTTTTACGTCAACAAAAAGTCAACGTATTTTAGTATACTTCACTAATTATTATTTGCATAGTATAAACAGTTTAGAAATGCTTAAAGAAATACTTCATCAAATATATTGCCTATGTATCAGCTTAACCTACTTTTCTTCTTCATTCTTCTGTGGGATCAGTCAAGTTGGTTGTAACGACTAATAATCTCCGTTGGTATTAGATGATAGTTGCTCTATTTCACGAACCGATAAAGGTTGGGAAATGTGAGTTATTTTATTTGTACCCAGCGACTGAATAGTAGGATGCTCCTTGTTAACCATAATAGTCCTAGGCTCAAGTCCTGAAGGGGTCAAAGGTGAACACTGTTGAGTAACTCCAAACTAGGTTGAAACAGCTGGTCAGTTCTCTTAGGTTGGGAATAATCCCTTGACTTCTTTGAAATTTACATATTTTATTTTATAGTTTATTTTCCTACCGTTTAATGGACTTAAATATGCAGTAAACGCTTTTTCCGTCAACTATCACGCCATGAAACTGAATCAGAAAAAAACAAAATGGACGAAATTTGTGGAATAAAATTATATGATTTTATATCGCGGGAACTCTTCACTAGGGGCGTACAGTCTAAAAGTACAATGGTTGTTAGAACATAAGCTATTTCAAAATCAGGGAACCAGTAATATTAAGTTGCAAAACAAAATCATTGATTATCCATATGATATGTACAGTGGGGTAATAAATATAAGAAAGGAAAAATAATAACAATAACATGATGAAAGATCTGAGATGGACGTTAATTCGCTTCGCCGACCATATCCCCAAGAATATGTGTTTGAAAGGAAGTAAAATTCTAACTAATGCGATTGCTAGACACCTCGTAAACACAGGATATCAAGTTGAAACCTTGAGTCCTTTTAAAATAATTGACGTATAGAAAATGTCTGGATTACTGCGTTTTGCCGAATGGATTGTAATAAAACGCTTTTAACCCAATCTCTGCACGCAGAAGGAAAATGTGTTTAGTCTCTCACTCCCTTCGCGAATATGATTTGATTCTGTTTCATTTTTATTTTAATTACACAACTATTTATTTATTTATTATTATTATATTCCCCTCCTCCTTACCCCTCTGTAGAATTGATTGGCTTGCATATTATCCAGATTATGAATGATTTTGTTGAGCAATTTTTAAGACTATTTTCTGATTTTGAAATATTTTATATCCTAATAACCACTGCACTTTTAGACTGTGTACAGCAGCTGAAGAGCATTAGTGAAGTGAAATCACCTAATTCTGCATACCTAGTCTTACTTACTTCTTCTAAATTTATCAAGGAGTCTAAATGCATAAGCCTGAAGACTTGGAATGAACCCGTACAACCTATACAAATAAACAGTTGATAACTCAGTTTCATGTTTTAATGTAAAAAATTTGGTGGCAAAGTAGCTTTTGATGTAATGCTGACTGTTTATGATAATTCTTTAATGCATTACATTTGTTCTTGACCATTCTTATTTATCACTAAACGTATAAAAGTTAGTGTATTTTGAGGTTAATGCGGATTTCTTAATAAGGTAGCATTTATCATGGACTGATATCAGTTGGAGAACGGTTGAAAACCTGGCAGCACTGGACAGCTGTTCCGTCATAATATGAGACTCCTTAGCAGTACGCAACTGCAAGCAGGCTAGGGATTGAACTGAGGACCTTTGGGTTCCACGATGAACTCGTTATGCATTCAACCACTGGGTCAGGGTTCAATGGTTCATAGTTTCCAACTTCTATCAATTCACGGCATAGCGAGACTATCAGCCAAGGTCTTTAGTTGGCATCGGGTTTACATCTGACCGGTTGACCCCATGGGACTTCGAGAAGCATGTCACTAGTACTAGCACCATACACCAGACCATCCTTCTGCTCTATAAATGTCATGCCTCAACTGTCGGAAACTTAGATATAACCTAGGAAGATGACTTAAACCTATGTATTTATACATACATCAGTCTTGGCAAACCACAGATTCTCGGTCAGTACGACCGAACTATGAAGAAAGGACATTTTCAGTCGATAAACGGCAGATCAGAAAAGTCTGTTCAAGTCATGGTGCGAAAATGCATGGCACTGGATTTCACAGTGTACATAACCTTGGAAATCAGATATGCCTGAGTCTGAAATGGATTATCCCCGTCAAACTATTGACCACAAAAAGCACTTCTTTGGTCGGACAACTTGAGTGCACACAAACAACTGTGAAAATATGTGGAGTCATCTTAGATAGTTCCAAATCCCCTTAACAAGGGAATTCGCCTAATACCAATCAAATGGTATTTTCTCATAGGGATTAGTGGCAATGGAGACAATGGTATGGTTTCAGAGATGACAAACCTACCTAATATCTAGATATCTTTATTTTTCAAGTAAAACAGATGCACAAATTGCAAATAAAGTACCATTTCCCCTAATAATTCCTTTGTCCTTTATACTCTTGATTGCGATTGGTCAGTGCCTACTTGAACGTGATTGGTGGTCAATAAAGTTTAGTTCTGATGGCTTTTCATGTTTCATAACGACAGACTTCGTCGTGTGTTGCGTTTTTACCCCCGACGACATAGCTATTACTACCGATCCTAACTTCAGTCTCTGTTTTCACTTTGGTTCTAAGATTAACACACTGAAAGAAATACAGAACGTTGGTCCTATCTACTATTATCGCTCTTTAGTTACTACTTTCGGATTTGATTCTGTTGCCACTGTCATCATATCCGAAGACAAGTATATGCCAATGGTCTGCAATGAGTAAAAGTGTGAATTCAGGTCATTTGACTCTTTTTGCGAGCACTTTCAAAGCCCTCTGTAAAGTTCGATGAGCCCACTCAAAGGAACTGAGACCAAAGCATTTTGGCACAGTTAAAACACTAAACATCCATAGGTTCAATCTTGAGCCATATGTCCAGAAAAAGCTCTTTCAGCCTATGTCTTTGCCGTGATCATCATAAAACCGTAGGTGTTCTAGATAAATCCTTTGTTACGTAATTATATTTGTTTTCTTAATCCCTTGTTTCTTTTCCTACTCTAAACCCTCATTTGTACAACATAACATCTTTCGTTATTCAGTAATATGATTTTGATCCCTGACTGGAAATAATTCTGGAATATCCTGTCCTTTATTATATATGTTCCCGATTGTATAGCTTAGTAAATGACGTCGTCGGAAAGAAAATTTTCTCTTCGCTGCAACCATCTTTTTTGTCTTTTCCTATGACCGAATGGGTGTATTTCTCGTCAAATGGAGTGAGATTATATCCATTAGATTACTCAAAGAAGACTGGAATTTCCTGAAAAGCCATCATAATCAATCATGGCATGTTTAACATTCGCGAAAAACCCTGTAATTATACATGTGAGTCTCAGATTGACTAAAGAGCTCTCTTGAAAAGTGCAGAACATATCAAGGAGAATAGAAACATATATAAACCATTAAAAATTCTAACTACAATCCAGTGAATAAAGAATATTCTTTACGATAACTTCTTCTTCTTCTACAGTTATCCATATATATCGAGGAAATGTGCATCAACATTATTGAGATTTTCCTCGTCAACTTGTAAATAACAGTATACAGTTCAGGAAGTCAACTTAGAAGCGTCTTGTATGAACTTTAATGATAGAATCAATTGTTAGTGGGATTCAGTTTAGTGTGACTAATTATCTAAACGATTACATGGCATAGGTGATAGTTTGATTAAAAGAATAAGAAGGTTTTTGAGAGTTGAATGAATTAGACACAGAAAGATGATTTGAGGAATAATAGCTTGATAAAAGGTTACTCATATTGAGGGATAAAATAAGTTAAGAGAACTTGTCAAAAATATTTCAGATTATCAGGATGAAGGAGTATCAACAGTATGGGATTAAATTAGCTGGGGTTGGATGTTAATGAAATTTGTGACTCCCCTATAGGGCTTCGGTAATTATAGTGGCAATATTTGCCTCTTTTGAGCAGCAAAAACGCAGGTTGTTTGATTTTGACTGTAACTGCTTCTGCAGTCTTAAAGATTTCGAACCTGGTACCTTTCGACAAGTTGATGAAAACACGGTAGATGTTCGTGAGCATGAAAAATTAAATTTCTAGAACAGCGGCAGACATATCTGCATCCACAGGAACAGTCGAACTGATAAACATAACAGAAAGTGACGAGTCTATACAATTCATTTTTCAACTTTGGTGTCATCATAGAGCGTGTGGCAAACAGAAGTTCTAATTTTCCGACGTTAAAAGTCTTCTGCTAGCCATTGATCCGCACAGTTTGTGAATTAATATCTCACTGAGCGCATTACCTCTCAATTGTACCCGGATGTATAGCGGTTTTCTGCTAGTCATTGGAACAACCTTTCTTACCATTTTTGTAATCATATGTTTCTTTATGTATTAATCAGGATAGTCATTTTTGATTAGTGTGTTTTGTAAAATCTCTAGTTCATCCTCAGCTGTATCTTTAAAACATATAGCCTCTTTTTGTAACTAAGGTGTTTTTACGAAATTTCTTTTGTACTGAGGGGAGGGGGCGAAGCCGAGAAAATGTGTGCATTGCACCATCCACAAACTTTTCGTAAACAAATTCCTCCTCATTGGCTCATCTTTCCTTCTTAAGGGAAGAAGATCAAGAAAAGCTATCTTGTCTTGTGACTCCCCCACACATGTAAACTTCATCTCTGGGTGTACTGCGTTGAATCTGCTGAGTATCTTTGACCCGTCTATATTGTTCGCAAGCAGAATGAATGTATCATCTATATATCTTCTGACAGATCTTTCAAGTAAGTCATTCTCTAGTTTCGATAGAAAAAGATTCTCTGAGCCCATTGCAACTCCATCCACTTGTCTGTGTAGTTCACCGCTAAGTTTAAGGTTAACATTCATCTCATATTTGAGGATATCTATCGGAATTTCAATACTGACAAACTTTTATTCCAACTGTTCACCTACATAGTTGACTGTCATAGGAAGAGGAACATTGGTGTATCGAGATGTTACGTCCGGTGATGTCATAGTTTCATTCACGATGTTAGCCGCCCTAACGGTACTCCTAGTTTGTGGCATCACACATGCTTGATGATATATGTTGCTCTGCCGGTTTCTTCAAA